CTGTGGCAGTGGCAGCCATTGCCAATTGCGCTTCGACGTGAAATATTTCACATTTGTCATTTGTGCCGCTGCGAACTGTTGCCTCCAGCTAGCTGCATGCCACACGTGCCGCAAATTGAGCAACAGCCACAAATTGGAAAAAATTATTTCAGCTTGACAAATGTTTGCAGATAAGAAATGATAACTCCAGGTGTTGACTTAGTAAACTTTGAGATAAGATCAGTTAGGTAGCTATATATGAAAATATCTGATTCACTTAGATGCACATATATATACATACAGAGAGAGAGAGGGAGAGAGAGAGAGAGAGTTAAATTAATTGAAGCTAAAACAGAAAATTTTTAAATCTTCAGTTTTAGAATTGACTATGGCAAGCCGAGGCATGAGAAAAGATGCCAAATGACTTGGCAACATTCAACAGTTCTGTTGTGTCACGAAACATTAGTGCGCGATGAGCTGCAGGTTCGATTCACTCATAATTCTGAGCAGGTCAGCTATGTATATGCTGGAAGCTGCTGTGAGCTGAAACATGAAACATGCATGTGGCATGCCAGAAGCAGACTCCTCTGACTCGAACAACACTTAATTGTTTTATAAATGTTTTCTATAGTTAACAGTTCTGCAACTGTTAAGCAGCTGTTACGAAAGGCTTTGCTTTTGTGTGAAATGGAATGTTAATGGGAATACAGATACCAGATACAGATACCAGATACAGATACCAGATACAGATACCAGATACAGATACCAGATACAGATAACAGATACAGATACCAGATACAAGGACTACGTATTCATTGGCTCGCAGACAAATCATCATCCAAACGAATGCTGACATCAGAAATATTCAGTTAACAGCTCTGTTCTGTTCTGTGCAGCTGTTAAGCAAATGTTAAGCTGGAGCTAATGGCCAAGTTGTGAAGCGACTGTTTCTACCTCTAGAGAACTTTAACTAACATTTCAGTCATGTTAACTTCATAACTGCTAAGCGGCTGTGGGGCAATGTTATGCTCGAGCTGTTCGCTGATAATGCACGCGCAGCTCATTTAAATTTCAAGTGAAATTTTCTTTATTCGATCTATCAATCGTGCGAGCGTATTTTGAAATGTTGAAATATATAAAACAAAACTGAAAATCTGAGTTGTCACGCACAACAACAGCAACAGCAGCAGCAGCAGCAGCAACAACAATAAGAACTAGTCGAGTGCTACGTGTTGGCTGCTAAATAATTAAAGTTTAAGTAGAGCTTGGACTTGGGCCGCAGTTTTTATTGGAGGCTGGACATGCGAGAGAGCTGCAACAGTTAAAGCAACAGCAGAAACAACAACAACAACAACAACAACAACAGCAAACATATATTATTATGAGAGAAAGTCACGATTTACACAAAAACAAAAAACCGGCAAAAATAATTACAACTGCCTCATGTTGTCGTCGTTGTTGTTGTTGTTGTTGTTTTTTATCTTCTTATTTTATATTTCGAAGAGCAACAAGCGAACACGATGTAAAACAAGCCAGAAGAAGCAGAACAATCACAACAAGCAGCAGCAGCAGCAGCAGGAGCAGAACACGCAACAGCCTAAAACAACAACAAATTCGCTTGTAATGAAATTTTTTAATTTTTATTTACTTAAAGCAAACAAAAAAAAACGAAAAGTGAGAAGAGAACGAAGTTAGAATGCTCTAAATTGCTGTAGGCTTATAGAAGTTACATGAAATAAATAGTAGTAGCTGCAAATAAGTAGCAGAAAAGCTGCTAGCATTTTAATAGTAGTAGAATACTAGTGTGACAGCAAAGTAGTAGAAAAAAATATGTAATAGTAGCAGAATATAAGCAGAGTAGCAGTAAGAGTAAGCTAGGAGTAGAATAATAACATCTATATAGTAGTAGAATGGAAGTTGATAGCACTAGGAGCATAGCAAAAAAGTAGTATATTTGTATAATAGTAGTAGAAGCAAAATAATTGTGAAATAGTAGTAAAAGAGCAGAATGGAATAAGAATTGAGCAAAAGTAACAGAATAGAAGAAAAATTTTAGGGACTTAGCAGAAGAAGAAGCAGCAAAAGTAGTAGAATGAGCAAATGAGTAAAATAGTAGTAAAATATAAGTAAATAGTAGCATAAAAGATGAGCAAGATCTTATGAATAAATTCATAAAACAAAAAGCACTACATCGACTATTCTCTTGTTACTGATCAAGAATATACATATATATATATATATATATATAGATATAGATAGATCTGCTAGCCGCGCTTAGCGCTGGATGACAGCAACTTTTACGATGCCCTCAAAAAGTGCTTTAACGACTTCTATGGAAATTTCAACATGATTTTTCGTATATTAAAATCAAGAGCCATGAAACAATGCGACGCGTCGGTCAAGAAGGCGGCAGCAGTTGCTGGCGCTGTTGCGTGCCGTTGTTGTTGCTACAATTTCGGTTTTGTTTTCAATTGTCAACGAGTGGGCGTGGCCGGAAGTAACGAGTGCTTAGAACTAATTGCCAAGTAAACAAGAAACAGACGCCGCTTGAGGTCAGCGACAGGTGAAAGGCCAGCGTCAAGCCAAGCCAAGCCTCGTTGCGCTTGGCTTTCCCCTGTCCAGCGCCTGCAAAGACAGCGAGAGAGAGAAAGAGAGAGTGAGTGAGAGGTGGGCAGTGGGCGTGGACTGTAGGAAGTCTGGTTGTTGTACCCATTGAAAACTGTAAAGCAGGGTATAATAGGCTTAACAGGCTGAAGAAGAAGTCAACGAGATTCCGAATGAGTGCAGCTCAAGTTGAACTCTTCATTCGTTCGTCCTGCTGCATAGCTGTTCCTTAGATTGATGCAGCGCAGAGGATATCTGCTAGTCGAACACTTTCTACTCTTACTCGTGTCTTTTTCGAGCCGTAATTGTAACTGCCAAATAATTTGTTGCGCAGCTCTCAAGCTAAGCGATTATCATTATAATTATGTTCAATGCGGTTGGGATTGTGATTGCGGTAGATCGTGATTAGCCCAGAGAGCTACGAAGTCTCGACACTCCAGTGGATCTAACAAAGATGCCGACAACAACAACAGCAACAACAACAGCGGATGTGAATGACGATTGAGAGACAGTCAAACGGATGCTGTTGATGAAAGGCGAATGACGCTCGAAGTCGCGGCGGAATGCCGCGCATGCCTTCTCCATGCTTTCCAGCGCCAATCACTTCGATGACTTTGACATTGGGGGTAGTCCATTATTAAGCTATCGATAAGCTATCGATGGCTCAGGCTATGGCAGGCTCGTGACAGATGCCAATCAGAAACTTTCGCATTTCGCCTGACAAGCGCTCGATTCGAATTGTATTCCATTTGTTCATATGGTCAACCTCTTGTCAAGCCCATGTCAAATATGTATGGCAGTTGTCAATAACTAAACTCACCTCACGCCTGACCTATCGATAGATTATCGATTATTGACTTATTCAACTGTCAGCCAAGACACAATTTGCAGGTGCCAGTGAAATCTCTTGTCAAGCTCACGTCAAATGTGCATGGCAGCTGACTCTGGCTATGCCCTGTGCAGACTTCATAATTGAAATTGTAAAACTTTAAAGCCAACTCCAGCCATTGTCGCAATACTTAATCTCTATTTTGTGCATCAGCTCTGTCCTCAAACAAAAAAAAAAAAAAAAAAAAAAACCTAATTTCAAAATCCGCAAAACGTATCGTTCGCTCTGCTATTGCCGATCGGGAGGTACGCAACTCAAGACAATTTACCGCCACATATTTATGGAAAAAAGATTTTGGTGGCGCCTCGTCGACTGCCCCCGAAATTCGAGTTTGTTGCCTAAGTCTTTCGTTTCGAGACGGCTGCAGTTCGGAGTTCGGGTGTCGAATGTCTTGAACTTTAGTGCCCAGGCTACCATTCGGGCATTATGTAAAGATCGGAGCACAAATGATTTATAGAGCCACATAAACAGTTAATAAATACGTTGTAAGCCAACGTTTTGATGGATCGAATGGGAATGGAACAGAGGCGGGCGAGCTCGAAATGAATAGGAAAAACTGAGCGAAGTGAGACCCAACAACAGAAATTGTCTTGTGCATAATTTCAATAATAAATTTCCATAATTTTCAACTTGTTTTGCTGTCGATTGGCGATGGTTTGTTGTTGTTGCTGATTGTTGTCGTTGTCGTTGTTGTTGTTGCTGTTGCTGTTGCAATTGCTGTTTGTTTGCTGCAAGTGAAGCGTAGAATTACGTGAAAGAAAAGTGAAATTATGCAGCGCGTAGACGAAACGCAACAACAAGTTGTTGTTACAGTTGTTGTTGTCACAGTTGTTGTCTGCCTAGATGTGTGTGTGTGTGTGTGTGTGTGTGTGCGTGTGTGTGTGATGCGTGAAAGCCACCAAAAACGTTGAGCGTCGCCTCATTCAATGCGTGCGACCCAATTTCCAAATTCAATTGCAAGTTCAAGTTTTATTTCTATATATGTATCTTGATATATACCCATTAAAGCTGTCGCAGGGTATATTGACTTCCACTTTTGCTATAGATCAGCTCTATCAGTTAGCCTTAGGCATTAGTTGTCCTCTAAGAGTTCACTCAATAGGAGCCATGTGAAGGCTAATGAGAATGAGAAAGTTATCGATAACTCAATCAAGGGCTCTGATATAGTTATCGAAAATGGTGTCACCTTTATTTGGTCGGCATAAGCTTGACTCTCGCGCTCTCTCTCTCTCTCTTCCTCTCTTTCTCTTCTTACCTCTATTACTCGTTTCCTCTCTCTCCGCCCTCCTTTCTCTATCTGTCCTGATCTCCCTCCCTCTGTATCGCTTTCAGTCTCTGCCTTTTTCAGAGTCTTGCAGGGTATCTTGAGCGTCGACTTATGTCAGCTGTTTAGCTCCATTGAAGCTCGCTTCTACTTTAAGCACATTCTTTCACTTGTCAATTGACACGCAGCGCACGCTTGTGCTCATGCCACCTTTCTCACTCTCACTCTCTCTCTCTTTCTCTGCCTGTCTCTTTCTCTTTGCAGCTGCGCCTGAGGCGGAAGCACAAGCAATAGCAGCCGCAGAGATGATGATGATGATGTCGCCAGCATTGGCATCGGCATCGGCATCGGCGTCAGCGTCGACCGATTGCAGCAGCAGCAGCATGCAGGGCTCAACGACGAGCAGCGCCTCGAGTGATGTGATGACGCTGACCACTACAGCGGCATCGTCGTGGTGCGCCATGCCGGCCAGCACACGTTTGCGTGTGGTGCGGCTCGTACGGCCACATCAGCGCCGGCTGCTGATGGTGCCGGAACGCAGCGCCACATTTGGCTTTGCGGTGCGCGGCGGCAAGGAGCATGGCATCGGGTTCTTCGTCTCGCACGTGGAGCACGGCGGCGAGGCGCAGCTGAAGGGTTTGCGCGTAAGTGGATCAGTCCGACAATGTGGGTCAGTCACGCAGCGCACATTATGCCAATTACGTGACTGCACCACCCAGTTGAACGAACTTTGCTTCACCTCACCTCCACATGACTTTCCCTAACTCCATGGCCAACCCACAGATTGGCGACCAGATCTTGCGCATCAACGGCTATCGACTGGAGGATGCGGTCCACAAGGAGTTCATCCAGCTGGTGGCCAGCCAGGATCGAGTCACACTCAAAGTGCGAGGCGTGGGCATGCTGCCAGTCAAGGAGTAAGTGAGAAGCCATTTCATCATTCCATTCATTCCGACGGATTAATCTCGATGAACTGTAGTGGAGCTCAGCTTAAAGCTTAGTTCATCAGTGACAATCAGATTAGATGGTCTTGATTGACAACCTCTTCCTTCTCGACATTCACAGCCAGCCGGATGAGCGTCTGTCCTGGAGCGTGGTCAAGCTGCCCAGTGTGAGTGGGACACCATCGGAGAGTTCATTCAAGGCGACGACGGAACGACGCACGGCCAGCCGGGACATCAATGTGGTGCTGCATGTGGCGCCGCGCACCAAACTGGGCCTGGGCATTTGCAAGGGGCCCGAGTGGAAGCCGGGCATCTTCGTGCAGTTCACCAAGGAGCGCAGCGTGGCCCGGGAGGCGGGTCTGCGGCCGGGCGATCAAATACTCAGCGTGAACAGCATTGACTTCTCGGACGTGCTCTTCAGCGAGGCCGTCGCCGTCATGAAGGGCTCCAGCAAGCTGGATATGGTGGTGCGCACCGCCGCCGGCTGTGATCTGTTTCCCGGCGAATCGAGCGGCTACAATAGCTCAGCCAGCTCGGTCACTGGCGACCAGAGTCCATGCTGGGCGGATGCCAAATCGAAACGGCTCACAGCAGTGCGCGAGGAGCCCACTCCAGCGGGTGGTGCAGCGGTGCAGGTGCACAAACAGCTAAACAAGACAATTATCAAGCTAACAGAGAATGGCACCTCCATCAACAGCACCTTCGTAGCCAATGCCTGTGGCGCTCAGCAGCAGCAGCGTGAGCACGAGCAAACCCTGGAACAGCTGTCAGTCAGTCGCAGCACCACGATGCGACGCAGCTGCTCGGTGGCTGCGCCTGCACCACCGCCGCCAGCTGCAGCAGGAGCAGCAGCAGCGCTCAGCAGCAGCAGTGCTGGCAGCAGTCTCTCCAGTGCCATAACCGAGGAACTCAAGAAGCGCAAAGAGGTAAAGCAGCAGAGACTATGCACGGCAGTATACCCTGTAAAAAATTGTGAAGTGTATATAGATTAGAGAGTTGCTAGATCTCAAAGATTTTCACAGTCTTAACTCGCTCGAACATAAAGCTTATGATCTATTCTCGTCTTTCGATAACTATCGAACATGTCGATCTTTATATACCCTGTAATCAGGGACGTGTCTTTAGAGCATATAGTATGCCAGACATTTTCATTTTAAGCTAATGCTATTTATTCAACTTAAGGATCGGCAGCTTTAGGCCTTGGCTTTAATTTAGAGCTTCGATAACACATTCGATAAATATCGATATGGGAGTTGACTGAAAATGCTTAATCTGCTTTGGTTTTCTTCTGTTATACAGAAGTCCTTACGCTTTCTCTGTTTTTAAATTTTCGCTGTTTTTAAATTTTTCCAGCAATCGATAAATATCGATTAATCTTGATTAAGACATTTAAATAGCCACAAATGCTTTAAAATTTGTCATGTATAGGTGACAAGTGATTTCTAACTGCATTTTTTTTAACAATAATCGATAAATATCGATAGCTTAAGGCATATTTCATTGATATATCTTCAACATTTTGCAAGCAACATTAATTTACTTGTTAAAATTTGAAGTTTAAAGATTTCATCTGCATTTGTGATGCGATAACAAAATTATGCGTGTGCTTGAATAAGATCGATAAATTTAAAGAAAAAAAAAAAAAGTATTTCAGGCAAATAAACTCTTTTGATGCACAGCTGTTAACAGCGCAACAGCTAATCGAGCATGCTTACTCACTCTCTTTCACTCTCTCTTTGCAGAAGCAACAGCAGCAGCAGCTGGTGGTGGGGCAGCGGAGCAGCCAATTGAGTCGCGATCGCGATCGGCTTAGAGATCGAGATCAGCGAGCTGAAGATCGACCACACAATGGCGCTGGCAGCAGCCGCAGCATTGCACAAGTGTCGCACAAACGCGAACGCAATGCGGCGAGTGGTGCAGCCAGCGGCGGTGCGGGTGGTGCGGGTGGTGCGGCTGCCGCAGCAACTGCAACGGGCGATCAGCACACGGCGCTGATGGATGAATTTAAGCGCGCGCATCAGCGCATGTTTCGGAACGGGTTCCATGAGAGCGAGCACAAGGTGAGCTGGCCAAAATAATAGTTGTTGTTGTTGTTGTTGCTGCTGGTGCTGTTGTTGCTGCTGTTAGTTGCAACACATAAAGCCAAACCAGCAGCAACGATGGCTACTTGCAAAGGTCAAGAGAGCTGCGGACGGCACTTGTTGTTGTTGGTGTTGTTGATCGTGGATTGTTGATTGTAGTTAGCGTAAGTAGTTGCTGTTATTGTTGTTGTTGTTGTTGTTGTTGTTGTTGCTGCTGCTGCTATTGCAGCTGCTGATTGTTAGGCATGTGAAGCATTTGTTAGCCACTTGACTGAAGTCAAGTGAATGAGGGCACAACAACAAGTGTCTAAGACAAATTTAGGTGGATACATATAGAATAGAAGAAAGAGACGGGGATAGAGACAAAGACAGAGGAAGAGCGCGAGAGAGAGAGAGAGAGAGAGAGAAAGAGAAGCGAAACAGTTGCGCTCTACATTTGGGTCTTTCCTCGAAAGCTCCTTAATTACTCAAGCTCTTCACTTCAAATACAGTAAAAACATCTGCAAGCGAACCAAATATGCTTCGTCTATTGATGAATGCCTAAACAGGTTATATGAGCTGCAGCATGCATATATATTCCTGATCAGAATAATTAACTGAGCCGATTTAGCCATATTCGCCACGAAGTAATTAATTTGGAAGACGAATTTGATGTATTCCAATGGAGATACATATTATCTTTAAGAGTACAGTAAAGCTAGACTAAAATAGACAACTTAAGCTGAAACATTCAGCAAAAATCAAAGCTATATGAGACAGTGCGAGGGAGAGAGGCAGAGACTAAAGTACAGTCTGACCAAAGGTATTCTAATTCCAATAAAGCTGAGCGCTTAGCAGAGCTATCACTGTACTTTCTATATACTTTCTTTGCCTGCAAAGTACTCAAACACCCACACTTGCTGCGGTACACGCCAGATAGCTGACTTGAGTTAATACAAACTCATAGACATTTAGTTGATTACGAAAAAAGAACATATATATATCTATAGCTTTCTACAGGTAACGCAAATGCCAATCGTAATTAACTACTTATTTTCCAAAGGATATTTCCCATTTGGATCTATCTATAGAGCAGGTCAACATAGAACCAACTGGAAGCTTCCAGCGCTCTAAATGTGATTTGTTGATAACTGTTTTGATTTACCACGCCCCCAAATGTCGTATTTATATAATATTTGGGTTATCTATAGATAAGTTCTTACGCAACTGGTTTATCAAATTTTGGCTTTCCAGTCAGACAACTGCAAGAGATACGCCTGCCTCGACTCTAGCTTGAAAAGCAATCAAAAAATATAGAAAAGATATAGAAATATCCGATTCTATCTACTGACAATCAAGGCGCATATTGCTCACTTATTTAGAAGCAGAAGCACAATATAAAAGCTTGACGTACTTCCCTATTGACATTGCTCAAGCTAATCGCAGTAAGAGTCTAGTTTTTTCCAGTGAAAAATAATAATCTAGATCTAATCTAGATGGTTTCACTAGATAGATAGATAGATAGATACCCTTTCAAGGGGTCGAGTCTATGCATTTATGCAAATATTCTATGCAAGCTAATCGTATCTGCTCTGAGAGGGAGAGATAGAGACAGATAAACTATATAATTCATTTAGCAGCTGCAGCTAATTTAGATCCAGAGATAATAGAGCTTAATGCACAACTTGTTGGTCACGTATATCCAGAGAGAGAGAGAGTAAGTAATATGATTAGAAATGCAGATAAGATTATATATGTATATATATATATAAACTTGGGCTGGGATTAAGATATAATACAGCTTACACTGAGTAGACCTTATAGATCTTGTAAGTTATAAGCTTCTGAACCATTGGGAATATGCATATGATCATGCTCAAGACTCTAATGGATGTTTGCCTAGCCATACCTATTCGTCTATCTTATCGTAATCGAATCCTGATCGATAACTTTTGAATTTTCATGAAACCGATTAAAATCGATAACAAAACTCGCAACTTTCAAGAGCTAATTTAGTATTGATATTCATCTAAACCATGCGATTCATGATCATATGGCAAAGCCTATTGAATATTTCAATGACAAAAAGTTATCGATAGTTGCTGTTATATAGTTGTCGCTTATGGTAATACGCTACTTGATCAAAATCAATAACATAGTTTGTCTATAATGCACATACAGTTTCTTTCAACAAAATCGTTGTTTTTAAATTTTCAAGAAATCGATTAATATCGATAACAAACTTTTGTCATATTGAACACATATCGCAGGTTCTAAAGTCTGCACTCATTCAATTTGTCTTAGAAATTCTCATGGAGTACCAGAAATTGTAGAGTATTCTCTAGTTGGGTATACCTTAGCGATTGCCATACCAATAATTTGTTTTTTTTTTTGCAGCTGTGTCTTATACCGTCTATCTATTTTAATCTATATATAAACTAAAACATCATTAGCAGCGGTTCAAGCAGGGTATATGTTAGTCGTGTATGCCCTGCGACAGCAGTCGAACTTGCAATTGCACAAGCTATATTGCTAGGGCTAAGCAGTAGGCTAATCAGTCAAATATTTGATAAATTGTATATGCACACACACACACACACACACACACACACACACACACACACACACACACACACACACACACGGCGTCTGTTGAGGTGTTTATTTTGTTGACCTTGTGTCACTGGGATTTTTTCTTTAAAGTTAAAAGCTTAGTTTACGTTAAGCAATTAGTTGGCTTTCCCTTTTTGGGCAGCATTTTTTATCTAATTGCAACAATAGCTGTTGGCTGTGAGCAGCCGCACCACCCGCACCGCTGCCCATGAGTCATCCCATCAGCAAATAGAAGGCAGGTGTGTGTTTCTCTCCCTCTCGCTCGCTCTCTCTCTCTCTTTGTTATCTTATCTCATGGCGCAGCGGCGGCAGGTGAGCAAATCGCGACGCGCTGCTATTGCTCTGTTCGAGCTGTTCGCTCCAGTCAAGCGAGCGATTGGCGAGCGTCAACAACGTTGCAACAACGGTAGAACAACAACAACAAGAAGAAGAAAAACAGCATTGGCAAATATTTTGAAGTAGAACTTCTAGAGTTTTCAAATGAGTTTGCTACGTGCCAAAAAAGAGGGCGGCAGCAGAGAGGGTGGGCGTGCCAGCGATATGCCCACCATGCGACCCGTCTCCATGGGCGGTCCTCTGGTCATGATGTCCACCTATGAGGTAGAGCTGCACTCACTACAAGAAAAGTCAATCAATCGATTAATCGATCAATCAGTCAATCAATCGATTTTAATTAAAATTTGATTGTTTTGTTCTCGTTTCTCATTTTTGGATTTCTCATTTTATATTTTGTAGGAGCGCGGCGAGACGCTGAAACGCACTTCGATTATGCCCGATGATAGCTGCTATCGCAACAACAACAACAACAACAGCAACAGCAGCAACAACAATAGCAACAGCAGCAGCAATAATATTGCCAACAACGGAAGCAATCGCATGTTGCTGCTTAATGGCAACAGCAACAACAACAACAACAACAGCAACAGCAGCAGCAACGTGAATGGATCGCCGGAATTGCCGCCGCCGGTAAGCGAATTGCATTTAGATTAATGAATTGCCAACGAATTGGCCTATTTGCGCTGAAAGTTACTTAAAGCTTAATTGCATCGCGCTCTAAACGATTTCAATTTACGCTCTACATCAGACATGAGTCAAACTTAAAGCGTCGCATAGCCTGTCGCACACGTTTTAATGAGCTTTTCGCTGAGTAGACCTCAGCTTACGTTTAGTTATGAGACGCTCCCACTAGATTGAGCTTTAAATGCGCTTTCATTAGCTTGCGTTGAGTTTCAAAGAGCTTTAATAATCTGCAGTTAAGCCTATATTGAGCTTTTCTGGGAGCTTTGTGGCTTTAATTGAGTTATATCTCAAGTAAATCCAACTAAATCGAGCTTGCATTCAGCTTAAATGCGCTTAAATTTATAATAAAAAAAAAATAGGTGACTTGGCAGCTTTTAATTGCTTGAAGCTATTCAAGCAGGCAGCGCAAAAGAAGAAGTCGAAGGTATATTAATGTGGATCTCCTCGAAAGCTTTCCAAATCTTGTAAAAAATAATGCTAATATAACATATAATTAATATTTAGACGAGCATTGCGCAGTCGATTATGCTCGACTGCAACGTTCTTAGTTATTTTAGATATCTTCTTTTTTTTCATTTTACTTTCTGCCACGCTCGCAACTTTATTTATATCGAAACTTATCAAAACTTATCTATGTACGCCAGTCACTCATGCTATCCCCCTCTCTTTCTCTCTCTCTCTGTAGCCACCTCAGTTTGCCAATCCACAGCAGAAGCAGCAAGCGTCGCCGTCGCCGTCGCAGTCGATAGCGCAGCCGCCCACACAGCTCAAGCTGAGCATACCCAACGGCAATGGCAACGGCCAACAGCTGACCGCTCGAAGCAAGCAGCTGAGCACAGCATCAGCAGCAGCATCGCCTCTGTCGCCGGTGCGCAGTCCCAGCGTGCAAATGCGTGCGCCAGTAATGCCGCAGCCCGACTACGATGCAGCCACAGCAACGCCAGCAAATGGCACTCAGCAGCGACGCACGCTGCGTCTGGGCACTGTGACCATTGGAGAGTACAGCGGAGAGCAGCGCAGCAAGCGTGAGATGCTGCGCAACACAAGTGCTGGCAGCGCTCAAACGAATGGCATACTCAAGAATGGCAATCGCAGCAGCAACAGCTTCAGCAATAGCAACAGCAGCAGCGGCAGCAACAACAACCGCCAGCAGCAGCAGCAACAGCCAGAAAAATCTATTAAATTTGGCAACTAACTTAACAGAAAAAAAATCTAAAAAAACATTTGTGCAATATGTTTTAAGCAGACGTAGTACAAAAAAAAAAACTAGAATTTATAAAAATATTTTTTTTTAATACTTTAAATTTTTTTTATATATATATTGTTGAATATTTGTTATTTAACAATTAAATGCTTAGCTGCTATTATTAATTTACGTAATTACTATACTTAAACTATATATATATATATATATATATATATATATATATATATATGTACTATATACTATATAAATAACGATTTGTAATAAAAGCCGAAAGCAAACCGACAAAAAAAAAAAAAACAACGACAACAAAGACTCTTTGATAAGCTGTGAAAATATTTAGCTGCTTGCGTCAGCTCTTCACATTATTATTAGACAAGCCCAAAAGGCAAAACATTGTCATATTCTTTATTGTAGCTACGCTGATTTGTTTTTTATCTACTCGATTGGGTACTTCTGCTAATAACGAGCACAATTGCTGGCTACTTCAATGAGCGCTGATATTTGACAACGTTTTGAATTTCGCGCCATAGTTGAACGCGTCAAGCATTGCATACTTTTAGGAGATAATTAAAATTACATTTGACATACTGCACTCAGCAATGATAAGAGTTGAAGAGAGGTCGCTTTCGCTTACAGTACCACACTAAAGCGCATGCGACTGTGACGTCACATTAGCGATTGCATGCGGCAACTACCAATGAACTCATGTACTGATAACAATATTCCCCATTAATAATATAAATTAATGTGTATACACACAAATAGTCATGGACTATTTAACATAATTGCAGTTAATTAATATTGTAACAACTCATATATAACATATGTGACGTCATGCTCTACGCGCACGTCGCGTGTTATCTCTTGCAATACTGAACTCAATATAACGGTAGTCGGTCAAAACAAAATGCAAATTGGCTTGAGAGCAGCAAGCGGCGAGTGTGAAAGAGAAAGAGAAATACTTACTATAACGACTAATTGTGCCTCGCTGCGTTTGCTTCGGTTCTTCGTTGACTTTCATTAGGTGCAAGCGAGATGGCAGCTGTCCATTTGATCGGCTTGTGCACTGGATTTGACAACTTTGAAGTGGCCATTTTTAAATACTTTTACAACACTCGAAACATTTTTTGAATATTCAAACAATGTTTTATCTAAGCTGGCCTTGATTTCTATATATATATTTATAGATTAGTGCAAATTATTAAACGAGCTGAAGCAGGCGCAGAAATTAGATAGAAATTTCGGCAAGAAAAACTTTTTTTAATTATTCAATTACGTTCTGAGACGCCGAAAAGAAAGGATAGAAAATCGAAATGTCTGATGTACCGTCGCGTGATGAAGTGCTAAATCTAAGCCTGGGTGAGCTGCCTTGTATCATATATACCCTGTGATTACCTATAGATAATAGCTCCTTCCTGAACATATATATATATATATATATAAATAAAAATATGTATATATATGTTATATATGTATGTTATAGATGAATACATTCATCTGTATGTGCATGTGGAGCACAAGAACAAGATGTATGGCAGAAGGGGTCAGCATTCCAGTCAGGCGCAGCAGCGACGACGCTACGAGCAGTCGCACTACTTTGCGCCGGCTTATCAGCGACGACAGCAGCAGCAGCAGCAGCAGTTGCAGCAGCAGCAACAGCAACAACAACAACACCAGCAGCAGCAGCAGCAACAGCAGCAACAACAGCAGCAGCAGCAACAGCAACAGAATCGCGACGAGCAGCAGCAACAGACGCTGAATGATACGCTGGAGACACTGTGCCTGGGTCAGGATTGCATTAGCAAGCTGCGCCAGGAGCAGCAGCGACTGCAGCAGCAGAGCGTCGAGGAGATGCGTCTGCTTCAGCAGCGTTTGCGCATGCAGCGCCAGCAGGGCGTCGAGCAGATGCGTCTGCTGCAGCAGCGGCATCGCCAGCAGCGCCAGACGCTGCAGCAGCGCATCGACGAGGAGGAGCGCAACGATCGACAGCGTCGCATCGATCATCAGCACATTATGCAGCTGCGCAGTCTGCAGCGACAGCGACGCGAGCAGCAGCAACATCAGCAGGAGCAGCAGCATCAGCAGCTACAGCAGCACCAGCAGCACCAGCAGCAGCGCATTCAGCAGCTCTATCAAAAGCAGGAGCAGCGTCGCCAGAGCATTGGGGTCGAGAACTACAATGTGTTTCTGAAGCTGACCAGCGACATGTCCCCAGCGAACCGCGTGCAGTCCAGCAAGGACAGCGCGGACATCAAGCAGCCGGCGCAGGGGCTGCTGATGCCGCCCCGATTTGTGGTGCCCGAGCTGCCGCTTTGGTATATGCCGCCCAAGCTCAGCTATGAGGGCATTCAGGCCAACAAGGAGGAGCTGCTCGCCGAGAACAAGCGCCGCCTGAACGCGCTCAAGGACTCGTTCAATCTGGACAGGCGCGAGAACGATATCGTCTTCAAGCTCGAAAATGACGACTTTGGCGCCAATGGCATCTCCACTGAGGAGGTGATCGCCGAGATCGAGGACCAGATGAAGGAGGAAATCGAGATGGAGGATGACATCAACAGCGATATGCTCTACATACCCACCAATTTTTCGTTGAACGAATGATCGCATACACCAACAATAGCCGCACTTTCGTATACCCTACAAAAATGAACAACTATTGAATAAAGAAACATTGAAAATATTGTCCTTAGGACGAATATTTGCTCAATATCAATATTGAAATGCGACAAAAGACAACGAACTCTAGAATACACTGCCCAAAAATTATTTTTGTAATATACGAATATTTGTATACACTCTAACTATACACTCTATTGATATGAACGAATGAGTTGACAAGAAAACACCAGGAAAATCAGGAAAACAAACAACATTTCGCTGTCTATAAATATAATTTGACAGACTCGTTAAGAGCGTGAGATTGGCGCAGCAATCACTTGATCAAAGTCCGCTGTAATCGCGCTGCATGCAACATGTTGCACAACAACAACAGCAACAGCTCGAGAAGCCTTGTTCAAACAAGCGCAACGAAAATTTACAATTTAACAGCTCCACAAATCATACTGAATGTTATATCAATGATCCATAATGTTCTGCGATTATCATTATCATTATCATTATCATTATCATCATCATCATTATGATACTAATGATTGTGTATCATAATTTATTGTCATTGTCATTGTCATTGTCATTGTCATTGTCATTGTCATTGTCATTGTCATTGTCATTGTCATTGTCATTGTCATTGTCATTGTCATTGTCATTGTCATTGTCATTGTCATTGTCATTGTCATTGTCATTGTCATTGTCATTGTCATGTCATTGTCATTGTCATTGTCATTGTCATTGTCATTGTCATTGTCATTGTCATTGTCATTGTCATTGTCATTGTCATTGTCATTGTCATTGTCATTGTCATTGTCATTGTCATTGTCATTGTCATTGTCATTGTCATTGTCATTGTCATTGTCATTGTCATTGTCATTGTCATTGTCATTGTCATTGTCATTGTCATTGTCATTGTCATTGTCATTGTCATTGTCATTGTCATTGTCATTGTCATTGTCATTGTCATTGTCATTGTCATTGTCATTGTCATTGTCATTGTCATTGTCATTGTCATTGTCATTGTCATTGTCATTGTCATTGTCATTGTCATTGTCATTGTCATTGTCATTGTCATTGTCATTGTCATTGTCATTGTCATTGTCATTGTCATTGTCATTGTCATTGTCATTGTCATTGTCATTGTCATTGTCATTGTCATTGTCATTGTCATTGTCATTGTCATTGTCATTGTCATTGTCATTGTCATTGTCATTGTCATTGTCATTGTCATTGTCATTGTCATTGTCATTGTCATTGTCATTGTCATTGTCATTGTCATTGTCATTGTCATTGTCATTGTCATTGTCATTGTCATTGTCATTGTCATTGTCATTGTCATTGTCATTGTCATTGTCATTGTCATTGTCATTGTCATTGTCATTGTCATTGTCATTGTCATTGTCATTGTCATTGTCATTGTCATTGTCATTGTCATTGTCATTGTCATTGTCATTAGCAGTATCATAAGCATTATCATAAGCATCCTCATTATCATTACCATTATCATTATCATTATCATTATCATTCTCATTATCATTTTTATATCTTTTCAAATTTCCCTTTCATTAGCATTACTATTGCCATAGCTAGTATTGCCTTGGTAAATATATTAATTGTGTTATGCTGTTTTTTCTTTTATTGCCTTAACTAAATTTTAGTTTCAGTCTGTTTCGCTGCTTTAATTGAGCTCTCCATCCGTCCGTCCGTCCGTCCGTCTGTCTGTCCGTTCATCCATCTGCTGTTTTATGATAGTTTTTATTTTTAATGAGGTGTCACCTTTTCCCTTTGAAGTGCAGCTGCCCGACGGCCAAGCAGTTGTCGCAACTAGCAAACTGCACGTTTACCAACCAAATACCTACACATATATACATACATATGTATACGTATATATATATATAGACATATGTGTAACATCGAGTCGAGCTGCGCTAAGTGTGTGTTTGCCAATGGCCAAGTGTTCATAAGAAAACATATAAAATACAAAAAAAGAAGTCAAATCGTTGCGCAGACGCTTTAAGTCAGTTGATAGTTGGACCTGGTCGAGCTCGGACCGTACGCAAAAGCAGCTCCGCCTACTGCGCCTACGCCGCCCACTCCGCCCTCGCCTGCAATTCCGGATTTCATTTTCGCGCTTTTACTTTCGTTTCGTAAGCGCGGCGTTTCGCAATCTCTCACGCAATGCTCAAGTTTTCGCTGCTGTTGTTGCTGGTGGTGCAGCTGGCGCTGGGCCTGCCCCTGGCGCCCACCACCTCGGACGGTGCCACGCCCATTGATGCACAAGTATCGGCCGCCGATTTTGGTGCACTCGACGCGTTTGCAGAAGATGTGGCTGACAGTTCAGAGAGATCGGCAGCCAGCGAGGCGGGCTTTAAGGTGCGTATCAAAATGGTGCAGGGTACAGAGTACAGTGAGCATACGCTAAGTGTGAACGACATCAACAGATCTCGCTGCTGCCCGCACCCCCCAAAACAGCAGAGTCTGTAAATCTGGAGCACGAGGCGTTGCCCTCAAAGGTGCTCAGTGCCTACGACAAGACACAACAGAAGCTGACCGATCTAACGCATGTAAGTGACTGATCACTGATCACTCTCGATCACTCGCGATCACTTTTGTTCATTGCAGCCTGTGCCCATTGTGGACAGCATCAGCGAGCATGAGAAATATGGCAACAACGGCGACAAGTTCGAGAATATATCGCGCTCAATTGTCAATGGGTATGAGGCCTTCTCCAATCTTCTCAACAGCTTCATACAGGTAAGTTGGCCCACCTGTCTCTCTGCCTCCCTCTCTCTCCATCTCTGTCGCTTTTCGTGTGTGAATTGTCTGCGCTTGCGTTACTTGATTCACACGTTGCATTGCACAAGCGCTGCCTCGCCCCAGTCCCTCGCATGCCTCTCCATGCTACCTTCCGGTTTTGCTTAAGGTTCCGCCCGAAGGCCGTAGCCAAAGCCATAAACTATTTAATTGCTTTATCAAATAGCCCAACATATTTATGGATTGTCATATATCTATCATATATGCAAATCTTTTCGTACATATTTCGAGACTCTGCTCCAACTCGGCATGAATCGGCTTTATAATGGCATCTTCAATGTAAGCGCCGAATCAACTCTTTTGAGTGCAACTTGTAACCCTCTTAACTATTCCTTAAGTTAAGAGAATGAATAATAGTTATAGGAAATTGTATTACGCTTACGTAGTCGAAGTATTCCCTTTTCGTATCAAAACATTGAACGGACTTTCTCAATCAAAGTAGGCCTTCAAGTGGCCCTAGCTCGATATGAGCCCCAGCATCGGGGCACAGCATCACAGTCATATTTTTCTCTCACAGTCAACACAACAAACAAAATTTTTTTTCCGAAAAAAAAATAGTTTAGCAAATAGATCATTACCGAATGTATTCTGAAGATATTGAAAGCTATGCGCAGAGTGAGGAGGGAGATATGCGCTTGGATTCGAGTAATCCATATTTGAAATGGAACCGTCAAATTGGCAAAAATGGGCAGACAGCAGAGATGGCCAAGGATAAAGTCGAATATCATGTGCTGGGCACGGCTAGGCACTACAAGGTGTTGGAGACGCTGAGCAAGTCACAAAGATTCATCACCAAGCTGCCGGATGACACTGTAAAGACCGCCCAAGTTAGAAAGGCGAAGGTGAGCGAATGTGTACAGTGGGTATGCCCGTTCGCCAGCTGAAAAAAGGGCATATATTGCCTTGTCCGTCCGAACTAGTTGTCTGTCCATCCGTCCAGAATACTTAGACTGCATCTTGCTTCATTGGTCCATTGGTCCATAGGTCCATTGATCTATTGGTCCACAGATTGGTCCATTGACCTATAGGTACATAGGTCCATTGGTCCATAGTTTGGTCAATAGATAGATTGGTCAATAGATAGATTGGTCAATAGATAGATTGGTCAATAGATAGATTGGTCAATAGATAGATTTGTCAATAGATAGATTGGTCAATAGATAGATTGGTCAATAGATACATTGGTCCATAGATCCATTAGTTCAGAGGTCCATTAGTTCAGAGGTCCATTGGTCCAGAGGTTCATAAATCCATTGGTCCATAGATTGGTCCATAGGTCCATTGGTCCACAGGTCCATTGATCGATTGGTCCATAGATCTATTGGATCCATAGATCTATTGGATCCATAGATCTATTGGATCCATAGATCTATTGGATCCATAGATCCATTGGTTCAGAGGTCCATGGACCCGCTGGTCCATAGATTGACCAATGGTCCATAGATACATTAGTCCATAGATACATTGGTTCATAGATACATTGGTCCATAGATACATTGGTCCATAGATACATTGGTCCATAGATACATTGGTCCATAGATACATTGGTCCATAGATTGATCCACTGGTCCATAGATTGGTCCATAGATCCATAGATTGATCCATTGGTCCATACATTGGTCCATAGATTGGTCCATAGGTCCATAGATCCATAGATTGATCCATTGGTCCATACATTGGTCCATAGATTGGTCCATAGGTCCATAGATCCATAGATCCATAGATTAGTCCATAGGTCCATTGGTCCATAGATTGATCCATTGGTCCATGGGTTGGTCCATTGGTTCATTGGTTCATAGTTCCATAGGTTCCCAGCTAAAGGGAGTCAATAAGATTTAACGCAAATTGCTTAGATCCACTAGGATCTGCCCAATTTGCAGCGTGAACGAGTATAGCATAGTCGGCTACACCCGGCTGCCTCGAGGCGTAACGAAACTAATTCCTCGATTTGCGCAGTCCGTGGAACAGATGAATGTGAAGCCTGTGGTCAGTGCACACAAAGTAATGCCCAGGGTGAGGCTGCCAACCCAAAACGATGTTTGTCGAAATGGATCGATTACCACTCGCCAAATTGCCCGGAACATGGTGGAGAGTCAGATGAAGCGCATCAATGAGCTGGCCAAGGCCAAGAAGAAGCGCCGCAAGCAATGCAAATGCAATAAGCGTTTTGGAAAATTGACTCGTCTCCTGACAAGCGCACACGTGCCCATCTCCCTAGCGACTTCCTCGCCAATTTTGCAATACATAAGCGAGTTCATGTGCGAGCTGATGTCCATACTCTGCTTGCTCTTTGTGATGGGACTGCTGATTATGTGCTATTTGTACTCTAGGCCTCGTAAACTAACGTTCATGCAGCGTCTGTTCTGCTTCATTTTTTCGTATTTTTTTAGCGATTCCTGTTACGATTCTGATTTATTTTAGGAATGAAATCCTAATTAAATGTTACAAATATTAACAATGCATAGTCTGTAGAGTATTTTGGTTCCGAATGTGCGTGCTACATTCAGCGGATCGCGTCTCGGAATGCTACCTGCCCTTGTTGCTACATATTCCCTTCCACTGGTTCTCTCTGACTATAGCTTTGACTTCCTATCGTGTTTCCTTTACTCATCTTTAATTCTCTTACTCCTTTAGCTATGCCGATCCTCTTTCTCCTTCTACTCGGACTGCTCTTTTTCCAATGCTTATCTTTACTTCTAAGCATCAAGCACCTTTTCCTTTCTCGTTTATCCTTTGCTCTTTCTTTCCTCTGCCTTTTATTTCTCCTTCCCTTTTCTCTTCCTATTCCTTCGCGATTTCCTATTCCCTCTTAGCTTCCTCTTCCGCCTCCTCCGCGTACTCCCATTTCTTCTCCACTTCCCTTTTCTTTTACTTCCTCATCTTTCTATTCTCCCATATCTATTTCTCATTCCAAACTATCCCCTTCCATTCCTATACCTAGTCCAAGCCGTCTTCCTCATTTTCTCCCTCATAATGCTTTCCTTTCACCATCTCCTGCTGAAGCTCTTAAGTTTTCTCATTTAGCTTCTCCACGCTTAGCCTTGGCTCAACTTTCTTTTCGTCCCTTTTTGTCCCAGGCCCACTTCGGCCACATCGATTCTTCCTTCCATTCAGCTTCAAGCCAGAGCTCGCACCTCTTCGACGGTTTAGATCCTTCTCTCGCAGCTTCCCACTTAAGCTTCAATCCACCTATGAACATATCAATATCATGGAATGATCGATGTGAATATATAGACGTGTTATATGCATATAGCAAGGAACATCTTATGAAACACTTCGCTTTCTCTTACAGAAACCCAAGGAGCTGGCGCGTAGCGTTTCAAAGGGAATTACCGCCCAACTGGATATCATTGGAGGCAAGCTAGTGGGTCTCTAAAGAAGCATCCAGAGTTGCAGCAACGGACACGAATACATATTTTTTTTATATAATATATTTTATATATTTTTTAAATTTTATTTTAATATTTTTTTTATAACTTTTATTTAAATAAATAGTTTAATTTATTTTATAGCTTAAAGAGAATTTGTTGTAATTGATTTTGTTTAGGAATGTGCTTGATATATACGCATACGATAAGTATATATATTTAAATTCCATATATAAAGCTGTGGGCAGTTGTTGTTCCAATAGATCTATATATATAAGGGGTGGTGCTATATAAACTAGATGAGCACGATCACAATATGGATGTGCCGAAGGGCTAGTCGCATATAGTTCATAGAGCTGAGCTGCAGTTGGTCGCTTACAGTGAATACTGGATAGGGGAGAAATACTAATTCGACGAGCTGCGAGCTCAGCTGGGGTGTCGGATGATGCATCACTAATAATTATAATAATTAGGCATACGGAAACTAATATTTAAATTAATTTTTGGCACATTTCGCAAAAGAAGTTGTTGAAGAAGGCGCAGGAAGTATATAGCTTCTATGTGTGTATAGAAATAATCATTGTGCAAATATGGCCTGTGTCGAGGCTTCGCTTTAGAAATTCTCGCCGCTAGCTAGAGTCGAGTTCAATCCTCCCAGCTGCTGGTGCGCGTTTGCGGATCGATTGACGGGGAGTAGGACTTGTACGTGTCGGATGCCCGCTTGTGCTTCACTGTGCAGAACAGCAGCATCGACGTGATCAGCCCGAACAGCTGCACGAAGGCAATGCCCAGCCCGATGGCGCCCACCACGTTCAGCTGCCCGTTGAACCAGTTTTGCAGCGAGTGGGCGCAGCCCTTGTCCCACCAGAGCGACGGATTCTCCGAGCGTCCGCAGTCCAAGCGCATCGCGCCCAGTCCATCGCCGGAGCCCTCCGTTAGCAGTTGGCGCTGATCGTACAGCTGGCGGCAGCAGGAGTCGGGCACCCAGCGCTTGCCGCTCCACGACTGAATGTCGTACCAATCCTCATAAGACGAGACGCCGCAGCACTCAAACTGAGAGAGAGAGAGGGAGAAATAGAGAGAGAGAGAGAGAGACAGAATTCATTATTAAGAGGATGCCACTTCGTTCAAGCTAGAAACCTTTGTGCCTCTAAAACTGTGCGCCACTTATGACTTTCAAACTGCGCTCAGCATGCATAGCTACAACTTAAATTGGTTCGTTAAGAACTCTTCAATTTCGTTACTATTGATTTCCACTTGCTGTCAAACTGTAACGCTTAAGACTACGCCCTTCAGTGACTTTAAAACTGTAAGTCGTATTAGCTTTATTTCTTGTCTTCACCAAGCACTCGCTTCGATTTTGCGACTCTAAAACTGTTCAGTGTCCTTAAAATTGTATATAACATTCACAACTTTTCCGTTAAGATTAGCCTTAGCTAAACCTCTCTCACTATCTCCTAATTCTAAGACTTTCTAGCTGTGACCCTCAAACTGTCGTCTTTTAATAGCTGTCAAACTGTAAATAGCAGCAAATTGAGGTCTTGGTTTCTTTGAGACTCTAAAACTGTGTCGCTCAGAGTGACTTCAAAGTGTCGTGCCGCTCAAACTGTAGCAACCAAATGACTTTCAAACTGTGACTAGACTCAAATTTGGTCTGCGTCTGAGTCAATTTTAAGCCATTTTAAACTTTGCTTTGTGTTTCTTAAACTGTAGTAGCTCTCAAACTGTGCCCAGATCCCTGCAGCTGATTGGATATACTCACCGACTGCTGCACACTGTCCCAAATGGCGGCCACAGATGGCGCCACCAGCGAGCCCCGATCGCTGGCATTATAATGACGCTCGATGCCGAAGCGCAGCTCGTTGGCCAAGGTGCGTCCGAGGCCGCCGCGAAAGAGGAACGCAATGGAGCCGACGAGGAACTCGCTCATGAACAGCATCACAATCAGCATGAAATACTGCAGTTGAGATCCGATTAGGCCAAAGCTAATTCGTTGATCTATGCACTCGCTTCACTTACCAGCACGAGCAGGCAGCGCGACTGCACCCAGGCGCCGCAGCAGCCAAAGAAGCTGACCACAAAGCCAATGCCACCGATGCACATGAAGATCGTGTCCGCACTGAGGCCCGCATGCTGTGGCAGCAGCGTGGCGTAGCCCTCGTAGCTCAGGCGCAGCCACAGTCCAGCTCCGAGAAAGGCGCAGCTGCAAAGCTGCAAGGAAAACGAATCAAGCACAATTGATCGATAACAATCGATAGTCAGTGAGTGGGTGTAAGAGGGACAAACGGCGAAGAACAGGTGCATATTGAGAGAGAGCGAAGTAGAGAGAGGAGCAAAAGAGATAGCAAGAGAGGCAGAGATGGTAAGAGAGAGAGAGAGAGAAATGGATATAGATAGAGAAAAGGGGAGAGAGAAACTGACAGGCAAAGAGAGAATGAGAAAAAGAGAGAGATTATATATATATATATATATTTATATATATAGAGAAAAAGAGAGAGAGAGAGAGAGAGAGACCAAAGACGATAACTGAGAGCAAAATAGATTTATCGATAACAATAATTTGGGCAAATGATGCGATGTTAGACAGGTGGAGAGAGAGAGAGAGATCAGACAAAAGCTGCTAGTGCTGGTAAACACAAGATTTATCACTCACACTTGACTGCAATTTGTGTAACTTATCGATAGCAATGCAATCAGTTTTAATCGCTTGACTCAAGACTTAGAGCCATCATTAAATATACCAATCGAAACTGGCAAAGCGCAATTTATGAACATTTGCCATATTATGTCATACGTCCAGTGAGGTAAGTGCAAAGCCAAGCACTCAGGCTGCCGAACTAATAGTTGATAATAACCGACATTGCTCGACTTCGTCGGCTATTCTACAAATTGAGTTCAATTTGCATTTGGGTGAATCGAACTTTTGATTGAGATTTATGAAATCTGTCTTTCATAATACGCCACGCCGATCTTGCAATCGGTTTTGCAGTCGAAAGAGTTAACGAGCCCGAAAAATGTAATTAAAAACAGTTTACTTCATTAGAAAGTACGCTGTTCCATTCCAATCCGTTCCGTTGATTGATTTTGGCAATTATCAAAGCAGCATATCCATAGAGTTGCTGAACAAGTTTAAACTGTTGTGTTCCATTCCAATCTGTTCCATTACAAATGTACGAAATATCTTCTAATTGGCAACTTTGTAAATTTGATAACAATTATCTATAATAATTTCTTAATGGATTTTTTAGTAGCTGTTATGTTCCATTCCAATATGTTTCAAGCCACATATACTCCACAATTTCAGTAAATGGGTTATCGCAAAATCAAGTGAATGTGAATGTGAAATAATTAACAGCACTACAGTACGTTGTTCCTTTCCCACTTGTTTCGCTGATTTTTTTATTGAACAATTAACTAAATCCGCTTGATCTAAGTTGATACTGACTTGCATTGAACTTTGAGTCAAAGCATTTGACTGACTTTGAACTTTTGTGTTCCATTCCAATATGTTCCAAGCACAAATAACCAACATATTCGACAAATGCTCATATAGTCATAGCTAATGCTTAGCTCGACTCAAATTGTGCTGTTCCATTCCATTTATTCCACTACGTAAACAGAACAGCTTATAGAAAAGTCATAGCTATTATCGATAAACGATTGCAACTGATGGCTACAGCTGCAGCAGCTGCCTGTTGCCTAACAAAAGACCGCTGCTCAGCGAGAGCGACGGGGAGAGAGAGAGTGGGGGGAGGCAGAGACATAGAGAGGTTGAGAGACAATGGAATAACTTTGACGTTTCCGCTGCAGACGAGGCTGAGAACTTTTAGCCGGCGTCACATCGATTTGATGTTTGTTGCTCATTGTTGCTTATGTTGCTGCTGTTGTTGTAGATGTTGCTGCTGTAGCAGCAGCATATCCGGCCCTGGCCGCGTTGTCAGCTGGTTACAAAAAAAAAACCAAATAAAACTCACCCACAAAATGATGTTGAGCCAGCAAAAGGTGCGACGGATGCATGTGTAGCCGGCGTTGCCCATCTTCCAGCGAGCAGCTAACGAGAGAGAGAGAGCGGAAGAGAGTGAGAGTGAGTGGGTAAGAGAGAGAGAGGAAGAGGGAAGAGGCAAAGAGTGCATGCATAAATCATACGCAAAGACTTGAGCGCGCGTTGCGCTGCATTCATTAGATACATTTGTATCTATTAAATGCGCGCTTTTTCGGATAACATAGGGACGTGTGTATGGTGTGTGTATGTGTGTGTGTATGTGTGTGTGTATGCTGCTGTATAAATAAATTCTAATTTATAAATTTCAACAAATTATTTTTGTACTTTTTTTCGTCTCATTTTTCCATTGTATTTCCTTTGCAATGTAACTGAATAAATGCCAGCGGGAGCTAAATGAATATGTATATTATATAAATATATATATATATATATATATATATGTATATATATGTATATATGTATATATATTTGTATATATTAAGCAATTCGCTAGCCGCAAAAAAACAAAAATTGCAGCTGTGGCACACACACACACACACAGAGACAGGCAGATATATATAGCTTAATAAATTGTCAACAACAACAAATGCGATTATTATGAAATTCTACAGCTCAAATTACAGCAACCAACGGCGACGACTGTAAGCGGGGGGCCTTACTTGGATCAGCAGCAAAAGCCCCATTGGCTTTGCCCGTTTTCTCCAGCTGCGTCTAGTTTCTAGCCTTAAATGTAAGCGTAGGTCAGTCGAATCACAGTTGACCCCAAAATACAATTGAATTGCTTAGCTTACACTAGATTTACAGTGGAGCAAGAGAGACAGAGACAGAGAGAGAGAGAGAGAGAGAGAGAGAGGGAGGGGCAGACTGACTATGACTGAAGCTAGACTAGAAGACTTGCAACTAATTAAAGCTAGAAAACTGAGTGTGTTTAACTAGGCAGTCAAAAGTCGAGAGCTAAACGACTCTGAGATAAGTTGGACTTAATAGCTGGAAAATTTCCTCTGCTCAAGCGACAGTTTCCTATGAAAATCTTGTCTAGACCAAAATATTGTCAAATCTGAAGAGCAAGAGAGAGAGAGAGAGAGAGAGAGAGAGAGAGAGAGAGAGAAGCATACTTGAAAGTAGTAGAGCAGTAGAGAGTTATAGAGAAAACTTGTAGAGAGTAGATTCAGATCGAACTCGATCTACAGAAGAAATTCGAGTATATGAGAGTGAAAGAGACAAGTATAGATATACGTAGAGAAATAACTAGAAACCCCATGGAAGTACAGCTAGAACGTGTCTATTAGGAGCAGGAGAACGAGAAGGAAGTGTGTAGATGATATAATGATGATGATGATGATGATGATGATGATAGAAATTCAGCTCGAACTGGAGGTACTACAAAAAAGATGTAAAGAAATCAATTGGAATATGTTTAGGAGCAGTTAGAGGAGGTATAGGAGGATACATAGTTGAGGTAGAGACTGAATCGCGAACTTGAGCTGAGCAAATATAGGACGAGATTTGGGTATGGACGAGCTTGAGGTGCGTAGAAGATCTATATATAAGATATATATAGAATGGAATGAGCCTAGGCAGAGGTATACAGATTGTGATATAGAAAGAGACAAGAAGAAGATAGAAGAGAGTTATATAGAAACCCTTTAGAGGTATAAGTAGAAGTATCTAGAGGCTGAATAGAGGAGGAAGTGGAGGAGGAGGAGGAAGTGGAGCAGGAAGTGGAGGAGGAAGTGGAGGAGGAAGTGGAGGAGGAAATGGAGGAGGAAGTGGAGGAGGAAGTGGAGGAGGAAGTGGAGGAGGAGGAGGAAGTGGAGCAGGAAGTGGAGGAGGCAGTGGAAGAAGAAGTGGAGGAGGAGGAAATGGAGAAGGAAGTGGAGGAGGAAATGGAGGAGGAAGTGGAGGAGGAAATGGAGGAGGAAATGGAGGAGGAAATGGAGGAGGAAGTGGAGGAAGAAGTGGAGGAGGAAGTGGAGGAGGAGGAGGATTAAAAAGAAGAAGGAAGAGGAAGAGCAGGAGTAGAAAGAGGAGACGTCGCTAGACGACGAGGTTGAAAATATTTGCATATGCCGAGGTATATGACAGAGTATCTTCCTCTAAGAGATAGGAGATATAAGAGGCAAAGCTATAAGAGGTAGAGCTATAAGAGTCAAAGGTATAGAAAGAGCTAAAAATAGGTTTAAATAGTAGAGCATAGAAGTCTTACTCCATATACAACTGCCTTAGATACAGATATAGTTATAGAACTGGGAGCAACTGCTGCAGATAGAGCTGCAAAGATCTTAGCACAATCCAAGGCAGCATTTCTAACTAGATCAACTTTTGGGTATGCCTGAGGATGGGACAGCTAGCTATAAGTTGAAGCTGAAGCTGAAGCTGAAGCTGAGGCTCTTGCTCTTCCCATGATTCCTTGGGATCTGATTGGGGCACGAGATCTCTGCCGCTGCCTAAGGCTAATTGAGTTAGAGGCAGAGGCAGCATACATCATGGAGGCGGACAGGCAAGGGCATGGCTGCAATCAGTTTTCATTAGAGCAAACAATGTGCTGATGGAGGGTCGAGGGTGAGGGCGAGTCGTGCGCACGCGCCAAGGAAGCAGCAGCAACAAGTGTTGAGCAAAAGTGTTGCATGCAACTAGAGCAGCAGCGGCAGGGCCTAGCCCTGATGTGGTTTATACTAATGATGACAATAATGATAATGATGATGTGGATGTGGATGATGATGATGATCATAATAATGTTGCCTCAATGAAATAGTTGCAAATAATGCGCAACATGCCTGGGGGCCATAGTTGAGCTGTGCGACAAGTGCGAACAATTGCTGTCCGCAACAGCAACAGCAGCAGCAGCAGCAACTGTAACTGTCGCTCGCTTATTTTTCAATTTAACTCAATAACGCGACGGACTTAATGCCATTTGGCGCTGGAAATTTGCGATTTACTTGTGCGCTCTGCCACGCCCACACCCGCTGCCCACTTCAACTAGCCACCATCCAGCCATGTGTGTGTGCGGATGTGCGAGAGTGATTTATGTGCACACATCAGAAATTGCCCAGTTGCCCAAATGCCCACAGTTCATAGGTCTAGAAGTTGTCAAAGCTGTCAAAGGGTTAGCCTAGGGAGGGGCAGAAAGCAGAAGCTGCATGAAAGAGTAGCTGTAGTTGCTCGTGTTGCTCGTGTTGCTCGAGTTGCTGCTGGCGTATCCTGCATTGCTGTGGGCAAGAGTGGCTGTAGAGCGGGAGAAAGGGAGGGAGCTGCGGGCAAGGAGTCTGAGTAGAAGGAGAGTCAGCGTAGGGCAACTGCTGCTGCTGTTACTGTTGCTGTTATGCCAAATATTGCTGCTGCTGTTGGGTCAAGATAAAGGCAGAGCAGAGTGACAGTTAGACATAGCAGTAGATGCTGCTGCTGTCAATGATGTTGCTGTCATTTGTATTCCTGTTGTCAGGCAGCATGATTGAGCTGAAGGACAATACGTTAAGGCAAGTCCAGCTGCTGCTGTTGTAGTAACTGCCAACTGTTGCTGCTGTGCTGGGCTGTAGCTAAACGAATAATAGATGGCACAGGAAGCTGGGCGTTAATGCATTAAGGAACGAGCAATGTTTGTGCTGCTGCTGTCAGGCTAGAGCCACAGCAGGCTATTGATTCTCTAGCAACTGTTGCTGTTGCTGTTTCTGTTGCTTCTCTCAGTCTCCATTTGGAAAGTGTCAGAAGCGCTTGTTGTTGGCAGCGCAAAAAGTCAAGCTAGAGTTGCTGCTGCTCAGCATGTTGCTGCTATTGACAAATAGTAAACTGAGTAAGCTAAAAGCAAATGCTGCAAGTGTTGCTGTTGGCATGGCTCTGGCTGTTGCTGCTGCTGCAACTGATGTTGTAGCAAGGCAAAAAATTTCCCTTTGGACAGCGCAACAAATTAGATTCAAGCAATTGCTGCTGCTGCTGTGATTACTAAGGCAGCAGCTGCTGTTGCTGTTGCTGTTGCTGTTGCTGTTGCTAAAACTAAGACAAAATCTATGGCTGCTGCTATTAGAGTTGTTGCTGTTGCTGTTCATTTTCATGGCCAAGAGTTGCCGTTTTGGCTCGCAGACAGCATTTTGCAGACATTTTCACTGACGCTTGACCAGCCGCCAAAGTTGTTGTTGCTGCTGTCAATGTTGCTGCTGCTGCTGCTGCTGTTGCTGTTGTTGTACAAAGTGTCGCGCTTTACAGCAAAAAGTTTTCTCTTTTTGCGCCGTCTCTTGGCTGTGCTTGAATCTATGGCCATCTATCCGGCTCGAGAAGTTGGTTTTATTTTTGAGAGCTTCGCTCTGACAGCATCCCCCCCGACCAGCGAACCCTGCCTCTTGGCTTACCCTAACAACAGCCACCCCCACACGCCCCCCTTTGGTTTTTCTACATTTCTTTTCAGTTGCAAATTACTTCAAGTTGTTTGGAATCTGGTTTTGTGCGGCAGCAACTGTTGCTGCTGCTGCTGTCAATAAACTGTGCAAGCTGCTATTTGTTGTTGTTGTTATTGTTGTTGTTATTGTTGTGCATAATACCCTATGCAACGCCACACGGCGTCTCTAGAGCGCGCATAATAAATAAATATTTACAATAAATAAACTTGAAACGAGGGCGTAACAAGTGAGCTGCTTAAACATCAGCAGCGCATGCTTAACTATATATATATATACACGATTTCTTATATATATATATATATATATATATAGTATATATGTGTATATATAGTCTGTATATTGGCAGCACATACTTTTTGTTTTTACAACGCTTCGATTTTCGTTCGCACTCAAAAATAATCAGAAATGTTCAAAAAAACACTCAAAAAAAATGCACAAAAAATAAAAACACTTTTTTATATATTTTTTAAATATTTTCAAATTTTTTAAAATTTTTTAAAATTTTTTTACTACTTTTTTAGGTGTTTTACAACACTAATTCGCTAGGCAGGCGCAGCAAAAACTTATAAAAAATTTAATTTTTTTTATTTACTTTTTTATTTGTATATAATTTTTTATATTTTTTATACTTTTTTATTTATTTATAATTTAGTTTTTTTATCTCTTGTCTGCCGCCTCGTCGCGTGCTGCTGCTGCTCGTTCTATGCGCTCGCAGCGACTGTTCAAAATCGACTGAAAATTGTAAACTGAAAATTCTGCGCCGTCGACGTTAAAAATAGTCGCAAAATGCCGAGACACAAAGCAACAACAAAGCGGCACGCACGAGAGACAACGAATTTTGTTGCAGCTGCTGCCACAATGGAGCATGTTGCAAGCTCTCCCTCTCTCTCTCTCTCACTCTCTCTGGGTACGCTCGCTGCATACTTATGAATGGGATTTATGCTTAGGTTTTCAGTGTCACGTTTTGATCCACATTTCGAGCAGAGAAACGGCCTATAAAACCCAATTCTACGTTTCGAGTGTAGAAATTGAAAAAGCTACTCGATATATTAAATGCCATAAACCGCCATAAATCGCTATAAAATCGCGCATACGCCGCGTTAGCCGAGCAAATAAATTAGCCTAGAAAACAAATGGAAATGGAAATGGAAATGGAAATGGAAATTGTGAATGGGATGGGAATGCGATGCAGCAGCAGCTAGACAAGTGGCGTAATATAATTTAAGAGATTTGTTTAATAAACAAAACATAGCTGCGTGTTAGCCTGTATGCGACTAGTGGATACCCTGTAAAGCAACACACAACTGACAGCTGCTATGGGAAATGTGTAAACACTTTGACATTTTTTTAATCAACAAAATTATATTGCTTGTCTTGTGTATACGACTAGAAGATACCCTGTAAAACAACAACAAGCTAATAAAGAGCATTATATGTATACTTTGAGATGATGTTTGAAACTGAAACTTGCTTAAACAACTAGCTCTTATACAAGCCTTAAAGGCATACAAGTATACGACCACTAGATACCCTGTAAAAGATCAAACAGCTTTCAGCTGGCATTTGGAATGCGTATGCGCTTGCAAGAATTCTTAAATTCGTTAAACAAAATCATATTGATTGATCTTGCTTATACGACTAAAAGATACCCTGTGAAATAACAACAAACTAATGTAGAGCATAAGTATATGTAAGCTTTGTGTTGTTCTTTTGAATTTTGCTTAAAATCTATATCAAATACAATAATTAAAAGTATACGATCAAAGCATACCCTGTAATTAAATAACAAATGATGGAATTAATATTCTCCATATTTTGATATACCCTTTGCAATGATTTTTTTATTAAAATTTGTGCAATAAACAAGTTTTTATTGATTATTATGAGTGTACGACTTAAAAATACCCTGTAAACACAGCGAATGTAGCTGCTGTTGCTGTGTGCTTACTTCTATGATTATGTTCTTTTCAAAATTACTTTATAATAAAGATGATAATTCATTTAGTATGTATACGACTAGAACATACCCTGTAAATTAACAATTGGTGCAGCTGAAATATGTTATGCTGCTTAATATTGTAATTCTGCTTTTGGAAATATATTTAATATATGATGCCATTTATTTAATATATGATGATTGTAATTTGTATACGACTTTAAGATACCCTGTACAACTACAAGCCGTTCAAGCGAGAAATTGTTGGGAATCTATGCCTACATTGTTAGCATTTCAGCCTCACTAATCGAAATATGTTATTGAGAATATACCCTGTAAGTCAACAGTCAGTACAGTTGGCCGATTCATACACTTTTAATGATGCATATCCTCAAGATCAAAATATTTAGAGTATTGCACTTGCATGTGAATGGTTTCACACTTGTAGATACCCTGTATTTATTACCCTTATTATAAATATATATTTTTTATACCCTGTAATAAGTTGGTACTGAAAGATTGATGCCTTGACTAAGGCAGAAGATACCCTATACTAAGTAAGCAGCATATTGAGTGCTGCACCGATAACTCCCTCCTTCGTTCAAATAAGTCTTCAGTGAATTCCCTTTAGCTGCAACAAAAGCTTTAAGCACTTATGTGGAGCCACTTAAAAATGTATTAAAATAACCTATGCCTCAGAGCAATAAATTATCTAACTAATTTGCACACGCTTGGTCAAGAGGGGTCAGCTTGTAGATACCCTGTAATGACAGATGCACAAAGCTACAGCTGAATATATCATATGATAAATATATACAATTTCTTCCTAGTGCAGCAGCCCCTTTGATGCATTCGTAAATTACAGGGTATCAAAGATTATACTAATTTATGCTAATATTTGGTAAGATTACAGCAAAATTTGGCTTAGTGATGAAAGAGAAAGCTGCGCTCTGCAGTTACGTAATTGTTGAATTAGATATGTGAAAATAACGTAAGAGGCGCTTAGGAAAATAACGTAAGAAAAAATTATAACTTCACAACTAAAAAATTCTTTAAGCCGTAAAGAAGACTAAATGTATACAAATGACTTACGTGACGTTTTTACGTTACGTGACGTAAAGCTATTATTGTTCTCCAGCGTATCTTCATTAATGTCATTTAAGTTATAAATGTTTTACATAAATAATACAAATAATAACTAAAAACGTTACTTTGCTTACGTTACGGTACGTAACATAAGATTGTGTCACGTTATTCTAACGCAGTTACGCTACGTAACACCATTTGTTGTGCCATAACAGCACAAATCAATAAGTTATCAATTTATTAAATATGCTTGAAGATAACAGCTAAGCCCGTTCGTTACGTTACGTAAGGTTACGTTACGTAACGACATTGTTGCCCACAACAATGAAAGACAAAGCGTTTTTTAGCCTCATACAAAAATATTTCATTTTATTTATGCAAACGAACCGATGGAGAAAGGGGGAAAGCAAAAGAAACTAAGCTTAAAGAGTGATAAAAAAAAATAATAATGGGAAAGAAGAGGAAGAGGAAGACGGCGAAGAGACTTAACTACACGTAAACAAAGCTGGGTGAAGATCATGCCAATTGGACTCTGCCAATGGGCGCATTCCAATTGGAGCTCATTTATCCTTGCGCAGCTTCTGGCTGGACACTTCGATGGCATCCAGCCAGAGCTTAAGATCTGCCGGCATCTCTGGGCGCTTGGCCGCTTCGGGGTAAGTTTTGAGCAATTCGCTGACGTTGCACTTGGTGATGCACTGCTTGGAGAGGGCGACGGCGCGGACGAAGCCATCGGCCAGTGTGATGAACTGTTGCTCCAGGTAGATGGCCTTGTCGTCCCACCAGACGAGCTTCGTCTGGATCTTGTAGGGATGGAAGATGGGTATGGTGCGGCGATAGCGCACACTGCTGGCCCCTTGGACGGCGCCGCCGCCGCGCTGACGCACCAGCTCATAGAGATTGGTCAGCGCATAGAAATGGAAGCGGGCAAAGTCCAGTTCGCGCAGATAGCGCGCATTGTTCATGTGCCGCAGGAAGATGTCCACGTCCTGGGAGGTGCACAGGCCGTAGATGGTTGTGGTGTCCGTCACCTTGCGCTTGCCCTGGAACAGCCGGCCGGCGAGCACCGTGAAAATGCAGCGTATAAAGTAGTTAACATCCCAAATGATGTACAAAATGAGCAGCACCACCAGCAGCGACATGGTCTTTGGATCTACATACGAACACGAAAGTAAAGAGCAGACGAAAATAACTCGTTAGAGGCGAAAGTTTCACATTAAACTTTGGATTTGTGTCTGCTGCGGGCTGCGTCGGAGCCGCAAATTAATTGGCTTGTTATGAATATGCAAAGGTATCGATACATTCGATACATACATATGTCTGCGTAGATCAGCGACTACTTACTCAATTCTATTTACGCGCGATAGTCAGAGTGTGCGATAATGTCGATAATCCTGATAGCGTCGTTCGCTGTGGCGGCAATGGCAAGCGCAGGCGATCAACAACTGCTGGCGTCGAGCGACCAAACGAAACTGATACGAAGACATCAAAACAAAAAGTTGCTCAAGTGGCGGAGCGGCTGCAAGACCCTAGCGAAAGAAAGTTGACCAATCGCAGCGGGAGAGCAACAGTTGGAGAGCGCAGCAATGAGAGTAAGAATGCAAATGAGGGAGAGCCGTGCAGGCTCAATTATACCGAAGAAGCGCATTCTAAGTTAAGCTGTTAATTGGATGCCAAACAAGCAGTGCGAAAGCAGTAGCAAAGCAAAACGAAAGATCGTTGACCAATCAATGATAGTGAGAGTGTGAGTTAGAGAATACACTTAAGCTTTGCATTGCCTGCATGCGTTGAAGCAGCTCAAACAAAAGTATTTTGCTGTGTGATGGACAAAGCGGGAGAGCGAAAAGGATGAAATTGAAAGTGGGAATGCGCCGAAGGAGCGTGTTGAATTTTTAATTCAATGCTGAACAAACAGCTGCAAAGCATAACGAAAGATCATTGACCAATCGCAACGGTAGCGCAATAATGAGAGTGAGAGTGTGAGCTAGAAAATGCGCTTGAGACTTATGTATAAATGTGTTAAAGCAGTACGCACCATGTTCAAACCAACTTGAACTTGAGTGTGAAGGAACCGAAGTATAATGATTCAAAGTGGGCCTGCACATGCTAGAGGAGAGGGTTCTTACTTTAACTGTTAGCTAAGGAAAAATTCAAAGAAGCTTGACCATTCGCTGCTGAACTGAACATTTTTTATCAGTGCAAGTGTGCTAAAGCGGGAGCGCCTAAAGTCCGCAGCTGTATATGCTAAACAAGCGTGTGTCAGGTTCAACTGTTAATTAAAATCGAATGCAAATCGAAGTACACTGTCCAAGCGAATAAAAAACGGAGTCTTTAAACAATATATTTATATATATATGTGGCTACTGTATTTAGATAATGTATCAAACTAAATCAGTTTAGCAAGTCAAAGATAAGATAAATGTAAAAACACAAAGGAAATAGTAAAATAACCAATATAAGATATCGAGCTTCGTACGCAATTTATAGGGTATCGTTCAAGCACTTTCAATTTCACACAACAAAACTGAAACGTGCTGAGTCATGGCATTGTCTCGCTCGCACTTGAACTTGAATTGAATCGATTCAGCTATTCAGCGCATTTACCGTTACTCTAAGCAATTTCCACTTCAACCATGACGCATGCAAAACGCCAAATTGATTTAACATTAACATTTAGCACCTTAGACCAGATCGTCGTCTCAGCACTGCTTTTGGCCTGAAAGCGTCATGTCGCAACTGCACTTTGAGTATTTACCGTTTGCTCACAATGTTGACAGTCGCAAATCAAAGCAAAGCAAAGCTCCGTGAGCAGTGGAAACGCTGTGTGCACTTGGCACTTTCATAGAACGCGGATTTCGGTTTTTACCTCATACACAAAATACAATTGGTCTAAGGTCAGGCAAACAAGCAAATAAGTCTAGCTCATTATCTAAATATAACGTATTTGGTCAGGTTCTCTTCTCTGTTTTACTTGGACTCAACGACTATTTGCTTAATTACAGTTGCCCCGCCCGCTATTAGAATTACTTAGTTTGCTTTGCTTTGGCAAGAGACTCGAAGCACTTCAGTCTGCTTATCCCAGTCACGCTGTCGATGCACTGTCACTGTGCAGCGGTGCTCAACACTGTTTCCTGATTCTTTACCGTGTTTTTGTTATTTGCCTGTCATATTTCCTGTTAAGTTCTTCAATTACAATTTATATATCGGCATATATAAACCGGGCTTATGCAACCTAGCATTTTTCAACACTTACCAACACTGTATTGCTAGCTTAGTCAATAGATTGACAGCAGACCATAATGCAATGCATATTCAGCCTTATAAGCTGTGGCTAGCTGGCATTTTCCAACACTGTTTTTTCTCAACACTGTCTATAATAGCTCTCTGATTGACTATACTTCGCGCAATAGATTACAATGTATTTAGTTTGATAAATCTACATTACAGCGCTTACCAACACTGTTTTTGTCTGAGTGACAAGCGGTAACTCTGCAATTTCCAGCCGCTTTCGCTCGTTTTCCAACACTGCCCACTGCCCACTGCCCACTGCCCAAGCGAAACGACAAAAGTGGATTAGCTTGCATCTATGTAGCATTTATATGAACCCCCTATATTAACAGTTAATTGTGGGCTATTAGCTGTGGGTGCTCGACTCGAAGCTGCTGCGGCCAGGCCAAGCAGTTGGGGAGACGGACACGGACACAACACAGACATAGACGCAAACACAGAGTTCGACTTAGAGCTAAAGAGTCAACATTCACAACAAACAGTTCACAATTTACACACAGTTCACACACGCACACACACGCACACATTTACATAGAAAAACTAATTTAAAACAAAGAGAAAAAAAAACAATAACAATTGTTTAGGCGGAACGTAGAGTATTTCTAGTTCGTCTAAATCCATGTCAACTGAGTGGATGCTGCCTCCTGCTCCTGCTCCTGCTCCTGCGCCTGCTTCTGATCCTGCTGCACCTCTTGTCAACTCTATGGTCAGCAGCCGCTGCGTAAGTTCTTGCTGGACATCTCATTGTACTCAATCCACTTGCAGAGCTCCGGCGGCAGCGGCGGCTTCACCTTGATGCTGTACGCCGCGGTCGCTGCCGTGGCGCCCGCTGCCGTCGCCACATGCCCGTTCTCGGCCTGGCCCGCTTCGGCGGCTGTTTGCGGCATGGGCGTGGCACTGCCCATGCCCGCCGGCTGCAGGCTGGCGGTTGAGCTGAGCGTATGCCTGGACGCCTGCAGCGGCGTCTTGGCCAGCAGCTCAGCCATCACCGTGTCCATGGGCACATCGATCACACGCTGCCGGCAGATGACGATGCAGTGGACAAACTGATCGGCGGGACGCAAAAACCGATGCTCCATGAACAGCGACTGCTCATCCCAGTAGATGATCTGCAACAAAAAATCAGAAATTAGCACAAGACACTCTCTCTCTCTCCCTCTCTCTCTCTCTCTCTCGCTATACCCTGGACTCAATGGTGAAACGATGAAAGGGTCGTATGAAGCGACGATAGCGTATGGTCGCCGCGCCCTGAAACACTGAGCCGCCCAAGCGTCTGATCGTGCTGTAGAGCTTCGTGCGCTCGTAGAAATCGACGCGTGCGAAATCCAACTCCCGAAAATAACGCGCATTATTCATGTGATAAAGCAGCGTATCCACATCGTTGCTCAAGCAGAGGCCTAAAACGAGTAAAGAGCAATGAGATGTTGTCCCTCTCTCCCTCTCCCTCTCTCTCCCTGTCTATCTCTGACCACTGCAAACTCACCGTTCACGCTGGTCGTCTCCAGGATGTGGCAGCGACGCTTGATGAAGCGCGCCAGCAGCACGCAGAGACACATGCGCAGGAAATAATGTAGCTCCAGCAGGCCGTACAGCAAGACGATGGCCAATAGGCAGCTGAGCACGACATAGCACAGCTGTTCCATGGTACGAAATGGTTGTGGAACGGGAGACAGGGGCTGGGACGGGGACTGGGTCTGGGGCAGGGGCGTCGTGCTTGAAGGCTAATTAAATGCGGAAGCCAGTCAAACGCGCTTTGTTAGTCTATAAATAACTTCTAATACAGTTATTTTTTTGTTTTCCTTTTTGCGCTCAACGGCTGGTGCTGCTATTGCTGCTGCTTCTTCGGCTTCCTCTTCCTTTTCGTTAGACTTTTTTCGTGTTTGTTTGTTTGGGTTGTTGTCCTGACTAAAAAAGGCTGCACAAGAATTAAGTCATATTTTGCTGACGTTCATTTGCCGCTTCACACAAACAAACACGCACACACACACACACACACCCAGGAACACACACACGCGGAGAGGCTAGCTCCTTCAGCTAATTGTTTAACACGAAGCCGAAAACAAAAATTAAATCAAATGAGAAAAAAAACCGAAAATTTTTGTGTTGTTCAACGCAACGCGCCAACCGCAACGACGACAGCAGCGCACTAAAACCGTTTTTTCATTTTTGTTTTTATTTTTTGCTGCCTTTTCGCGCTGTGTGTGTGTTTTTTGGCCAAATGCTGTTCGCCCGACGTCCGTACGCTGAATAGCGCCGGCAGCGACGTCGACATCGACGTCGGCATCGCTGCTGGCATCCTCGGCGACAGCTTTATCAGCTAAATAGCAAAAGCTTTACGACTTTTAGGGGTTGAACCTGTTGCCGGCGACAGTGACCGGGGCAGGGGCAGCGGCAGTGGCAGCAGCAGCTGCAGCAGCAGCGACTGCAACTGCGACTGCGCTGTGGCCTGTAAGCTTTTTTCAAGCTACAGCTTCCGCTGCTTATGTTAGCAGCAAAAAAGCTAAATTTCTTAACTGCACTTGCTTTGTGGCATTTCGAGTGCTTAGCTGCTTTTCTTCTCATTATTATTATTTATTCATTTGTTATTAAATTTTTGTTGTTAAAGTAAACAACTAACTAAACAAAGCTAAAAAAGCTCACACAAACAAATTCAAAGTCCTCCGGCCGCTCGTTCTTTGAGCCAGCCAACCAGTTAGCTAGTTAGCCAGTTAGACAGCTCGCACGCTGACAAAAAATACCCTAAACGAAAGCGCAGCTTAGACGACTAGAGCAGTGTTCGCTTTAGCTTTTTGTAGCTAAAAGCTTTAGCTCAAAAGTAGTTGCTCTAAAGCTCAAGGAATCTGAATATGTGAAAGCTTTTAGCTTGGGCTAGGCTTAACCTTAAGGGTTGTTTAATGTGTGCTTTAGCTGTAAAGCTCCAAAAATCTATATGTCTGAAAGCTTTTTGCCAACGCATTTAGCAGGACCTAGGCTGTAGCTTAAGGGTTGTTAAGACTATTCACATAAAATATTTAAGATTGCAAAGTGAACTATCTGAAAGCTTTTAGCATAGGCCCCTAGCTTAACCAAATTCTGTGATATTTGATCTAGAAAACTTAATAATAATATGTGTCAAGAAAGCATCGTAAGCCTCACAATTTCTCATAATATGTATAGAGCACATGGAGCAAAGCAAAAGCTTTTAATACCCCAGTGAACATAGCTAAAAAGCACAAAGTCTAAGCTTAAAGCATAACATGAGTCCCTATCTATATCTGCCTAAAAATATATTCTTAGGCTATTCTCACTTAGGCGTATTCTCAAAGCTTTATTTAAAGCTCTTTAGCTGAGCTCTTATCCATCAAAGCTATCAAACTTCAATCCAGCTGAAGGAGGCCAAGAGAACTTGGCAACTACAAGAGCTCAAATATGTATTTTCAAACTAAATTAAAAAGGCAAAAATATTTTCTGATTCATAACAAAAGAAAAGCTCATTCTACGTTGACTTCCAGAGAAATCACGCATACGTCAAGTGGAAATGTAGCACAAGGAAAGCTTCGACTGTCTACAAATAATGCCAAATCAGGTATTAATCTCTATATGATAAGAGATATTAAGCTGAATCTAAGTTCAAATCTGATGTATGATATATGATACATATATATGATATATGATCTGATATATGATATATGATGATTTAGAATGCATCTAAATCTATATATTTGTCATATATCAGATCATATAGTCTATAAGTATTATATATCATTATCAGAAATATAGCTAAAAGTTGATATCTAAGATCTTATTAGATTTGATTTATATTACTGTTTTTAGCTCTATATAATGTCTTCAGAGAAAATCGCATAATCTGAGCTGACTCATAGAGTGTAGAGTCCAGAGGCTACTCTTGATCTTATATATGATTATATGCATATCTATAGTATATATCTTCTCTAATATCTAATCTATATATCTAGTTTAATAAGTCTACTCTATATATCTTCTCTTTAGAGTCTATAAGTCTGATCTATATCAAGTTTATGTCGACTCTATTTATTTGCCTTTATATATATCTTCTATATATATCAATATCTTCTCTATATATCATCACTAACTTTTATCTGACTCGATATATCCACTCTATATAGCTACTATAACAAATTCGTGAAGCTTCCGTAGGTCTACCTAAAATTCCAAACCTGTAAATGCTTAAATGGGTTAATTTGGTTAATTGAAGTTCAACTCGAATATGCGAAACAAAAATCGAAAACTTAGCACATATGGAATATATATATACATCTATATAATATATTTATACAATATATATAAATCTCTCCATTTATATGTGATACATATGACAATTATACGTATGCTAATTGGCCAAGACGTAACGTGGCTTTAGGGCCGCATACTCTAAGCAGCTAGTCAGCACAGCCTATGGGCCCAGAGCTCGTAGGGTAAACGAAACGAAAACACTTAACGCTAAGAAATGTTCGAATCGAGTAAAATTAACAATTAGCAAATCGCACGCTGTGCAAACACGGGAAGTTTGCTTTACTAGGCGAAGTGTTAGGGCTCGACTAAAGGCCCAGTAAATGTAGCTATATATATATATATATTCGAGATCTGTTTAGAAAGTATCGCGAATACTTTATTTATTATCTTTATTAATATTCATTTCGTGATTCAATATTTTCCAATTTGCAGTACTTCTTGAACAGATCTCGCGTGTGTATTACAGCTAACAAATTTCTATATCATATAGATAGATACATATATGCATCTGTTATATCATTGCATTTACAGTCACAATTTTTATTTTATTTTTATATTTTTTTTGCAATTTATTTTTGTCTTCTGAGAAACCCAAAAACTCGTATAGTTCAAGTAATATCAAAGCATTTCTTTATAGATAGATATATCCGTTATATAACCGATATAGTATATATATATTTGTGTACATCTAGACAAGGCTCGAACACCTGTTTGCTGTTCGAAATCGATCAAATATTGACTGAACATTATTTTATGTTTAACAAGTTTTTTCTTTAGTATTTGTCAAGAACTTTTCGAAATACCCTGTTTGAGGTGTGCTAGCTGGGTTGCATCGGTTTGGGCTTATCAATATATGCATTACATGTATATCGAAGCGCTATATAGTCTATAGTCTAAAAAAAAAACATATATTTCAGGCACAAAATCGGACAACTCTATAGGAATATATATGTATATATATATAAATTGGCTTTAGCACAAATTGGTAAAGTTTAAAGTTTTAATTTCAAAATATATATTATTTGTTTTTATAAAAATTAAATATTTATATATCAAAGCAAAAACTTAAACTTAAATGAATTAACAAATTGTTTAATTATTAATTTTTTTTGTTTTTTTTTTTGTTTTTTTTTTTTTTTTTTTTTGAAATATGAAATAACAAATATTTGTCGATTGTTCGCCTGAACTTTCCACATTTCTCTGGTTGTTTTATAAAAATAATTTCAATTTCAGTTTGAACTTCGCTTTTCGTTAGGTTTTTTAACAGAGTTTTTTTTCCATTTAAGCAATTCTAATTTACATTTTATAGAGTTTGATGGTAGAGAAACTGAATTGTTAACAAAACAAATATCACTTACAATATATATATATATATATATGTGTGTGTGTGTTTATATATATATATAGACTTAGGTCTAAGCACATGCATAAAGTGAACGATATTTATCGCGGGTTTTGGGTTTTAGAGGCGTTTACAATGATTACAGGCATATAGTAGAATTATATACGAGTACATTATAGCATAGCTTTCTATATATAGTTACAAACGCGTTATATTATATATATATATATGAGGAGCTATAATATATATATATATAAATATGGGTTATGTACAAGAGTTACAAAAAAGAAATGAAAACAAAAAAAAATAGCAAATCAAATCAAATGAAATCGCATAGGTTTTTAGCAGTACAGATTGTACAGTTTATATATAGTCTATATAGTATGTATATATATATATATGTCTATGCATAGATAGACAACTTTCTCGGGTTTGGCGGCATGGCTAGAAACAATCTTTAGCTTTTCACGCAGCTCTTTTTCATTTCGATTTGTTCGTTCACATTGCGTTTTCCTTCTCCCTTGCTCGCGCGCTTGTGCATTCTCTCTCTCGCTCGCTCTCTTATTTGCTTGTTTTTGTTTGTTTTTCTTTCTGTTGGATTGGATGGTCCACATTGATTATAAGGCATATACAAAATACATACACATATTTTGACTTAACACACTTGGATATTTAGCATTTCTTATCGTCTAACTTCTACCATAAATCATTATCATTCCAACACAGCTCTCGCTCGTTCGCTCTCTCGTTTTCTCTCTCACTCTCTCTCTCTCTCTCTGTTCGTTCCTCGACATCAATTCAATATTCCGTTTACATATTCCGATGAATCCCTTGTTTCATGTTTAATTTCACATAGTTTTGCAGGCAGGCAGGCAGCAGCAGGCAGCAGCAGCAGCAGCAGCAGCAGTTCATCCAAAAACTCAATTCCCAATTCCCATTCCATGCCAGCCAGCTCTCCTCTCGCTCTCGCTTCCTCTCATGCTTTGTCTCACTGGATACGCTCAGTTTGCCGCCTGGCAGAGCGCCTCAAAGTCACAGCGCTCGACGCTATCCGCGTAGTTGGCACGCAGCGTTGACAGCGGACAAAGATCCTCATCCTGCGGACAGCCAGGCAGACGTATCACCCGCTCCTGATGCATGGCCAGAACCTGCGGCTCTCGTTCGATGCAGCTGCCGATGGTTGCAAGAAAGTGAAGTTCAATCAATATACTCTATATGCATATAGCCGCCATCGACTCTATCTAATCTCACTCACTTATAGCGCACAAAGGCCAGATTGGTTGCGAACGCATCGATTTCACTTGTGCGCCACAGACGCTTCATCTCAAAATCCTTGTGCGTGAGCGGACGTTCGTCCTTGGCCACGCCCAGGTGGGCCAGCATCTTGAGCAGCGTTCCCGAATGGGTAAAGTAGAAGGTGGCATTGGCGCGCGGCTGCAATGTGCTGCAATTCAAGGAAATTCGGAATTAATTGAGAACTCGCTTCGATTCACGATGGAGCAGCTACTCACTCGATGGCCGCAAACATGTCGGCGATTGCCGGACAGGCAATGCGATGCGTCAATTCATAGCCGTAGCCATCGTTCCAATAGTATTTGAGGTCCTCGGCAAATTCCAGGGCGCTCAATGAGGCCACATCGAAGAAGCGACACCAGACGGACGGGGCTCGACGGCGCTGCCAGGCCGTCTCGAAGGCGCACACGGTATACATTAGCTGGACATCCTGGGGGGTTAAGTCCATTAATTTGGTAACGGCACGCACATGCGCCACTGCTGACTGCATTGCGGGCTCCGCGTTGAAGCTACGTGCATAAAACATTGTTTCAGGATTCTTATCGACGTCCGTTTTCCAGCGGCTGCAGAGTTTATAAAACTGTAACGAGTGCAAATTGCGGCGAGTGAGTACAAATTGTAGAGAGAGAGAGAGAGAGAGAGAAAGAGAGAGAAAGAGATAGAGCGAGAGAGAATAGAGCAAATGATCGTTCAAGCTGTTTCCTATTACTCGCTGTGTTTACTCGTTGCAGTTGCAGCTAACCCTAAAGCTCACTCGTTGTGACTGTTTGCTATGGCTACAAGCTCTTGCTCTAGCTCTGATCAGTGCAGCTTTAGCTAATATCTGCACATTTAGTTTACTCGTTAAGTCTACTCGTTGCGTCTACTCGCTGTAAGCACTCATTGCAGCGTCCACTGATATCCACAGCTAGTGAATTTTCCCTAGTACCAGACCTAAGCAGTAATAGCATTCACTCGCTACTCGCTACTCGCTACTCGCTGCTCGTCGCTTGTTACTCGCTACTTTGTTATACAATTTACCTGGTGTGGGGCTGTAGACAGCTACCGTGTTGTCCACAAAGCCCACCGCCAGTTGCACCTTATACGGATGAAATGACAGGCATGTGGGATGTCCAATTTTGGAGCCCATGAAGCCCTCGTTGCTGCGCAGCACGCTCTGGGTGCGTCCGTTGAGCGAGTAGATGCAGATCTTCGAGGCGTTGCCACAGGCGATAGCATCCGCCACCTGGTGACTGGCCATGGCCGTAATATCGCTGCCCGCCTCCCACTGATGGAAGACGCCGGACGTGCCGCTCGCCCGCAAATCCAGAACATTCACCTTGCCCGCCGTGCAGCCCGTAACGAGAGACGTATCATTTGCCCGTAGGCAGGCATGGAGTATGGGCGCCGTATGCTCGCGATAGACACGAATCCGGGCGTCTTGAGGTGCACAGCGTTTGTCGAAGAGCCGGACACTGCCATCCGCGCAGCCGGCCACGATCAGATCCCAGCGCTTGTTGGCCACGAACGGCGAGAGAACGCGCACGCTTGTCTCGCGGCGTCCCAGCGGCAGATCGTTCAGTCGCAGCTCCCGCTCCACATCCCAAATGCGCAGGAAGCGATAGGCTTCACAGCCCACGACCAGGTGCTGGCAATACTGCTGCCAAGCGGTCACAATGTCCGTGGAGGTGCGATAGTGGCTATGGCCCAGGCTATGGCTATGGCTATGGCTATGGCTGTGGCTATTCGAGCCGCTGGCCATGGCTGCGGCAACCGCAACTGCAGCACCCGATGCCGCCGTGGGGCCGCTGATGCAGGTGGTGGCAGCGCCGCTGCTGCCGACCGCTGCCAGCGGATCCGTCTTCAGCAATCGCTGCAAATAGGAACTGTTGATGCTGCCGCTGGCACTGCTGCCGCTGCCGCCGGCGCCGCTGCTGCCGGCACCGCCGCCGCAGCCGCTGTTATAGCCGGTGCGAGGGAACGCATCCCAGGCGCTGATCAAAGATGTGGTTATTGCTTGCGGCTCGCCGGAGCCACCGCTCGAGTTCTCCTGCGGCCCGCCCGTTGACTGCCAGACGCGTATGACGCCATCATCGTGGGCGACCAGCATCAGGCCCACGTCCTGGGCATTCAGCAGCTCGAAGCTGCTGACACGCGCGAATATGGTGGCGGGCAGGCGGCTAATCTTGCGTCCACTGCCGCCGCCGCCGCTGCTGCCGCCGCCGCCGCTGTTGCTGCCGCCGCCGCCGCCGACAACAGCGCCGCTGCTGTTGGTGCTGCTGCCCACGGACTGAGCGCCGCCGCCATCGGGCACAGCCTCCGTCACATAGCTATGGACCAGATTGCGCACGAAGTCATAGACGAGCACCTTCTCCTTGTAGGCGACGGCAATCTGCTGCTCATACGGCAATAGCTTCACTAGCGACGGCGTGCACTGCGTCTTGCGCACAAAGCTGAACGCGTCGAGTCGCTGGACGCGCTGCTCCTGCTGCTCGCGGCGCGCCGTGCGGCGGATCTGCTCGTTGCGCTGATAGCGATACTCGCGTTTGCGCAGCTCCGCCGAATTGCGATCGACGGGCCAGCGCTGCTGACCCTCCTCCTCCTCGGTGCCGCTCTCTGCGCTGCTGTAGCGCTGCTTGCCCGGACGCGTAAAGTACGAAATGGCCCAAGGTATGAACTGTGTCTGCACAATCGGCTGCAGCTGCTGCGTCTTGGCGTTGCTCGCGTCGGCATAGTGGTTCGTCTCGCTGCCGCTGCTGCGCGCCGAATTGCTGCCATCGGCCGCATGGGCGCCCGCCGCCAGTCCCAGCACAGCGGAGCTCGCGGCTGTGGCAGCTGTCGAGCCCGTTGGAGCGCCGCCATCGGTTTCGTCGCTCATCGAGGTGGTGCGCAGCTTGCGCTGCTGCGCCTCGTTGCTGCCGGAGAGACGCGGCTTCTGCGACCAGCGATTGTTGCCGGACGAAGCCGCCGCTGCCGCCGCCGCCGCCGCTGCTGCTGCTGCCACAGCCACAGCTGCTCCGCCCACCGGCGGCGACTCGCCACTGGCGCTCAGATAATTGCAGCGCGTATTGGGACTGGGCGGCAGGCTGACGCTCAGGATGCTGCTATTCAGCTTTTGCTGATCTCGTCCACCGGAGGAGCCGCCAATGCCAGCGGCAGCTGTGGCATTCGTCGCCTCCTTGGCGGTGATCAAGCACAGCGCCGTATCGCGCACGTGCGCAATGATCTTCTGGGCTGTTGCGGCGACTGTGGGAAACGGATCCTGGCCCAGATTGTAGATGCCCTGCCAGAGCTTGGTGAAGATATATTGAAAGGGTATCGCATTTGTGGTCGCCGTGCTGCCCGAGTTGCTGCTGCAGTTGCCAGCGACGCCGACGCCGCCGCCGCCACTGCCGCTGGCGCTGCCCACGGAATTGCCAGACATCGAGCTGGAGCTGGCCATGTTCGAAATGGAGCTGGAGCTAACGCCACGCCTGATGGTGACATGGGCATGCCGCTCCAGGCTGTGCGTGTACTGGGCATAGCTGGCGGGCGGAGCATTGGGCATGCCATGAGTGATGCTGGCGCTGCGCTCACCGCCGCACGAAACCAGAGCCGAGCTCTGGCTGTTCATATGCTCCGCCGTGTAGACCGTGACGAACTGCGACTCGAAGAGCAGCACCATCCATTGCAGCGCTGCCGCCAGCTCGAGCCGCACCAGCGGCGACATATCCTCGCCCACCGTCTCCAGCAGCGTGATGGCTATGATGCGATCAATATTGTTCGCTTGTCCCTCGCTGCGATCGGTCACGGAGCTGATGAAGGTGCCCAGGGCGAACACGGCAGCGGCTCGCACCTCCGGTATGGGATCGCGGAGCAGCACATAGAGCTTCTCGTGCGCCAAGTCGCGGGCGCCCGACCAACGGGCCTTCTCAAAATTCTGCCAGAGCATGCCCAGGCATATGGCCAGCCACTGGCGCAGTAGCCAGCTGCTGTCGTTCAGCTGTTCCAGGCAGATGGAGAGCAGGGGTCCCTGCAGCGCGCTCGTCTGGCCCAGCAGGAAGTTGTGGACAATCGAGGCCAGCACAAAGGCGGACAGAGTGCGATGCTGCTTGCTAACGCTGTTGTCCTGCAGCACGGTGAGGAAGTACTTGTATTCCTTGACCAGGTCCACCTGGCAGCTGGGGTCGACGGCGAGTATCTTGGCCCAGATGAAGACCAGCACCGGTCGCAGCTCGCGCGTGGAGCTCTGCAGCAATTTCAGCACATAGGGAAAGATGCCGACGCCCAGGGCAAGGTTGACGGCCCATGGACCCAGGTCGAGAAAGCGTGCCAGCAACTCCAGGGCACGCAATCGATGCACCTGCGACAAGAGCACCTGCAGCACAATCGGCAGCTGCTCGGGCGGCGTCCGGGACTCCGATTCGCTGTCGAGCCACACCTGGAACGCGGTCAACTGATGCTCGAAGAACGGCAACTGGCGGTAGGCCGCCTGCTGTTCGAGTATATCCGGCAGCTGTTGCAGTGCCAAGTCGACCACCAAGTCCCAGGCCTTCCACATGGCGTGCCGATGGCACGGCGGCAGAGCGGGCAGCGAGACCGGCGTGCAGTCGTGGCTGCGCAGGATGCGCTCAGCCAACAGGAAATTGCGGAAGAGACTCGCCACCAGCAGATCCTGGCGGAACAGCCGCTGGAACAGCTCGCGTGGCAGCGTGTTCCAGGCAATCGTGTCCGTTATCGCTGTGAATATCCAATTCAGTTCGCCCATCATGGTGCGGCGATCGTTCACCTTGCCCGGTATCTTGTCGATCAGTTCGCTCTGTATGCGCGGCACCATGCCCAGTTTCTCCTGCATCGCGTACCACTTGAGGGCGATGTTGATGGGCGTGGTTAGGCAGCTGGTAAACAGATCCGCCGGCAGCTGGGCATTCATTGGCAATATCTCATTGGCCGCACAGGCCGCCAAGTGTATGCAGTTCTTGTAGCTGACCAGCTGGCCAGCCGGCTGCGTGCCGGCGGCCAGGGCCTTCTCCAGCTCATGCTCGTGCTGCTCGGCAAAGGGCTGAAACGAGTTGATGATGATGCCGGCATTGGAGCAGTCATACACATAGATCGAGGGTGCGGCCATCCAATTGATTAGCTCGAATATGCTCAGCGGTATATACTGTGTGAATGTCTTGTTGAAGACCCAGATTTCGCCATTGGCGGTCGGCTTGGGTACACCGTGTCCATTGTAATGGAAGAGTATGCGTTCGCCTTTGGCGTTGCGCCGCAGCGAGGTGCACAGTTTCTTGACGTCCTCCACGGTGGGATCGTGGCATTTTTTATATCGTGCACGTGGCTGCCAGCGTTCGTATTGCATTTGCAAATTGCTGCCGATTAGCTCCATGGCCTTTGGTGCCGACACCGAGCTGGGATCGATCCAACATTCGAGCCGTGAGCAGGGCTGGATTTTGACCACATCCGGCGGATCGACGCCAATGTTGAGGCATAGCACCAAGGCAACACTGGCCGTTTTCATGCGCTCCCTAATGCGCCAAGGCAGCGCCACGAGCGGCCATTGCACAATCGATTCGACGTGACGCATGGCCGTAAAACTCAATGGGCATTCCCTGTCATCCAATTGGCGGCGTTCCTTTAGCTCCCCATTATAAAGATATGTAAAATATTCTTTGAGTAGAGGGTGATGTTGCTGTTGCTGTTGCTGTTGCTTTTGCTGCTGCTGCTGCTGCGGCGGCGGCGGCTGCTGTGGCTGCTGCTGCGACGGCGGCTGCTGCTGCTGCTGTTGCTGTTGCTGTTCTTGCATGCGCTGACTTTTTAATTCTTTTATATTACGCAGCCCGTCTAGGCCTTTGGGATCGCTGCTCATGTTGCTGTTGCTGGTGCGGCTGATTGTTGTTGTTGTTGTTGTGCTGCCGCTGCTGCTGCTGCGGTCTCTGCCAGACATTGGCACCTGCAGCGGCATCTTTCTATATATATGTATATATATATATATATATAATATAATATATTATGTATATTTAACTGTCTCTCTGCGTGTTTGTATATTTACGATTTATTGCTGCGCTTGTTGCACTTGGCAATTCCTTTTCCTTCTCCTTCCTCTGCTTCTTTCGCTGCTTATGGTTATTTGTTGTTGTTGTTGTTGCTATTACTTTGCTCTACATAAGACTTTATATTTATATTTGCACAGGACATGCACAACAACAACAACAACGACAACCACAACGACGACGACGACGACAACTACGTCGACAACGGCCAGTGCACATAACCCCAAACAAAATTTTTTTGCAGTCGCACTTTCCTCAAAAGCGACAACGTCGTTTTTTTTTTCTTTTTTTTTCGATCAGTTCTGTAAGTGTGCATATAATATGGGCCTACGGGCGCTTATCTTATCGCATCGGTGTCTCTGCTTGTCCACAACATTTGCAAGCAATTGTGTAAAAAAAAACAAAATGTAAACAATGCTTTTAAGTGTTAAACCGTACAGAAAAATAATATGCACGCGCAGAACGTCACAGTACTAACTAGATTTACGGATTTTCTGGCTTTGTATGTGCATGTGTTCGTATATATATATAAATGTATATATATATGCATATATATATATATGTATATAGGTGTGTATGTGTGCGCGCGCGTATTTGCGGATGCGTGAGCGCATTCATTTTTATGGTCCCCTCCACCATTTCAGCCTCGGTAGTGATGCCATATCGCGGTTTCTTTGGCGCCAAGTTTGAATAATGCAAATAAATAATTAGCTTGCAAGATTTATACTGTTGATCGGCCACACTATATATATTTTTCTTTACTTTTCTTTACTTCTCTTTATTATTTCTTTAAGATCCGACACTTTTCGACGATTTCACTTAAATTTTATTTTCATTTCTTAGATCACTTTTTCGAATTAAAAGCATTTAAGTTAATCATTTGTTCAACTGTCAAGCAAAGATCAACTTTTGAGTCTATTCTCTCTTGTTCTCTTTTATATTCGATATATATTTATTTTAAAAACAAAACAAAATATAAAAAAAAAAAAAATACTCACCCGCAACACAGGATCCCGATGCAAAGGCTCTGGATAGCTGATGGCATGTATGCGATGTCGTCCAAACAATCCAGTTGCAAAGCTCTGCGCACTCTTAAGCGTACGTTGTGTGGCTGTATACTTCATATAATACCATTCTGGATTATACAGATCGGGCAAGAGTTTGGGAAAACGCAACTGAAAGCGTTCAGCCAGTTCAATTAGTTCATCTTCACCCTCGGCGACCAGTAATTTCTCATCGTCCGGCTCGATGTGGGCCCAGCTCCAGCGACGCAGTTGCTTAAATTCATCAGCACATAAATTAGAGTCAGATTGGGCCAAGAGTTGAGTTTGTATTTCGACCAGACGTCCTTTAGCTTGCAATATAACCGATTTGCTGGGATTGCGCGTGCCATGCCGTATAATAGCCCAAATTCGCGTCGGGTGGCAACCTTTTGAAATAAAATGAATCGAATGAGCGTGTGCAATGAAGTAAGCAAACAGCTGTTTTTCATTTCTGCTTTTTCTTCATTTTAGCTAATATCTTGAAAACAATAACAAAACAGCATACCATCGTATAACGGTGCCGTTTCGTTGTAATTGGCGATGGCTCGGTATGGCGTCTTGGTTGATAGACGGCGCTCGATTTCATGACGTTCCAAAGAGTTGCAGCCAGCCTCATCAGCTGTTGTCAGTTGCGGTATTATAAATAGAAGCGAAGGTATTAGCCAAATGTATAAATGAAGCATTTTTCCCGTTTCGTTTATTGGGGAAGGAAAACTTGTCAGTTAAATATAAGAGTTAAAAGTTATATCTTAACTAGTTACAAAACGTAAAACATTGATGTAAATGAGGAAAATAAACTACACACGCACAAACGTTGAACGTGTTTGCCAAGCGGGCTAAATACAAATGAATATGTTATTAAAAGAGAAGCTACAATTGTATATACTATGACATGCTGATTCAGCTCAAAGACAAACAAACACATACAGACGCACACGCTCACACGCACACAAACAAAGGCACGCACGCACACATGTGCAAACGCTTGCGTAGCCAGTTGACACCCTGTGAGCAGTCTGACAACGCTCTACATGTACATTCGATTATTCGATACAATGTGATCGTTTTCAATGGCGCATCATAACAACGGCGTTGTGATTTTCGCCTATATTTCTAAACTGCTGAATTACATTCAATGAAATCTCAACACAATGGGTTCGTACAAACATAATTTTGTTAGATTAGACAAAAGTTCACAAAGTTTTTGAACTTTACAGTACCTGTCGTTAAGCAGCCAACGCTTCCCGCCAAAACGCTGCGTTCCACAACTCGAGCCCAAATCAAGGAGAAAAGGAAAAATGCATTGGACGAGCTAATCAATGCAGCGCCCGAGCAGAACGAGGAGCCAAGCACGTCAAGGAGCTCAGCTCAACCGGCAAAAGTTAAATTGCCAAAGAAAAAGAAAGAAGTGGCCAAAAGGCCGAACAAACGAAATGTGAAAAGCAGCCAAACAAATCAGATAACTAACAACAACAACAACAATTATAATAATAATAATAATAATAATAATAATAATAATAATAACTTGGATATAGAACACGAGTCAATGGAGCGATACAAATTGCTGAAGGTTTTGTGCATGGAACTGGCTAAGCCAGGAACAGAGCCGTTGGAGCCCACCGCTACGGGCTACACGCAGCAGCAGCTGGAGCAGTTCCTGTTAAATTCTACGCTCAAGCAGATCCTGCCGGCGTCGTTGATTGTTGCCAGCCAGAGCAATGCACAGGTGCGTCTTGACTGCCTAACAAATTCCTAGCTAATGCCATCGCATCATTTCAGCATTTAAGGCAATTGCTCAGGTCCATTGACGCCTTGGAGGAGGTGCAGCTGGAAGAGCTATTGGATCTATATCACTTGGCAATCGAGATGCAGAGCTACGAACAGTTGGACACACATTGCCAGGGCAAACGCTGCCAACTGCTGCAGGCTGTCAGCGCTTTGGCCGTGCAGCTGCAGCCCGAATATATTGAGTATGTTGGCATTAGCTTGTGCGATCGGCTGATCATTGGCGTCGGCAAGGAGCGCATGCAACGTGTTATCGACATGCACGGCGCGCTAGTCCTGCTCATCGCCGACAGCGATATTAATCGCCAAATTGCCATGACCATCCTGCTGGCCACCTTTGCCAAAATCTCGGGGCTTGAACTGCCCAGACTGCACGGAGATATTGTAATACCCCCATCCATATACCTATATATAAATATTCCAATGCTAATTATTACCGATTTCAGATAACACTCGCCTTCGACCTGGTCAAGCGCGTGGACTGGATGCGTTTGATAGTCGATGGCTGTGAGGCGGACATGTTTGCGTTGTTGCGCAGCTTTGCACTGATCATCAACACGTATGAGAATCGTGTCGCACATCCGCACTGGCATGCGGGCATCGGCAGCGAGATACACAAGTTTTTCATGCAGGTGCTGCGCACTGTGCGCTTTTCCAGCAAATATAATAACTTAATCATGATGGTAGGCCTGGGAAAACCCTATCGACTTATCGGTTACCGACCAATACGTATATTTATGTTGCTTGTTGCTTACTAAGCTATATGCCTATAGATTTGTATGTGCATGTTATGCTTGTCGATATGTATATATGTAGATATTCCGTGTCCCTCTGTATTATACCAACGCTAACATATCAAAATAGGTTACACGTTTTTGGATATATATCGATTTGTTGTGTGATCGGTAATACATTTATCAGTTATCCGTATATAGCTTGACTTGCTTTATGTATCTGGAAATATGCATTGAAAACCTGTAATATTATCAATCCGTGCTTATGCGAACTACATCTCATACGTTATACTAATCTCCACCAATATTTATCGATTTTGCAGATGGAACGTTTTATAGTATTTTGTGTTGTACGTGGGGCTACAGCGAGGTAAGTTGCATAAATCATCTCTAAGTGGTATAAAAACGAAGCAATTTAAGCCATAAGCGAAGTAGTCAAAGCCATAAATAACGAGTGTTTTTATAAATCAAATTATTCTGATTTACATATTTGATTATTAATCTTAAATGAGAGTTTAAAATTGAATTTCTTGTAAATTATTCGTTTGTTATAAGCGCTCGTTGCTACTATTCGTCAGTTTAGCTAACTAACCAAACTAACTGTACTCTTTTTCTTGTCTCTTGCAGCTTCCATTCCACAGATGTGTTTGACACCGGATCTCTATCGAGCTAATCGAACAACCCCAACAACATTATATTTATTAAGTAATTATACCTATGTACGTTAATTAATTTGGTTGTTGTTATTTTTTCATTATTGCATTTGTTACTAACTCAAATTTAGTTTCTTAAGTAAAGTTCGGGATGTTCAACAAGTGTGCGAAAGCTTTTCAAATTGTTATCTTTTTTTGTGGGTTAGGGTTAAAAAGCTTCAGCCTAGCCATAACTTGGAGGCGTGGCCTGGCGGTTTTTCGGCATTTGGTTTGGCAGCGGCAGAAATTTTGTAGTTCTTAGTCGGGTTTTAGTCGCGCAAAGTGACGGATAAACATTGTCAAATAAATAATATTAATAAAATAAAAACCAAATAATTGAATAAATATAAAATAGACAATTGAATATTGCATGCTGTGAAAAAGAGCTTTTGTTGAATTAATTGTGCTCGACTTTTTTTCGGCTTTACTGTTTTTCTTTTCGTTTTGGCCTAGCATATGGCGCCGGAAAATGCGCCGCCGCGCGGGCTGCTGGTTTATAGCGCCAAAAACTAATCAAAGGTAATGCTTAGCTAACGGTTACAGACGGCTACTTAGTGCCCCACCTCCACATACAGCTACCTCACCGCACCCCTCCGCTCCTACCAGCTAGATATAAACGTTATTTTCATACACAATTTGTTAGTTATTCGCACGGAATGGCAAAAGAATTTTTCGGTCTTTTAGTGCGCCGTGGCACGCCACCTGTTGGCTGTTAGCGCTGACTGTGCGTATGCCGTTAGGCGTCAAGCAGCTTAAATTGCGCTGCGCTGAGCAAAGCGCTGATCGATAAATGACAGTTGTTTATGCACGGCATTAATGTTATTAGACGAAGCCCCTCTTATCGCCACCGTCGTGGTCTTTGTCGTCTTTTGATAACGGTGGCAATATCTTAAGTCATTGGCTTAGAAGCCAGGTTTAGGGCGGAGCGTGCGACCACGTGTCGTGACACGAGCTGTCATTAATTTTAACTCCCTAAGCTGTGCCGTCTGGCGTTGCCAGACATAAGCAATACGAATTTTCAAATATTTAACGTCGCCTTAACGAGACTCAAAACTGTAACAGTCTGGCAGCACTGACGGCCAGATTAAATCTATAAAAAAGAGTTAATTATTTAAGATAATCGCTTTAAGCTTGTTTATGTAGAAAATTTCCTAAGCTTTATTTTTTAATTAACTTTTTGGCATATCAAAAAAACATATCAGAAAAATGTTTAAGAACCTCAAATCAAAGGTCCGTAACATTTCAAGTATTTACTAATACGAGTTCTTGAGTATGATTAATTTGTGCCGAAATACATGTGTTTATTTTTTTTCATATATCGCTTATCGCCAGCAGGCGGTAAATTAATTTTGTTATTGCCCTTTTTGCTTGGTCAGTGGACAACACGAAAAATGTTGAAAAAAAAGAAACGAAAAAGAAACAAAATGAAAATGATACGTTGATCACGCAGCGATAATGCCAGTGTGAAATGATGGAATGATAGAACGTCATAAATGGCGCATTCCATTTTGTTGTTGTTCCCTTTGTCCCGTTCTCTGAGCAACTATTCGTAGCGACAGGCAGGCTGCCACAGGCTCACAGTCTCACAGTTTTACAGACTGCGTGTGTGTGTGTGAAACGTGCCGAAATAGTTTACAGACTTGTCAAAGCAAGCGCGAAGTATATGCTTGCATGCGTGTGCGTGCGCGAGTGCGTGTATGTGCGTGCGTGTGTGCCGTGCCTGCACTTCCTTGTGTTAGCAATAGGGAGCTTTTCATGCGGCCGGCTCTTAAATGGCTTTCATTTTGTTTTGTGCTCACTTATTGTGTGTGCCTGTGGGTGTGTGTGTGTGTGTGTGTGTGTTTTTGCCGTTAGCGCGCGTCGAACCGTGTGCGCTGGCGTCGCTGCCGCTGGCGGCCGCCTGTTTAAAAGCAAAGGACAGCTCGCAGCGTTCAGTACGTAACGAGAAGTTGCCTCGCGCGGTTTGGCAGCACGCAAGCCATATAAAAAGTGAACTAGCGGCCGAGAGAGCGCGCAACCAAATGTAACTGTTGTTCAAAACCAACCGCACAACTGGCCAATCACAACAAACTCTAACTGTCCAATTGGCTACCCAGCAAACAATTGCAAATGCAATAAAAAGTATTCTAAAGAAAAAGTAAACAAATGTAAATTAACTTGTTCTACAATGCAAAATGCAAATTAATTAAATTTTTTTTCTATATTTTTTTGTAACACAATTTTTTTTATTGTGTTGCCAACCAAGTTGTAAGTGTGTGTGTGCTTTTTTTTAGTATAATGTGCATAGTATTTAGATGAGTAGCATCACGAGATCAAATTAACGCGCCTGCCAGCCTCCAAAAGCCTAAGGCTTGGCTGCGCAGCTGCGGTCCACGCAGAACTAGTTTGCAAAAAAAATCTCACATGAAATCAAATCTCAATTAAACACTCGTAAATACTATATACATATATATGTATACATATATATAAATATATATATATATATATATATATATATATTGTATATAAACGTGTTGGCCCTGATCGCATATCGAACAGCTGTTTAGCAAACATATATATAGATATTCATATATATTTATATATCTGGAGTATATAGCTATTAGAGCATATGCGAAAAATCGTTGTTTTTATAATCTTGTCCAATGAGCTAATCTATCCAGTTTAGCTTTATTGTCTCTAAGCATCTGGATCAAGTTTCATTAACATATTAATGCTCTCTAAAGTTTTTTATTATATTACACATAAGCCGCGTTGACCAGAGCAAGAAAAAAATAGTAGAAAAATAGAAAAGAAAAGAAAAAAATGAATTTATTCAGTCAGCATTAAGAAGCTGTTAAAGTCTTCAAATTGTTGCTAAAAAAAAACTTTTTATGGTAATTTATGACATTTCCATAAATCATTAAAAGCTTCAAAGTTGAGCTGATCCTAAGCCTAAAAGCTGCCCATCAATAAATCTATTTATAGTTATCTAACGGACAATATAACTAACTAACTATCTATCTACCTGTTTATCGGTCTGGCTGTCTGTCCATCTATCTGTCGATCAATATATCTTTTATCTGTCCATTTGTCTATCAGTCAAATTATCTATCTATATATCAATGACCTGTATCTCTAACTTTCTTTATATATATATATATATCTATATATATATATCTAACAATTTATTTATCTATCTATCACACGTCTTGTATCAATTTATCTAGCGACGTCTGCTATGTATCGACTTATCTACTTTTTATGTGTACATCTTTCATCTATATATTTATTAACTTATCCATCTATATATCTTTTATATATTTATCTTTTTTCAATTATATATACATATTTCTTGCTACATATTATTTTCCATTATTATTATGAAATGATACTTAAATAAAACATGTATAGATAGATATATATAATATATAAAAAAAATATATTATTTTCTAAACTATGTCCCACATACAGTCCCGGTTCTGATATGCTCATTGTGTCTCAAGAAATAGGGTATATGTGAGATAGCACTCAATAGACATGAGCTGACTAAAACAAGATATGCTCAGAAATTATTTTTAATAATTCCATTTGATTTCTTTAAGCTCGATATATATCGATATTAAGACTCGATTTACTCAAGAGTATCGATGGGTACGAGATAACAAATTTGGTATATATGTTCTGTAGAAATATGTTATTTGGGAATTGACATGTTATCGATATCGGTCGAGGTATATATATTTATATAGCAGAGTCTTGAATTCCATCTGCACAACATGAGTTCGAGATATATAATTTGGCCTCTACATATAATCTAGCTAAGCCACGATAAAGCATAGATATATATTACACACTTGCGTCTATATATATAGATATATAGTATATAGTATAGAAGTAGCACACGAACTGAGTGATGTAGTAAAGCAGGGTATGTAAAGTCGAGCACGACTTCGAACACTTTTAGCCATTAAAACGCACATTTAACAAATTTGTGGTTAAAAAACTAGCGAAGGTCGTTTAGAAGTCAGCGTGTCATATTCAAATTTGATGGATGATACTTAAGTATAGAGTTTATAGAGATTGTTTTGCACTGACGTACAGCTGACCACGTCTTACCCATAATCTAGTTCAAAGCTCACAATCACTATTATTATATTAATATATTTTTTAGCACAGATAATTGGCATGGTTCACGTGTTGTAACTCGAATTGATCTGAGGCAATCGTTCGTCGACGTTCGTCGATCGATAAACAGGGGTATTCCTGCATAATTTGTGTTTCAATTCCATGTTTCAAAATCTGAGCTATGCTGGCGCGGCTCTAAAGAGCTGCCTTCAAAATGGGGCGCTAGATATCTGCTAAAAGCCTAACCTTAGAGCCCTTGTGTGGACCAGCTGGGTATGCCGACTGCTAGATACCCTGTAAAAGTGAAGTCCTGGAATTCTTGCTAGAAAAAAATGTGATTATGACATGCCAATATTCTGCTGACCTGACAGCACATACCCTGTAAATAGACGTCGTGTGGCATACAACACAGATACCCTGTAAATATGGCAGACAGCAGTTCGCTATGGAAATTGTTGCATTTGAAAGTATGCACGACTAAAACATACCCTGTAGAGCTGTAGTTTCTTGTTGCTGTGCTATAGATACCCTGTAAAATGTATTACTCATCGAAACTGATTTGATTTGATAGCCAGAGCTGGGGAATATTTCACTCTGCATGGAGAGACGTGTGAGCAAATCGCTTTGCTGGGGGTTTTCCTCTGTGCCACTGTTCTTCTTCTTCTATTCGTGTTACTATTTGTGTTTCTGTCTTTTGGGTTTCTTTTTAGTGCCGCCGACATCGCAGCTGCTGCTGTGAGCCTTGACGGGATTAGAGGCCGCGCCGCGGACAGGTGCGACGAGTCGCTCATCAAACGGCGATTATCAGTTGCGATCGTAAATCAGATAGAAGGCATACAGTGAGATAGAGGCCAGTCGGCAGGCAGGGCAGGGCAGGGCAGGGCTGTGCGATATGTTGGCCACGCCCAGCGCTGGCAAAGCGCCCACAAAGCCAACCAGCGAGCGGCCCAATCTGAACAATGGCTATCTGCAGGCGAACGCGCTCGAGGAGCTCAGCTCAACTGCGGTCTCGCCGCTGCTCGGACAACAGCAGCCGTTGCCAGCACAGCAACAGTTGCCGCAACCACAGCAGCAGCAGCAACAACATAAATTACCCACTGTGGTTTTTCTCAGCCCCGACGGCAGCGGCGCTGTGGGCAGCGCCTTGCAACGCAATGCGCCAGCTCCAGCTGCAGCAACAGCCCCAACTACAGCTCCAGCTACGACTCCAGCTGTTGCCAGCGACTGGCTGCTGCTGAAGGAGGCGCAACATCGGCGACGTCTGCTGGTCCTGGCCATTGCCTTCACGGTGCTGGGCGCAGCCATCGGCGCTTTGGCCATTTACTTTGCCAGCGTCCATCAGCAATGCCAGCTCTATCAGCGCAACGTGCCACAGGATGCAGGTGAGCCAAAACGAAATGAACAGTTCGCCTCGATCCAAACTGGGTCACCAGGCAATCAACGGCGCATCCGTTGACAGCGTCGAGCGACGACCGAATCGGCACAAGACTCTAAATGTGAATACGCCAAGACAAAGGGAGAGGGAGATAGAGTAATGCAGGCATACGACGAAGTCGGAATACCCTAACTCAGATCCTGGCTAGAGCTAGCTATACCTTCGTGTCTATATAGGTTATCTGATACTGTTATATAGAAGATATATCGGGGAAAGGTATACGGATCATATATTCTATATATAAATGACATAATTATATATATATATCGGAGAAGGTAACTAGAATGATAGAGTTGATATATGATATAATTGATAAGGCTGAGACCCATTACATAGAAGACATAGAGGACATATGATATATAAGGTATACAAGGCATAGATGTATATTAAATATAATATATATAGGGCGTACAGTTAGATAGACAAATAAGTGATATAGGGACTTTATAAGGCCTATGACAGAAGAAGCATATTAAATATATAAAATAAATATAGGGCTGGTAGAGTTGGTATGTATAGGTATACGATATGTTGGGTATATATATGATATATGGTATTCATGATATGTATATACAGTAATCTATATATAGGATGTATAGCTTATGGAAGCTAGATAAAGGCAATGATAGACAGGCAGATATGGGGCTTATAATATAATACTTATATAAGGCATATGATATAAATATAAATATAAATAAATATGATATAATTAAATATAAATATAAATATAAAAATAAATATAAATATAAAAATAAATATAAATATAAATATAAATATAAATATAAATATAAATAGAAAATAAATATAAAATATAAATAAAATAAATAAAATAAATATAAATATAATAGAAAGATAAATATAAATATAAATAAAGATAAATATAAATAGAAATAAATCTAAATATAAATATAAATAAAGATAAATATAAATAAATAAATATAAATAAATAAATAAATATAAATATAAATAAAATAAATATAAATATAAAATAAATCTAAATCTAAATATAAATAAATATAAAATAAATATAAATATAAATATAAAGATAAATCTAAATCTAAATATAAATATAAATATAAATAAATCTCCCTCTAAATATAAATATAAATATAAATCTCTAAATATAAATATAAATATAAATATAAATATAAAAATAAATATAAATATAAATATAAATATAAATATAAATATAAATATAAATATAAATATAAATATAAATATAAATATAAATATATAGATAAAAGACATCTGACATGATCGATATTTTTAAGAAGTGACCAAGAGAAAGCATAAAAATATATTTAAGATATATAGAATGATATATGAAACAGTATATATATACGAAACGAATGGTGTAGTGGGTGCAGAGGTTATACAGAAAATATAATATATTAGTATATGGAACTACTGATACTACTGATAGTTCTTATGAAATGCTGCACATATAAGATAGAAGATAGTTTAGCTCTATCAAATAGTATGCCAGGTATAGTGAGCTTAAGATAAGGCAGGCAGGTGTACGATAGAGAACGACCAGGCTGAAGAGAGTTTGGCCAATCTCTCATATTTATAAAGAGTTTTAGCAGGTTTTACAGCTGTAGAAGCATAGCTGAAAGAGGCTGCTGCCTAGACTTCCATAGAGCCAAGCTCACATATTTATATATATATATATATATAGATATATGCATACCTATATTTATATATGCTATCTGCCTCTCAGCGCCCAGCTTCATCACAAATGGCAAATGCCCCTTGCAAGGCAATGAAAAACTCAATTTCCTTTAAACAGGACGCAGCAACAGGCAACAGGCAACAGGCAAAAGGCAGCAACAGGCTGCCATTTGGAGTTTGGGGCTTTGGCTGTGGTTGCAAATACCAGCACCAGCAGCAGCAGCAGCAGCAGTAGCCACCCAACCACCCAACCATCCAACCATCCAACCACCCAAAGCCCAAGCAACCAGCTATCACAGCTAACATCCCCCATTCCCTACACGCCGCCACCCCCTTGTCCTTTCTCTCTGTGTGCCTTTGCCCTGTTTGCTGTAGGCGCCTTTCATTTCCGCGCGCGTTTCGAAATTCAATTACAAAATATGTCAAACAACAGGCAACAACAACGACAACAACGACAACAACGACAACAACGACAACAACATTGACACCAACTTGCTTGGCATTTGTGGCTAAAGCATTTTCTGTTTAAAAAAAATTACATACGATCCGCATTTCTTGGCATTGCTTGAGCAGCCGTGTGTCCTATAGACCAATGGACCCCGCCCACTCATGGCAGTGCCCCCGCCTCGCCGCGCGGTCGCTTTATCTAGAGCATTAAGCAACACTCGCTCAATGTATTTTCATTTTGGAAAAACCAATCAATTCGCCTATGAATTTCTTGTAATCGATTTCTGGCTCTGTGTGTGTGTGTGTGTGTGTCCTGCTTGTGCGCCCTAATTGAATGACATGCCCACACACACACACACACACACACATGTATGTGTGTGTTGTAAAACGTGCGTTTTAGCGCCAAAATAACAAAAATTTTCATTCATCTTTTTCGATTTTTTTTTTTAACTTTGACCAGCATCAAAGCCTAACTCACGCCTACACCCACACCCACACACACACACACACACTTATTATACTTTTTTGATAAAAATAAACAGTAATTCTATAAATACTTGATGGCAGTTGGGCCGAGCGCAGAGTTTTGCCCTTTTGCAGCCAGGCGAAGGCTCCGCTTGCCAGGCTCCAGGTGTGCTTATTGTTGCTGGAAGTAATTGATTGTTATGGGATTCTACAGTCTATACATAGATATATCAAACTGTAAATACAACCTGAATTGTAACGCAATTTGGGATTAGTCCTAGTTTCCAGACGTTGACAGCTATCAATTAGCCTTAACAAATTTGATTACAGGTCGGAAGTTTGCGTTGCCAGAAGGCAAGGCGAGGGCTAGAGCTGAGCTGAGCGTTAGCAGAGCTGCCTCGGAGCTATGAGTGAGGAGTACAGTGAAAGCAGCTAAGAAAGGCTGTGTGTGAGAGGTAGGAAAAGCTCAGAATGAGGGCAGAGCACACTCAAGGAAAGAGGTAGAAAGCAACCAAACCCGAAGCTAAGACATGCTATAGCTGAGGGGTAAAGCGAGCTACGAGCTAGGTAAGCCAAGGTTAGTCAGGACTACACTCCCAGAAAGTTTCCTCTAAAGCACACATTAGCAGAGGCTAAGTAAGGACGACAATTGAGCAAGGTCCTAGTCAGCAGCTAGGACAAATCATGAGTAAGCTGAAACCCAATTCCAAGCTATTCAGCAAGTGTTACAATTCAGCAAAGAGCCAGACATTTGGTCGTCCAGTAGTTGGGCTTTATAATTGCGCCATTAATTAAATGGACGCATGCAACATGTGTCGTGTCCATCAATGAGTTATCGATCAAAATGTTGACACAGCTACAAAAGAGACAAAGATAGAGACAGAGGGGAGGGGGGGAGCATTGGTATAGCTACCAATAATCGAGGTTAGCAAAATAAGAGAGTTAAAACTCCATATAAAGAGTAAGCCAATAAAATATGCTGTCCGTGCTAAAGGCCAACAATGGCTTTAATTTGTTGTTGCATCAATCAATCAATCAATCAATTCCATTTCGAATTTGTCAAGCTGTGGCATTGGCCAGCGAGACACATTTGATAAAGGTCCCAAACTATTTAGCTATTCGATTGTGCATTGCTCATCAATCAAACAGTCAGTCAATCAATCAATCACTTAATTCATTAGTCGATTCTATTGATTATGCTGCATCAAAGACAACTTTTGGCTATATTTGGAGCTTTTACTCATGAGCCTCTGCTGAATCAGTAGCTCATCAATCAATCAATCATGCAGCCTAATAGCAAAACAGTGCACATAAGTTTTTCACAGCGTGTTTCACTGTTTATCTAGGTTTTTAATTATATTGTGTTTGATTTATCGATATATGTCAACAAATACATCAACGTCAATCAGTCGAACAATCATTCAAACAGCATGCAGCCTCAATCAATCAATCAATTAGTCAGATAGTCATGCATAGGTATTCGCTGTTCATTGCATCTTTTATCTTTCAGCTATTTTTGCATGCAACATCAATCAATCAGTCCATCAATCATTTAGTCTATTTATAACTTTTTTATAGGGTATTTACTAGTTGTCCGCTGAAAGGTTTCTCAATTTATTGCTCTATGAAACTATTACTGATATATCTATGAGTCAATTGAGTCAATTTTGTTAATTAAAACTTTTTATAGGGTATCAATTAGTCGACATTTTTTAGTTTTCCTCTTAAATCACAATTTTACGATACTTTAAGCTATTCATGCCACAGCAATCACGCATTTAGTCAGTGAATCAATCATTCAATCAACTGACACTTTTCCTAGGGTATTCAGCAGTCGTTCCCTTGCACTTGGCTTTCACTTGCTGCTTCAATTTGCCAGTGCAAAATCCTTTTAAATGAAAAATTCAAATTTAATTTACTTGAGTGGCTTTTAAATCGAGGCGAGTGAGTGTCTAAGTGTGTGCAGGTGTGTGCAGGTGTGTGCAGGTGTGTGTGTGTGTCAGGTCGCAGTAAACTTAGCTTGAATGTTCTCTAATTACAGGCGATGGCAGCTTTAACCTGGATGGAGGCAACAACAACATCTGCATGACACAGGAATGCGTGCGAACAGGTGAGTGAACAGGTGACAGCGCAGGGGTGGGGGCTTGATGTTCCCGGTTGAAATGCTGCCATTCAATGCGTCTCTCAATTATTAATTAGCAATTATTGTGGCTAAGTGCGGATAATATATATGAGAAGGCGGCACAGAAGGCGCAGCACGCAGTGAAGTGGATCAAGTGCTTTGAGTGGCAGTTCGAGCGGTTCGAGTGGTTGCATCGCCAACAGACAAGTTGTCGAAGACAGCAACGTTTAACGACCTTTTTATGGGCCATTGCTGGGAATGTGACATTTGGTGCTCGTTGGCATACCGCTTGCCACATGCCACATGCCACATGCCACATGCCACATGCCACATCGCATGCATGCATAACAAATGCATAATCGTCTTAGAACAGTTAATGTAGCCCCCAGCACATTCGCTTCGTCTTCGTCTGGTCGCCAGTGCCACAGCTCATTTGCCACCAAATGTGGCAAGAGCACTCCCCCTCTACCGCTCTGCCATTAATTATATGCATTTGTTTTTATGGCCAATACGCAACAGGCGTAACCACAAAATTTTGATGCCAACTTAAGCTTTTAGCTGACAGATAAAATAGGCCAAGAGCGCACTGAAGGAGAGAGAGGGAGGGAGGGATAGAGTTACTGCTATGAAGGAAGCTTCTTCAGTCTTGAACGTGTTGGCCAGCAAATGTGCGTCATGCACGCAGCAGCACTCGTGCAGCAAGTGCCCAAAGTGGGCATATTGGCTTTCAGCTAGCCAAAGTAAAAAGCCACAAAAAGACTAGGCTCAATTGCTGCATTTCTGGTATCAACATTAAATCGTTTAAGCCTTATAAATGCAGGCCTAAAGTCTTAGGGCACGCCATGTCAGCAAAGACGAAATTCCTGCTCGATGCTCCTGCTCCCACCGTCAAATTGCAGTAAGCTTAAATTTTAGCAGTTTTCCTTTTAGCCAACTCTTCAATATGCAGAGATCTGGCTAAGCCACTGCCAGCTCTATAGATTTCGAGCGCCAAGTCTCGTATGTCATTGAGCATGAAAGATGAAAGTCTTAAAGGCAACTGGCCTTATCGAAGCCTTGCAAGTCTCTATCGATAAAATTGTATAGCCCAAATCTAGTTGCAGGCCAAGAGAACGGCCTTAAGCTAAAAGGGCAACCAGTCCAAAAGGAAAGGAAGGAACTTAGAAGCAGAGTTGAGCAACAGCAGCCGTTTCAGGCGCTGTTCTGTAGCTTGAGCACGAATTCTCGAGGCATGTGTCACAGGGTATTTAATAGTTGAGCAGTTGTTGAAAGCGCAACTCTTTCACCTGGCTCACAGCAAATTCTTAATTATTCTCGCCAAGCTGACAAAGTTTTCAATATGTTTCCTTGAATAATGTTGGCTCTGCTTGATTTATGGCTTATCTCCTTAAACCCTTGTCGAGAACAGCAGAACAAAGTTTTTGGCTCAAAGTCGGACAAAGGCTAAAATTAATTGTTGTCACACGCAAATGAGCGTGCAGCAATTGAGCGAAGCGACTTGCATGATACCCTGTAAATACAGCTTTTTGCATTCTAGGCAGGCAGCAAAGTATCCCGTTCTGCCACTCTCCCTGCCTCTGTCTCTCTCTCTTTAGTCAATGACATGCTCCAGCATACCCCCTTTACTGCGACTACAGGGTATTAGCAGGCGCCGATTGGGGCTTAGATAAAAAGTTGTGCATTCAATTAGCTCCATTCGACGTCGTTTTATGATCGAAGCGTACATGAATTATGGCCAGGAATTTCAATAGCCCGCACAGCTGAACTATTTCCCAGACTTTCGGCTTGATTTACGATTGTTTTTGCCTTTGTTGTTGCTTCGAATGCCTTGGCAGCTGCTTCGCTGCTGTCCGCCATGGACCTAACGGCCGATCCGTGTGAAGATTTCTTTCAATTTGCGTGCGGCACATGGAATAAGATGCATCCGATACCGGAGGATCGCAGCTCGATCAGCACCTTTGAGGTAAGTTATCACCTGTAACCGATTGACCGGGCGACTCTGAATTCAGATTGAAATCAACAATGCAGGTGCTCTCCGACCAGCAGCAGCTGGTCTTACGTGGCGTCCTGGAGGAACCGATCGATGAACACGACAATGCGGCTACGATCAAGGCGAAGGCTTTCTTCAAGAGCTGCATGGATCTGCGTGAGTAGATTTTACTTATCCTTAACTATTATCTAATAACACGAACCGATAAATATCGATAGCCAGGTTAGACTTGTAGCGTTGAAATACTTCGTCGCATAGATTAACTAATTTGAAATCGATAATTATCGATATTCACAAATGACTAATCGATAATCGATCGATAACTTTTGAAATTACTCGTTATCGTTGCTTATCGATTATCAAATATAATGGAACATAGGCTCATATTTAATAAACCAGTTCATTAGCGTTTTAATCGATAATTGTGAAACATATTCGTTATCGATAATTATCGATTGTACTATTTAGCTCTTAAAGTTTATATATGTGAAGTGGAATATATGTAACTTTGAATTTCAAGCTTATCTAAAATAAATGATATCGATAACTGCCAAGCTAATGCGTTATCGATCAAATATAAGTACATATCTTAAGAGAATATGGCACAGTCGATAACTGAAAAGATACAAATTTGAAATAACATTCCTGAAACTTTAATGCTATCGATAAATATCGATAACTTGTAGAAGTTATTATAGCTGCAAGCAGTGCGAATAGATGTCAGAGCAACGCATGCTAATTGTATTTTCCAGGGTATCTAATCGTAATGCCTCTTTGTACTCACAGCTCAGATACGCAAGATTGGCGTTGATCGGCTTAAGCAGGTGTTGCGCTCTCTGGGCGGTTGGCCCGTGATCGAGCGCAACTGGCAGCCGCCAGCGAACTTGAGCGTGGAACAGGTGATGGGTCAGCTGCGCTTCAACTATAGCGAATCGGTGCTGATCGAGCTATATGTGGGCGCCGACGATAAGAACAGCTCGGTGAACATTATCCAGATGGATCAGCTGCAGTATGCGCTGCCCTCGCGCGACTATTACCTGAAGCCGAGCAGCGAGAACGATCGCCAGGCATATCACAAGTATATGACACAGATCTCGCTGCTGCTGGGCGCTGATCCGGCGACGGCAGCCGACGAGCTGCTGCAGGTGATCCAGTTCGAGACGGAGCTGGTGAACGTGTCGCTGGCGGAGGCCGATCGTCACGATACGAGCGCCATTTATCGCAAGCTGACGCTGCCAGAGCTGCAGCAGCAGGTGCCGGAGCTGAACTGGACAGAATATTTGCAAACGGCTGTCGGCGCGGGCATCCAGCTGGACGCCAATGAGCCGCTGGTGACCTACGGCCTGGTCTACCTGACCGAAATGGGCCGGATAATGCGCGAGACAGATCTGCGAGTCGTTCACAACTACATGCTCTGGCGCCTGGTCATGTCGCTGATGACGCACATGATCGATGAGTATCAGCGCGAGCGCGTGGAGTTCCGTAAGATCCTGCTGGGCATACAGTCGGAGCGGACGCGCTGGTCCCAGTGCGTCGAGTGGACCAACAAGAAGCTGGGCGTTGCCGTTGGCGCTCTGTTCATACGCGACAATTTCAACCAGGACAGCAAGGAGGTGGCCCTGGAGATGATACACAATATCAGAGCAGCGTTCAATGAGCTGCTCGCCGAGAACCATTGGATGGACGACGAGACGCGCGCCGTGGCCAAAGAGAAAGCGGACTCGATGAACGAACGCATCGGCTATCCGGAGATACTCACCAACATCACCGAGCTGGAGCAGGAGTACGTGAACGTAGGTATACGGAGCAGCTGGCTGTGTGCTCTTAGCTGATCTCTCTTTGAACTTTGGCCTTAGCTGACGATCGTCTCGGATAACTTTCTGGACAATGTGTTCAGCATTTTGCAATGGGAGTCGGAGAAGGTGCTCAACTTGCTGCGCCAGCCGGTGGACAAGGAGAAGTGGACCACAGAGCCCGCCGTGGTCAATGCCTTCTACAATCCCAACAAGAATGATATAGGTCTGACAGCGACTCAAATTCGAATCGATCTTCAAGTCAAATTCAAATTCAAATTCAAATTCAAATGATCTCCGAATCTTTCAGTATTTCCGGCTGGCATTCTGCAGCCCCTGTTCTACAGTCAACATTTTCCGAAGTCCTTGAACTATGGCGGCATCGGCGTGGTGATCGGCCATGAGATCACCCATGGCTTCGATGACAAGGGACGGCAGTTCGATAAGGAGGGCAATATGATGCAGTGGTGGAACAATGCCACAATTGAGGCATTCCGGGAGCGCACCCAATGCGTCATCGATCAGTATTCGCGCTACAAGATCAACGAGGTGGACATGTTCATGGACGGCCGCATGACCCAGGGCGAGAATATCGCCGACAATGGCGGCCTCAAGCAGTCATTTCGAGTGAGCCCCTGCTTAAGACGATCCTCAGTTGAGCTCGATCTCTATTCCAAGCTATTTTGCAGGCCTACAAGAAGTGGGAGAGGCTGAACGGACGCGAGCAGCAGCTGCCGGCGATCAATATGACGCACGATCAGCTCTTTTTTCTCAACTATGCGCAGATCTGGTGCGGCAGCATGCGGCCAGAGGATGCGTTAACCAAGATCCGATCTTCGGTGCACTCGCCCGGCTTTGTGCGCGTTCTGGGGCCGCTTTCGAATTCGCGTGACTTTGCGCATGCCTACGGCTGTGCCGTGGGCACCACCATGAATCCGGCGGAGAAGTGCAGCGTCTGGTAGTCATGAGAACACAATCACTAGTTCACGATCATCAGCATGTTCTTGGCAACTAATCGCGAGCAAACGAGCTCACGGTCATGATCACAAACTAGGTCATGATCGTGCTTGAACTGCTTTAAGCTGATCGTGATCACAATCGCCTGTCTATGGTCAAGTTCTTCGTTAATCATGCTCTGAGTCATTGCCACCGTCGCTTGCTAGTGATCAGGCCAGTGCTTTTGATCACAAGTGATCACGATCGAGGTCCTGTTCAAGGCTGTCGATCATGATCATGACTTACTACTTTTGATTTTGATCACGATCGAGCACTTGTTTCAAAAACAACAATCAAACGTCAATTGATCATGATCAATATCTAGTCTTCAATATAGCATTAGCTGGATGACGATCGCGATCATGCTTCTAAGTCATGGTAAGGATCATGATCGACAATTGCGCTCGAGGTCAAAGTCAAGAACATGCTCATCATCGTGAGCCCGATTATGCTCATGTTTTGTATAAGCTTATTTTTATATATCTATATATGAAAGCACTTGCATATGTATATATATATATGTATGTATATATATATGTATATATATATATGTATATGTATATTTATATTGAGGGGCGTCTAATTTTTTTCCCATAGATGTTATGTTTTTTGTGTGATGTTTACTTTCTTGTTTATTGTTTTTTTTTTAATATTATTCTGGCTTTTACTATATAAAGCGCGATAGTACGAACATAGTATATATATATATATATATATATATATATATATACATGAATGTACAATATAACTAATTATATTTGTATTTCTATTGTAATATATGAATGTCATATCAGAAAGAGAAATGAGCTACATTATTGTAACGCCCCTAAACCCGAGTCTCCCGTACCCCCCAGTACCCAGTAATTAGTTATCACAAGATAATGAAAGAAATGAACAAGCGGCATTATTAAAATACTTAATAAAGATAATATAGACGAAATAATTCAACAAGTTTTTATTTGGGTAGAAAACATTATAACATCTGCTGAGATATGGGCCACGAGTAGGGCTTACATCCGATAATTTGAATAGTTTTTAGAATCTATAATTAGTTTTCGCTCGCCAAATTCCAGATAAGCCTAACACAAGCAAGAGTGCTATAGGGGATGCCCCTAGCACTGTGAAGCGGCGATTCACACACACATTGCAAGCAACACACGCACACGCACACGCACACACACATACGCACGCACGCGCTCTGCTTACTGCGCAGTTGACGCAGCAGCTGCGCTTGGGCCGAAGCTTTACTATGGGAACTCAGTTGCTGAATAACTTTTCTGCTGTACGGGCTTTCTTGATGAGATTTTTGGAGCACATTTAGGGCATACAGATGATTGTGTTTGCCAAAGCACAAGTCTCTAGTCGTACGGTATTCGAGCTACGCTTAAAAGAACGCAACCAAATTATCGATATTTATTAATAATGAGCAAATGCATTGAGTTATCGATAAATAAAAGCTAATCTTGCGCTGCGTATGAGTATGCACAAGTATATATATCAAATTTCAAGGCTCTAGCGTTTGTAACTTACGAGATCATAAGATCATATATATATATATATATATATATATATATATATATATATATATATATATACCTTATGCCACGCCTTCTTCTAGCTATTTTTTTGCTCTAGTTTGTTGACTCAATGAAGGCAAGCTTGCCCACTTCATTTGCCGCCATATACCCCTATATCATGTATTATTTATTTATAATAAAAAAAAAAAAAAAAATATATATATATATATATATATATATATATATATATATATATATATATATATATATATATATATGTACTTACCCAGCCTGGAACTAAGTGAATTTGGAAAAATTCTTGCCGCCATTTTGAATCCATAACAGCAGTGTTAAGTTGACAGCAGTTGGTCGAGGCGCAGCCAACTTAACAAGTTGACAGCAGTTGGTCGAGGCGCAGCCAACTTAACAAGGCAATCACAACCAGCGAGTGGCAATCACATTGACGATATGCTTGTGCGATTTTATTCTTGAATAGTTCACATCGATGTGTGGCGTTAAAAATGCCGCTGTCGATGTTATGTACACATAATATATAGATATATAAGTCTAAGGCATATGTATATAGTATATATATATAGTTATATCGGAATACATCCTGTATATGGTATATATAGTTCGTAAAATGTCGTTTCGTTTCACTAAAGCTATGTAGTTAGGTCAACTCTAGTGCCTAATTTGTATATATAGTATATATAGGTATATATAGGTATATATAGGTATATATAGGTATGTATTGTTCTATATAAAAGAAAAACATCTAGCAAAACACAGTCCGTTGTTAGGAGCGATGTCTGTCCCACTTGCAACAGTTGATAGAGTGAGAGAAACCATAGTTGCTAGCCAAGTTGTTAGCTTGGCTAGGGATCAATTGAAGCTACATTTCACATACATAAGACAACTAACAGCTAACAACTAAAGAAGACTGGAGCACAGAGCCTGGAAGCAACTGAAAGCTCTGTAAACACTGGAAGCATCTTCGTCAGCACCTTCGGAAACTGAGAGCCATGGGTAAGTGGCTGGAAAGCAGCTGATCTTTGAGAGAGCCACAAGTGTTGCTGGAAGCGTAACTATTGGACACGGAGGCATCGGAAGATGGACAGTAGCTGGAAGAGATTGGAAGTTACTGAAAGCTAGAAAAGCTGCTGGAAGCACGCATAGCTTTTGGCAAGTGAAAGAGCTTGGATGACTTTGAGCCACTGCAAAACAGCAGGAGATTTGGAAGCCATTGCAAAGTGTATGGAAGAGGTCGGACTGGAAGCCTGCAAGTGAACTGGAAGCTTCCAATAAGTAGAGTCAGCTGAGAGCCACTGGAAAGTTAGTGAACGTCGAGACTGAGAATAAGCTTGGGATCACTTACAGGAAATACTGTGTCGTCGTCGCCATCCGCTGGTTTGGGAACCTAAGGAAATATTCCGCACGGAATTATCACACATGCTTATGCCCTAACTAATTTAAAAGGATTCGACTTTGTGCAGCTGTTTGGTGCTGGGCGTCGTCGCTAGATGCGCAGGGGTCGACTGCGCGCTGTTCGCGCCTGGCCCTGTGACCAGGCTTGCTCATCGGCGCTGGCGAAGATCAGATAGATGAAGTTGCCGGCAATATTGAGTCCAGCTGCCAGCCAGAAGACTATGTGCCATTGGGTGAGAGTCTCGCGATGATTGATTATCAGGCCGATCACGTAGGGCGCGAGGAAGCCGCAAATGTTCGCCGCCGAGTTGGTGATGCCGTACATGGTGCCGGCATAGCGTGGACTGAGGGCGATGTGATTCATCTGGTTGCCAGCGTAGACGGCGCCGCCGAACGAGCCAACGCCGGCCAGCATGAAGGTGACCCAGACCCAGTCGCAGCCCACGTAGATGATGCCAATCAGGCCCAGCGACGGCACCACCGAGGCAATGCTGTTCCACAGCTTGTAGGAGTTCAACAGGGAAATGTAGCGACGCGCGAGCATCCAATCTGCCAGAGCGGAGCAGGCGATGCCCACGAACCAGGAGGTGAGATACGGCACAGCATTGAGCAGGGCATTCGATTGGATGTCAAAGTGGAGGATGTTGCTCATGTAGGTGGGCAGCTCCGTCAGCTGCGTGTAGAAGGCCCAGCTCTGGCCACATTGCGTCAGGAGAATGGCCCACAATGGCACGCTGCCCAGGAGTGAACGCCAGGGTATGGCATCCACCTCGCTCGCAACGGCTGCTGTCTCCTCGTGTTCGTCATCCAGCACATCCTCATCCAGCAGCTGTTGGTGGTGGTGGTGCAGCTGTTGCTGTTGCAGCTGTTGCTGTTGCTGCTGCTGCTGTTCGTGCTGCAGCGAGCGTTCGATGTAGGCGCGCTCCTTGCGCGAGATGCGCGGATGCTCGCTGGGCTTGTCATACACCAGATACATCCAGCAGACGAACCACACCAGACCCAGCAGCCCAAAGATATAGAATGCCGATGGCCACCCGCCCAGAAACTGCTGCGAGCAGAGCCAGCCCGTCAGAGGCATTGAGATGACGGTGCCAATGTTGGAGCCGGCATAGACGACGGCTGCGAACTTGTTGCGCTCCAGCGGCGGTATCCAGTGGGCGAGCATCGCGTGCATTGCGGGATAGGTGACGCCCTCGCCCATGCCCTCCAGTATGCGCACCAGCACCAGCAGCGGCAAGTCCCAGTGGGCAGCCAGTGGCGTTAGCAGCGTGAATATCGCTGTGATGAGCACGCCATAGCCGTAGATGCGCTTGCCACCCACCAGCTCGGCCATGCGACCGCCGGGCACCTGGGTCAGCACATAGCCGTAGAAGAAGCTGCCCAGCACCAGGCCCTGCGTCGCCTCATCCCACACGAATTCGCCCTCAGCGGGCGTGGACACGGATTGCCAAAAGGAGCCGTTCGGCCTGGGAGCTGGCGGCAACGGACACGTATCGTTGTCCAGGACGGAGCTGTTGCTGTGCGGAATGGCCGTCTGGTTCACCATGGCCACAATGGCCACCGAGAGATTCACGCGCATGGCATAGACAACGGCGAAGCCCAGAAAGCCCATCAGCCCAAAGATGTGACGCGACTGCAGCAGGTTGTTCTCGTTGTTGTTGTCCGTCTGGCCAGCTGGCAAATCAAAGAAGAAGAGATTTTCAATGGCATTTCAATATGACCATGGCCATGGCAGTTACCTCGTATGAGCGGGCGATCGCCATCGGCGTCGCAGAACGCCTGACGTTCGTCGTCCGCTTCGGTGTCATCGTCGTCCGCATCGGAGGCGCCGCCAGCTGCTGCTGTTACCACATTGTCATAGTAGCAGGAGGCGTCGCGCGTTTCGTCTGTCCAGCGATGCGGCGGCATTTTTGTTGTTGTTATGGTGGTAGTGGTGGTGATGGTGGTTGTTGTTGACGTTTCAAAAAGCTAATTTTAAATGTCAAATGTTTGTTTCTTTTCTTTGGGTTCTTGTTATTAATTTTTGTGCAATTGTTAGCACATTTTCTCTTTTCCGTTTTTCTTTTCCAGCAAGCACAACAAAAAACACACAAACAGGGCCAAAGACAACTCACCAACAGCTGCGGCTGGCAGCGACTGAACCGTTTGGCCACCAGCAAGAGCAAAAGCAACAGCAACGGCAGCAAAAGCAAAAGCAACAACTAAATCTAAACACAATAACAACGCTATGTAACTGTTGTTGTTGCGGGCACTCTCTTGCGTACTGTGTGCTTAAGTACGCGCGCGCGCTCTCTCTCGCTGGCTTAGGAAAGTAGAGCAGCAACAATAAGCAACTCCAATAAGTGAATGGTTACTCACACTCTCACGCTAGCTCGCCCGCCCGCCCGCTCACTCTCTCTCTCTGTCTCTCTCTCTCAGCGAAGTCGCATTTGACGGATTTTCGTTAAGCGCCAACAACTAATACATAGCTATTGCTTACATACAATTTTACTTCCCACACGCACACACACAAATAGCTGTATGGATGTGTGTGTGCATATCTATGCGCCTGTTAGTGCGCAATACGAAATGCATACATATGCATATTCATTAGAAGGGGCAGCCAATGGAAAAGTTTCGTTGTAAGCTTATCGAACTTTGAATGCACTACTACAATGTAAATTTTATTGAGTTTATTAATGATTAAGTAAAAATTGTGTTATTATATATTATAAAATATTTTTTATTTTATATTTTAAATAACAGTGCCTAGTCATAATAATTTATCAGTGTAAATTCATAATAAATATTTATATAAAAATATATGTATATAGATAAAAAAACGTATCTTATCTTCTAGTTAAAATGATGATATTTTGTGCTTTGCTCAAATATGTTTTGACTTTTTCATTTTTTATCTTTGACATTAAAATGTATAAAAATCTGTGTTTCAAACTGGTTTTGAACAAATTCAGCAGTTTTCGGATTAGTCGAAAGAATTTATGCTATATATATGCATACAGGGTATTTAAGCTACAAAGCTTGATGGAATGTTATAAAACAGTTGACCCAGCTTATGGCTTCCATTTAGCATTGTACGAGCTATTAGCATATAAGTAATTGCTATATTCGATTGAGTCATTTAATTAGATAGATACCGTTAATCGGGCAAAGCTCTGATAAAACGCTTGGGGCTTGCCAAACTATATACGTATTTTCGTATTAAATATTTTGGCTGATGGCAACGACCTAGTAGCGCAAACAAATACACACCTCCTGAGCTGAAAAGAGTGTGAGATGATGCTCATTAAAAATGTGGCCACAAAAGTGGGGTGGACTTGCGTCCCATATGAAATCTATATATTATTAATAGTAAGTATTAGAAAAGTGGAGTATATAGCATAGCTGCTCTCTACAGGGTATCTGTTAGGCGGGAAGAAGTACATATGTGAGTTTGTCTAAGTGTGGTACAGGGTATCTGTAAGTTGAGCATGCCTTTATAGCGATATAGCTGCGACGAGTTACAGAGTATCTGTTAGTCGCGCATACTTATCTACGGCAACAAGAAAATCTAATGCAATATCAATTGTAAAAATATAACTACAGCGTATCTGGCTGTCGAATATGCCTTACTATATTATAAGTATAGATTATCAAAATGATAAGTCGGTCAGTCAGAAAATGTATTCATAGAGTATGTGTTAGTCGAGCCTGCTTGCTTACAGCTGCTCGATCAGATGTGTTTTTGTGCATGAACTGGCAGCGATTTACAGGGTATTTGCTGGTCAGGCAAGCGTGCACGCGCATAGTGCACCTGCCTAACAGTTGCTTATCTAATAAGAAACTTATCTGATAGGAAACACGTCTAACAATGCAATGGATAACTCTAATAAGAAACTAGTCCGATAAGAAGCGCATTAAACATTGCAAAGTACTTATCTAATAAGAATTCCATTCAGCCATGTAATGCAAATACATTTATTTAAGAAAAAAAACATACTATTTGGAATATATATATATATATATATATATATATATATATATATATATATATATTTATATATATTTATATATACATATAAATATATATATATGTATATATATATATATATATATATATATATATATATATATATATATATATATATGAGTATATATACAGATATTGAAGTATAGGAGTATCTAGATGTCAGTTGGCGAAGATTGTGCCGACGGCAAAGACAATGATCTTGCGCTTCTGATTGATAGTGAGCCGCTCGTAGTGATAGCCCTTCTCGACCTTGACGTCGTTGGTCGGGCCGAGGTCGTCCTTGGGGAGGATGGGGGTCAGGTCGACGTTGAAGCAGTTGAGCATGAAGATTTCGTTTTTGAGCAGGGCGCAAATCTCGTAGGCGCTGGCCACTTTCTCGTTCCAGATGCTCACCGCGCCGTACTTAATCGTCTCCTTCTGGTTCACCTGGGTCGCATCCTTGGGCGTGCGGAATGTGTGCATGGTGACGATGCCAGTTGGCTCGTCGCCAAAGAAAGTGTGCGATATATCGCATACAATTACGGGCGTGGCATGATCCGGCACCACTTCCGGATCGCCGACAATCGTCTCGGCCTTGAACTGCAGCAGCTTTTGGCGCGAGCGCAAATAGTTTGGATGCTGATAGACCTGCGGATCCAGCGGGTGCATGTTCTCAACCAACAGCTCGTTGAACTCGTCGCGCACGCTCTCCTGGATGAGCACCGTGGCCACCGCGTTCTTGCCGAACGGATCGTGCAGCGAGGCCAGCAGATGATGCCTGGCGCTGTTCAGATCGCCGCCCTCGAAGACGATCATCATGCTGGGCGATTGCCATTCGTATTTCACCTGAGGCGGATCGCCGGCGCCCGCTGAATTCCCCGATGGGCCTTGATCTGCGGCCGCTGTGGGCAGCTGAGATTGAGAGAGAGGGAGATACAGATAAAGGCAAGCCTGGTCGCAGATCAAAGTTCACTTGGGCTCACGCTTATTTGCCGCTTCTCCTTGCATTCCAGCTTGTGCACCATGTTGTAACTGATCAGGGCTGGTGGTTTCGGAGTAACGGGTATCTTTTCGAAGCCGATGTGCTGATCCTCCACTTCAGAGTTTAGCATGGCGCTGACTTTATTCACAATGGCTCAACAATTCACAGCGAGTGTTATCACTAATTCCACTCTCCCTCTCCCTTTCTCACTTACAATGTGTTCGGCTAGATAACCGTGGTTAGCGTTGCCAGATCGTGTGTTTTGGAAAATTTAAATCACCTGCTCAAATTAAAGTGTCGTGTTTGTATAAATATCACATTTTGTTGAAAGTGACATTTCACAGCACTGCAAGATTTGCTCAAATTTGAATTTACAAGTGCCGCAATATATCGACACGATATTATTTTGTACTTTATGCATAAATGCGTTCGTTTTTTGCTGTCAACATAATTGATTATTTCATTTTTAGCAATAAAACACTGATTTGTTTGCTATCTTCACAACAAAACTAAAATTGTTCTACGAAATGAAGTGAAAACAATTGCTAAATACATCGATGTTTTTGTTAGCAACACAGCCAACTATCGATACATTGCACTTCTGTAGCCCTGGGTTTTGCGCTCGCTGTGCAGCACTGATTTTGATTACGCCACCGCAGCGCTGACTCCGGCGCCGACGTCGACGTCACTGGGGGTCCGTTTGTGTTGCACTGTTTTTTTTATTTGTATTCACTCATAGATATATATATATATATATATTTATTTTTTTCACACATCTGTTGGTCGATTGGCGCTGCCCCATGTACAGTTCACGTTCAGCTGCAAACTGAATAAGGTCGAGCGCTCTATTCGTGTTGCACAAAATATTTTTTTTTGATTGTTATTCATAACATAGTAAAATAAAGTTAATCAACCAGTAAATGAAACTGCATAAGCATTTTTTTTTATTCTCGCTCAACCAATAATTTTCATTCGTTGCCGCTGTCCGCAGACATTTGTGCTACACTGTGTACTATTGTTGTTGGAATTTTGGAAATTCTCCCAGTTGAATTTGATTAAGCGCTGCACTTGAGTGTTATTGTTGTTGATATTGTTATTCTGGTGCTTACGCCCTACGACAAAAAAAAACACAAAAGCGGCTGCTGCTGGTGATTTTATTCTAGCTGCAATCGTTAAAAATAATTGTGCAAAAAACAGAGATTGAAGACCAACAAGTGCGCGGCTACAATTGCATATTGTCCATGTGTGCGTGTGTGTGAGAGCGTGTATTGTGTATTTATAGCAGCTGTATTTGTGCGTGAGTGTGCGTGCCTGCGTGTTGCCTTTTTGGCAAAGTGCGTTCAACCAATCAAAAGTGAAATAGAATTTGACAACAACAGCAACAGTTGAAAAGTGGAACAGTACCAAAATAACAGAACAGCTGACAAAGAGGCGAACAGCACCGTCAAGAGCGACAGCGACAAAACGGTTGTTGTCTACTCCTTCTATTCCTTCGTATTCTTGCTTGGCAACAGGTGTCGACGGCTGCGCAGCTGCATTTGCTAAAGCAACAAGATGACCGATTTAAATGAACTCATGGGCTCGCAGTTTGTGCGCGTCAAGGTAAATATTGGGGGCAAGTGTGGGTGTGGAGGCGTGACAACTATTGAAGCCAGTCAACAGCAGCAGCAACAGCAACTTCTAAGCCTCACACACTTAGTGGGCTGCGCCGGTCCAGTGTTAGATAACGCAGCTCAGTTTCGAGTTCAGTCGCTGCCCCCTGCTGCAGCGCTGCTTATTAGCACATAATGCAGCCGGCAGCGACGCAACCGCAAATGCTATTCGATATGTTTTCGACTTTTGTGGCAGGCAATTTGCAACTTCGCTGTGGGGCTTCATTTGAGCCGCTTATTGAATAGACGAACTAACACTCCTTCTCTTTCTCCTCTCTCTCTCTCTCTTTCTTGCAGGTCGTTGCCTTTGTGCACTTCGTTTTCATATCGAATGCAATGCTCGGCATTTGGGGCCATGGCGCCTACGAGTTTTACAATTTCCTTTTCATTATTGCTATGTTCTGGGCGATACACAGCAAGGATTCCATTGAGGCGGTGCAAACGGTAAGATTTAACACAAAGTTCACTTCTCTGCTCTCTGCTCGAGCTCTTCACTTTCGCCTTTCGTCCAACGGCGTTGCCACCCAGTTCAATCACAGCTGACGCAGACAGTGCGCATTATCAGTTAGTTGGCGCCTGCATATGCAAAGCCGCTGACTGATAAGAATTGCGAAAGTATCGCCCCCCCCGCCGATATCTCCATCTCTCTCTCACTCTTTCTCTCGCACACACACTCTCTCGACTCATCAGTCAACAATTAATTTACAATTTGCTTTAACGACTATTTATTTATTTTATTTATTGCATTTGTTTTTGCTTCTCTTCATTTTTTTCGCTTATGTGAGAAAACCGGTTCTGACGAAATCCGAGAATTAAATTAACATATAAACTCGACTCGTTGCTGCTATTGAATGTGCGCTATACTATAAATACAAAATGTTCTCAACGCCCACAGAGTCGAGTAGTTTACAGACCCCCTGCAGCGGGCAGTACTCTGTGAGGCACTGTAACTCCATTCGTAGATCTCAGTTCTTACTCCAGCTAATCTTCTAGCCTAAATTTGGTTTAGCTTGAGATAAGATTGTCACGAGGCTTTCATTATTGTTTATCTTTAGCTCTGACAGCATTGAAATTCCAGTCTAAAAGAGTTTAATAGTTGCTTAAGTTCTAGATAAAACTACTCAGTAAAAATTGAAGCTGTCTAAAAAACGAATAATTCTAGGAATTATTTTATAGTTTTCTATGTATCAAAAGTTCTTTAGGTTTCCTATATTTTAATGGAACGTTCGATTAGAATATTAAGATTATATATGAAAATCATAATAAAAGCCAAAGTAAATATTTTCAAATTTATTCCAATAATATAATAGTATATTTTCGAACTTCCTTGTATTTGCTGAACATCAAAAGCTCATATTATAAATCAAAAATAAATATGTAAATGTTATTTGGAAATTCTTTGAAATTTCTATGACCAAATTCCCAGTATTTGAGTGTACGACAAAATATATGCATCTAAAATAAATAATTAATTAATAAATGCCATAAAAGCAAGTATCTTCAGTACCCCAGTATTATATGGAATTAATGCTTAGACATTGAAAACCGATCGATCATGAATCACATCTACTTTAAACCGCGCCAAGTATAGCTTCTGATTCAGAATTTAACACTAAGCTTAAGATAAGTCACTTCAGAAGCATAAACCCCTATGGAAATCTATAAATATTTAGCAGTTCTTCAGTTTCAGCGCATGGGGGCATATGCTAAGCTATAGACCGTTGAGCAAGAGTTGAAAGCTAACGGCACCATTGGTCGCACAACACGTGGAGCTATGCTAATTATAGACGCGTTTGGTCAGACGCCCCCGCCCCACGTCCGAATAAGGCAATGCTGCTTATAAGGCTTACAGCTTTATCGGCCATATATGTGTGTGTATACGAGTACATATAGTTGCTTAGATGCCAATCGGATAACTGGAAGAGTTAGCGGCTCTCGCAAGGCAGTTGGCGTGTCGGGCCCGAAAGTCTGAGCCAATTTGAACTTTGACATTAGCCCGAAATGGGCGAAAGGCTCGTAATCCCTGAGGCTAGCCTGCGGCTAGGATGTCGTAACGCACGCGATGCCCAATGCCACGCACGGCCTAAGCACACATAAATCTATAGAGGGGGAGTAAACTCGACTGCCACATACCCTAAAGTTCCAATTGTACTCAATTTTGACAGCTATAACCCGAGTATTACTAATTGATATTTCAGCTAAATGAGTATTTTCGAACAACAGCTGAGTGCTGAGCACGTATACACCCGCTCTCCATCAGGGTACAGGGTATTTTGAAATACAATTTCATTTGCGGTCAATCACACGAAAAGCGGCCATCGCGCTGCCTCTGCAAATGGGCTCTAGTTAGGCAGCGGATCCTTTTTGGCCCGGGCCATCAACCATTAGCCACGCCATTTAATCAACTATGCGGAGGGCAAACTTTGACCCGAAGCCCGCCCTCAAACGCAAAATACTGAAAGAGAAAAATAATGAAACCCCAATAAAAAAAACCGAATAAACATTACATATTTACGACTCTAAAGGGGGCCCCACGGATTGCTTGGCAATCCGAACGAAACCTTCAATTACATTTCTAATTTATTAGAATTTATTATTTAATATAAGCTAGATTACGATGAAATATATACGTATATACTAAATATAATATTTATATTTTAAACAGCCCTAAAGTAGGCTACAAAAAAGACTTGTGAAATTTGGCTGAGAACTTATTGTATCAATTGGCCTTAGGCCAGATGTTGTTACTATGAAAAGTAGCGAGTGAAATGTAACGAGTGCAGATGTTGTAAATCATATAGATAGTCTAGATGTGCTACTGCAATTACAGTAAAAGTGTAATATGTAAGATACGCAAGACAGCCTTGTCTAATTATGAACAGCAGCAAGGTAAATCGAACGAGTATAAGGTAACGAGTAACAAGTAACGAGTAGAGATAGTCGTTGTAACAGCCAGTGAGTAAGAGCAGGAAAAATTTACATTTGATCTAATGAGCAGCATTGAGGCTTTCAATAATGATGTTAGCGAGTAACGAGTAGCGAGTAGCGAGTAGCGAGTTGAGCAACGAGTTGTCTGAAGACTAGTATAAGCCATTATTTAACTTTTGAATGAGAGTCATTGAGCAGCCTTTATTCTTAGCTTGCTGCACAGCACAGCGAGTGCAATGCAACGAGTAACGAGTAGGTATACTCGTTCTAGCTGGCGATAGGAGCAATAGCCATTGCCTGACCTCACACGGCAAAGGTGCAAACAGGCATAGCCTTAATTATTCAGTAAAATTGCAGACTTGACCCCGAAACACACCTTGAGCAGGCGTGTCCAGCTAATTGGCATGTGTGTGTGCGTGTGTGTGTGTGCGCGCGTGTTTCGACCAACTAAAGTTCAAGCGTTCAAGGTGAATGCAGTTACCTTGACTGGAAAGGCGTCCAGTCACTCTCTCTCTCTCGCGCCGACCTCTGACCTATGAGCGCTGCGAGCAGCAAGTTATCAGCCAATGCGATCATTAACGAACACTGCCCTAATCATAATGCCATGCATGTCTTCTATATCTTCCAGGCGCTTGTGATCGATGCCTTAAGCATATTCCTTGATATAGTCAACATAATCATTAGTTTCAACTTCATGAGTAAGTAGCACTAGTCTGGCTAGACTTTGCGACTCTGTGGCGTACTGCTATGTGTAACTGTTTCCGTTTTACTCTTTGCAGATGGCTGGGCCGTTGCATTTACCATCATCAATCTGATACTGCGTCCGCTGAGCGTTGCTCTGCTCTATCGCGAGTTCAATACGCGCGGCGGCAGCCTGCAGACCGGCTCCGTTTTCCCCACCAACCAGCAGCGCAGCTACCAGGACATAGATCGACCCACGCAGCCGACACCCACCAATTCGCAGCCGGGACCCAACGTGGTGAGCATTTTCTAAGCGTCAGCCTAAGGCGTCAGCCTTCCTCAACTCACACTGCGGATTTGGCCTCGAAATCAGTTACAGAAAATGCGAAAATAATACAAAGAAAATACCCCATATACTCCTTTACGCAGCGTGAACGTGCTCGCGCCAGTCGCTGAGCAAAGAAAGTATATTCTTTTAATAATATTATTAAAAAAAAGTAATTTTTTTTTTGTTATGTCCTAGCTTTAAGAGCGTTACAAAAGATATATATGTAGAAACGTATGTAGTCTAGAAAGCCAGATACACTTTTCTTCTTTCTCTTCATCTATACACTCTAAAGACAAATTGTAACGATTAACCTATATACACTATATATATATATATTTATATATATAACTTTCTCTATCTCTATATATATATTCTATATAATATTTAAACCAAAAACAAACAAAAGCAAAAATTGAAATAAAAAACAAATAATTCGATTTGTAGTTTTTATATCTATATAAGAAATTTGTGGCCTTGCGCCTTCGTATACCTAAATAGTGTTTATTGTTTTAATAAATAATCGAAGTAGCGCCCGAAATAATTGTATGTACAAGCCCGCGAACAAGACAATTAGTGAAGAAAACAAATAGCAGAGAGGTCTAGGCGGCAGGGTCCGACTAGAAAATACCCTGAATGCCGTTGCGTGCAGTGAGAGAAGAATCTCTGATCGATTTCTAATGACAAACGTAAGAAGTTATCGATTATGCGAAACATCTATGTATCGATAATCCAGGCAGATGGACGGACGAACGAGCGGACAGACTAAAACTAGCAAATCTACCCCAAATACACATTCGCAACGGCTGCAGGGTATAACATCAACAAAAAACAAATAGGAAAAACTTTTTCGAAAGTTCCGCCTAGAAACCTTCTTTGGCCGCACGGAACTTATATTGATTGCTGCGTCCATCCAGGCAGGGCACCTGCACCAGGTTGAAATAAATGGAGCCCATCAGCTGCGAGGCAGACGTATTGGTCATCTTCAGGCACGAGAACAGCATATCATCGCAAATGCAGTGAGATCTACGGAGGACAGTTCTATATATAGTTCGTGTCAATGCTAAGGTCTGCAGCTACTTACTTTGTGTAGAGCGAGTCGTTCATGAGCTCGTATTTGTTTTGGTAGGCGCGTATCTTGATGGGGCACAGATCGTGCTGGCGACAGCAGCGATCCATTGCCATCTCGCTGCCCAGATCGCTGTACGTTTCGGCAATGTCGCCTGTGCCGCACCACTTGGTGCCTGGAAGAAGCAACGAGAGAGCGAGAGGATTTAGTTCATTTAGTTTAGCAGGTAAGAAAAAGTGGAGAGTGAGCGAGCATCTCGTTAGAGACATTGCTGAAAAACTAACGAGAGAACAAACTCCTTAGCTAAAGAGTCTCAAAACAGACGAGCTGCCATTTAGCGAGTAGATACACTAGACTAAAGAGCGGCCTAGCTCGTGGGCTACAAAACTGGCGAGCTGACGAGAGCTTGGCTTAAGCGACGAGTAGCGAAGCTGACACGAAGCTAACGAGTAACTAAAGTGTTGACGAGAAATAAAACTAACGAGTGGCCAAATTGACTAGTTGCTAAACTAACGAGTAAATGAGCTGACGAGATTCAAATTGATGCGTTGCTATGCCGACGAGAGAGGGGTCTAACGAGTTGCTAAGGTTACTAGTTGTCGATGAGTCGATTAACTAACGTGTAACTAAATTGACTCTTTTAAGACTAACGAGTAGCTAAACTAACGAATTGATGAGCTTACGAACTCTATCAAGTAGTTAAACTAACGAGACATATGGGCAAAGCACAGCTTGGCTTGCCAGTTAGTTAGGCCAGCGACTCGTTAGTTTGATGGGTCTACTCGCTGCTTTTACCTGGTATGATGCCGCTTAGCAGCGAGAAGGGGCTGCGCGGAAAGATGTTCGCCGCCAGCTTGAGTGCGACGCCATCCTGATTCGCTGAGCCACCGGCACTGCCATTGCCGCCCGATACGCCAACGCTCGACTCGCTGCTGCTGCTGCCGCCGCCGCCGCCGCTGCCGCTGCTGCGCTCAGAGCCCTCATCGCTGGACTTGTACTTGAGCCTGGTGGCATAGCTGAGCTTGTCGACGTGTTCGCACTGGTCCATCAGCTTGAGCATTTCATCGAACTTGATCTCCAGCGGGCGATTGTACTGCGCCAGACCATCGAGCAGCATTTTGCCCTCCTTCTCGTTGCTGCAAGAGACGAGTAGCGTAGAGTAGAAGCGACGAGTGCAGCTACTCGCTGGCGAGCTCTACTTACTAAATCTCGATTAGCTCGCAGCCAAGCAGCAGCTTCTGTGGGCCCAGCTCTGTGACGGCTATGGTCAGATCGTGATAGTATATCATGATCAGCGAATCGTTGCTAACGCGCTTGCCGCTGCACGAGGGAGACAAAGAGAGGAGAGAGAGAGAGAGAGCGATAGTGAGAGGCAGTTTTATGCGTGGCACGCCTATGGGCACACGGCCAGCCCAAACGGGCATTACAATTATGGCCGAGGACGTGACTAGTTTTTAGTGAAACGCGAAACGTTAGCGGATTATTAATGCACTCACCTGTACGTTTTCATTTGACGCAAGCTGCGCTGCTCGATGATCTGTTGCGTGAACGACTGGAACGAGGGGAATCCCTGCAGGCCATGCGGCAGGCTAAAGGACAGCGTTGGCTTGGCCAGCGCCACCGAGGAGCCGAGGTAGCCCAGCAGCGCGCTGAACAGCAGCGAGCCAAGCAGCTGCAACTTGACGTTCTGACGCATTCTGATAGCAGATAGCTGATAGCTTCTCTCTATGTGTATATATCGGACTGTGCTCGATTGATTGACCAGTTAAGATCGTCGCCTGATCAGCTATGCCAGCGGCATAGTCTTCCGGGTTGCGGCGCTGCCTCAAATGGATTTCTGTCGCCTGTCGTTCACAATACGAAAACAAAACTCATGAAAAAAACTTTCTATAATTTGCTTGAGGCTTGCTGGCTGGCTTCTTGACTGGCGCTGGCTTGGACTTGGCTCCAACTGTTTTGGCTGTGGCCTCAGTCGCCCATGTTTATTATACCATATTTTATTTATTTCTTAAAAGTTGCGGAGGCCCGGCCCAAGCAGAAGACGGCAGACAGCTGAACGCATTCACAGCGCGCGCTGTCAACCAGGCGAGCCCTTGTGTCTACCCAGTGTGCTGACACGCTCAAAGTGTGCTAGCGTGGCATTGGCTAATAGAGTGCTTAGGCCTGAGTCCTTAGCCCTTAGCCCTATTCCTTTGACTACCTTGTCTTAGTGCGACTTGGGCAATATTTTCCCATCCGCGATTGCGTGTTGCTGCCTCTTCAATAAGTGAGGCGGACACACACGCACACACACACTCTAGAGACACTCACACATACACAGCGCTATCTTATGCATATATGGGCCTATGCTGCGTATACGTAATGCTGCATATTAAATATAATTGCGTATACGACACGTATTGCAACTAAATATTTATGCTTCGGCTTTTGTTGCTTCTAGTTTTCATTGTCTTATAATCGATTTCAGTCCATTCCGGCAGCGATTTCCTTGGGCAATTCCTTGCACTCCAACTGAGGCCTTTGCGTTCTGGACGCAGTACGAAGTAGGCCCTGGCTTAGTATTAATAGTTTATAGTCCTCAATGCGAGCCAGTTCTAAATAAGCTGAGGAATACCTTTAGCTCTGTTGCTTGCTCTGTCTATAGATGGCAAAGTGCTGAGAACTTTAACCGACTCAAGGTGCCGAATACCCTTTACAAACAAAGCGACGTCAAGAGAACTGAGCAAAATGAATAAAGTTTTGGATTGCTTGCTGGATGACCTTGAGGCTGGCTCATGAACAGAATGACTAAATTTTTTATGGCACCATTCGAGAGCTTGATTAATGCATTCATTATTTTAGCAGCCGCTTGCGGTCGGGCCTCGATTGCGCGACTAACAGTTACCCTCTAGTCTGCAGTCTGGTTTGCTGATGATCGAGACAGAGAGGGGAATCCTCGCTGCGTGACTCAAATGCTTCTAGAAGTTGCTTTTAGCTTCGTTATTTCTCACTCTTTCTGTGTCTCTCGAGATATATTCGAACATCAGATATTTCTATTATTTACAGGGTATTTCATATGGGCTAAAACTTCATTTTAAAAAACTTGATTTGGCTATATTTATGTGGCCATATCTCAAGAGCCGCATTGGACTTCTCTAGGAAATGATTTGGATTTCAAAAAGGCGTTATATTTTTATTGAATATATAATATATATAATTTACTTTTTGAAATCGGAATACTATATTTCAAACAAATCTTGGCTCATTAGCTGAGCTATTCCACTTATAGAGAGATACGTTCATTATCCTATCTTCACATTTGTTATGGAAAAATATCTATATATCTATATAGCTATATATCTATATATCTATATGTCTATATATCTTTATATCTATTTAGCTATATATCTACTTTATATATATATATATCTGTATATCTATATATCTATATAGCTATATATCTGCATATCTATTAATATATCTATATCTCTTTCTCTTTCTCTCGTTCTTTCTCCCACTCGTTCGCTATGTGTGTTTGTGTGTTTCTTTCTTTCTCTTTCCCTGTCTCTCTTTCCTTTCGCTCCCTCTCTCTCTCTCTCTCTCTCTCTCTCTCTCTCTCTCCCTCTCCCTCTCTCTTTCTCTTCCTCTTCGTCTCTCTCTCTCTCTCTCTCTCTGTTTCAGCTTCTCTTCTTTTCTGTCACTTTTGTTTTCTTCCTTTCTGTATTCCCTTCTCTTTCTTCTTAGCTCCTTCCCTCACTTCCTCCCTCCCTCCCTCTCTCCCACTTCTCTATTCCCATGATTCATTCATCACACACATTAGCATCGCGGCTATAAATTTCCATTCGATTATTCACTTTTCTTGAGGCACGCCTTCTGTCATCTGCCCCAATGCAACATATGTGTTACGTGGCTAATTGAGCTCTCTGCGGACAGCTGCTTAAATGTGAAACTTTGCACACTCCGTAAAGGAAAGCTGCACGAGTAGAAGGAAAAGGCGAAGAAGGCGGAGTAGCTGTCCAAATATATAAAAAAAAAGTAATTGAAAAAAAAACGAAAATGTCCGCACGCACGAAACATGTTAATCATAAAGGCAAAAAGAAACACCTTTATGATTTTATATATATATATATATATATATATACATGTTTATATATAGTATATAAAATATTGCATTGTTTTAGCTTTTATGATGTTAGTTTTTTCTCCCTTGACCAAGGTCCGCAACACGAAAGTTTACGCAAGCGAACAATGGCCAACTGACTGGAAGAGTGGGAGAAGTGGGAAGAGCGATGCGAGCGGGGAGCAGCCAGGAGAGGGCAGAGGGAGACGCGCAGCGGGCGCTGGCCAACTGAACTGAAGTGAAAGTGGCTCCCATTGTTGCTGCTGCTGCTGTTGCTGAATGATTTTTAGCGCGATTTCAATGTAAACAATGTGAACCAGCGTATGCAAGTTGACAAATCTTCAACAGCAGCCAGTTGGCATTGGCAACTTGTTTCACGCGTTCACGCCCACACATACACACAAAAGCTCATGCACACACGCACACACACGCACACACGCACACACTTGAGGTGTTGGTCAAGCGCAGTTATTCAACACTTGACACATTAAATGGAAGCCAAAGCGAGATGTGACTGAAAAACGAAGACAAAATGAGGGAATTTTCAGAGTGATCTATCGGAGGCGGGGAGAATTAGATTAAGAGGGGGGGGAGAGAGAGGTAGAAGAGAGAGGAGAAAGAGAGAGGAAAGATGCAAGAGGAGAATGAGAATGAGAGAAAGAGGAGAGAATGAGAGAGGAAACAGGAAAGAGGAAAGAGGAGAGAGGAAAGAGGAGAGAGAGAAAGAGATAGAGAGGTAGAGAGATAGAGAATAGAGAGATAGAGAGATAAAGAGATAAAGAGATAAAGAGATAAAGAGATAAAGAGATAAAGAGATAAAGAGATAAAGAGATAAAGAGATAAAGAGATAAAGAGATAGAGAATAGAGAGATAGAGAGATAGAGAGATAAAGAGATAAAGAGATAAAGAGATAAAGAGATAAAGAGATAAAGAGATAAAGAGATAGAGAATAGAGAGATAGAGAGATAGAGAGATAGAGAGATAGAGAGATAGAGAGATAGAGAGATAAAGAGATAAAGAGATAAAGAGATAAAGAGATAAAGAGATAAAGAGATAGAGAATAGAGAGATAGAGAGATAGAGAGATAGAGAGATAAAGAGATAAAGAGATAAAGAGATAGAGAGATAAAGAGATAAAGAGATAAAGAGATAGAGAATAGAGAGATAGAGAAATAGAGAGACAGAGAGATAGAGAGATAGAGAGATAGAGAGATAGAGAGATAGAGAGATAGAGAGATAGAGAGATTGATTGACAGTGAAGAAGAGAGAGAGAGTGAAGGAGAAAGAGACAGAAAGAGGGAATAAGTGAGAGAGAAAAGGAGAAAGCGAGAAGCTGAGAGTGAGAAAAGAGAGAGAGTTAGAGAGAAAAGTATAAGCTGAAAAATCAAGTGAGAGAGAGAGAGAGAGAGAGAAAGAGTGCAGGTAGAAGAGTAAAAGAGATAGAGAAAGAAATAAGAAAGAGAGAGAATAATATAGAGAGAGGGGGGAGGGGGAGAAGAACCACAGTCAGGGAGGGAGAGAGGGAGCAAGGAAAAGACAGAGAGAAAGAGTGAAGGAGAAATAACAACAGAGAGATAGAGAGAGATGTAAAGAGAGAGAAAGCGAGAGAGAGCGACAAAAAGCGATATGGAGAGAATAGGAAAGAGAAAAGGAGAAATCGGAAAACAGAGAGAGAGAGAGAGAAAGAGAGACAGGGCGAAGAAATGAGAGAGAGACAAAGAGAAAAAGAGTGAGAGACAGAGAGAAAAATAGCGAGAAAGGGAAAGAACTATACTGAGAGATAGAAAGTGAGCAGCATATTAAAAGTTAGAAAGTCATAAACGATCTTAGCTAATCTTAAGTTATGAGATCTTCACAGATAAGCGCAGACTACAATAGACTAAATTAAATAGATCTTTAAGAGTTTCAGTCTCTAAAAGAAAATTTGACAAGCGAAACATGTGCTCTTGAGAAGCTGTCGACATGAGCTCCGATCTCCCGATCTCCCGATCTCCCGATCTCCGCCTGCGGAGAGCTTCAATCATAGTTCATGGACAGCGCTTGACTCGAACTAGTTTTATGGTCTAGCTGAAGCCAGTCTAATTAAATCAAAGTCTGAGTCCGTAGTTCTCTGTGAGCTCATCCATTAACCGGATGAACTTTCCATCTAGCTGATGCGATCTAAACTAATCTGCTGAGTTGTTGAGCTGTTGATCTCGACATCATAATTAGATGCGCGCGAATCTCGTTTGTTTTTTGTGTTTTTTTTTTTTGTTTTTTTTGACCCACGTTTCGGACCCATTTCAGAATAAACAATAAAAGTTCATAGTTGAGCGATTCGTGCTGCGATTTCCTGCTAACGGCCGAACGATCTCCCCATTAAAACAACAACAATCAGGAAATGAGTGAAGTACAATGGCAGCAAGCCTTAAGGCCAAAACCCCAAAAGCCAAATCCAAGTTGAAGCCCGAAAGCCTATGCAAATCGCAGTACCAAATTTGGGAATAGGGAAACTGAAAACGAAAATGACAACGAACGAGAAGAGCAAGAGGAATAACTTCAAAATGTGATGAACTAATAGATGCCCTTTAGTTGATCTTAACGAAGATCAGTGAACACATCAAACTAACTTTTTACACAAAGAAAGAGGAAACCCTTTAAGCTATCCTCGTTTAACTGTACTTAAGCTCAAAGATGAATAGATCAGAAATTTATCGAAGATGCTTTGATCTGAGCTTAAAGCAGGCTCAATCTCTAAGCAGATCTATATAATGTCAGCAATTGATCAAACCACCCTCGCATACACAAGAAAACTTAACTGCACTTCAGCTGAAAGAGCAATGTATCTATAGGGATTCGGAAATTTATCAAGCTACCCGCTCTATGCTATTCTTAATGAAGCCTAGATAGATTGATGTAGTAAGATCTTTTCAAATTCCGATATTATCTCTAGTTCTTTATATGATCAGCCACTAATCGGACTACCCTCGTATATACATGGCTCTATGCAGCCTAAAAGTACGAAATGCATGAAGCTACCCTCGTACACATCACACTGCTGCGTATCTAGGCTGACAGAAGGCTAGATCCGTATAAGAAGATCAAGGCAGGTTCAGAAATTTATTGGACTACCCTCGTGCTTCAATCTATGCTAAGTGCTCCGTATCTAGACTTACGGAAGTCTGTGTCTTTCAGATACTAAAGTGGAAACTAGCGAATATATTCATTGAATATATTTATTTTCTCATATATACTGTCTATAGTATTTGAAAAGTCAGGTAAGATCTATAATTTACCCATCCCAATTATGTGACCTGTAGCCTTACTAGTGTCTAGTTCACATAGATTTAATTTCCACTAATGCTTTCAAAAGTTTTATGGGTCCGTCCCTTGTCACTTGAACCGTACATCATGCACTCTTCGTAATCAATTTCAAGGGTAGCAAAACGAAACTTGGCCAACTTGAACTTGGCTAAGTGTTTTTTTTAGGGGGCCAACTTGAACTTTTCCAAAAGTGCAAAGCTTTGCATAAGCCATCAATAAAAACGAAGCAAACACAGCAAATGAAAACAGGCAAAGAGGGCTCGAGTCGGGTATGCGCGACTGTTGAATACCTCGCCTCTGACTGAGGACAAGCAAATGCATGCAGATATATGCATACAGATATATATCTGACATAGCTCATGGGCTTAGCTGTAGGTGATCCATCCATTCCCAATGGGCGTGTCTCTATAGAAACCTTTTCTAAATTAGGGCTCAACAGTTGTAAAAGGCTATAGAGACTCCTGATTTGCCATGCCTATTCAGGACACCATGTCAAGTGCTTAACTTCCAGTCTCTGGCGAGCCAATATACTCTCGTTTTGGCAGCTGGCGAGCGGGTATATTAACATAGGTCAGTGAGGCATGAGAGCTAAGCGAATAGCGAAAAGTAAAACTCGGCCGTGGGCGAAATTCGCTGATGTTTCGCCGTTGAACCGCTAAACTTGTTGCTTGTCTGTCAAGTTGTTGTTGCAGTAAAAGTGGCTGCTGCAGATGCGCCAACAGCAACAACAGCAACAACAGCAACCAGCAACTGGTTTGCAAGTTCGCGGCTTTAACTTTCACATTGGGCGCACGCTTAATTGTGGGCTTTAATCTTGGTTAATTTGCTCCAGTTTTGATTTTCATTTAGTAAAAAACCAACAACACGCCAAACGCGCACGAATCGGCGATTAAAGCGATGCTCGATGCCAACAGTTGCTGCTGTTCGTAATGATGTTTCATGCTGTGCTGAATGTGCTCACATTTTCACAGTCTCTTAGTACCAATCCCAAGCTTAGTCTAAGTCTGCCAATCTGAGATTGAGAGACTGGGAGACTGGGAGACTGAGAGACAGCATCAATCTCACAGTCACTCAGTCTCTGTGTCGTTTTACTCGTTGTTGAGCTACTCATTCAATCTACAACTTTACAGAAGAGAATTTTCTACTCGTTAAACTTTTGACTCGTTGCTCTTGCGAGCAGCGAGTGGCTACTCGTTACACTTGACTCGCTCATTAAGCCAGCTAATCGCTGCTGTAAGCGTGATAGATAACGAGCTCGTCTACTCGTTGTTTCATGAAACGAGTCTTTACTCGCTAAGGCATGCATTGCCTAAGATCACTATGAAAAAGAGAAATTGAATATTCAAGTCTAACTCTACTACTCTACTCTACGCTACTCGTTACAATCACTCATCGAATCTTCAGGTGGCTCTCTCGCCGGTTTTGGAACTCGTCTAAGCACTCGTTACTTACTGAATAAATACGGCTCATTCGGCTATATGGCTCTACCGAGTCGTTTATAATTAAATGCTTGTTGCCAATAGTATTTTCAGCCCCATTTGGAAATCTTTATGCTTGACTGCGCTATGGAACGATTTTGTGTATGGAACCAATCTGCAATTAGGTTGTAAAGTTTCGATCGATTGCAGCTCAATTGCTTAGTTTCAGCTCGTATTATCCACTGCTAACTCTTATTTGATTGCTTTGGCCTTCAAAACGAAGCAAGTGAGCCAAAAACTAAGCCAAGTCTCTCGTAAGCTTAACGCATTATTAAAACTCGCTACTCACGCAAACTTTTAACCTTTACACTAAACATTTCAATTAGGCTTCACGTTCGAGGGGAGTTCGGGTTAAGCAAATGAGGTTAAGATTCAACTTGCTTATGGCAATACACTATGCGTCGGGTCAGAGTGAGTATTTGGGAGGTATTAAGACTGATAGATATAGATATAAGATATATAATAAACGATATACGATAAGCGATATACTATATACGATATAGATATACAATTTAGATACAGATATGCTGTATATATATAGGTTCTGTCTCTCTCTCTCTCTCTCTCTCTCTCTTTCTAGCTCATTTGGAGTCTCTTCATTAATTTATATAGAAATATAAATCAAGTAATATATAGCCATAGAGCTATTGAGGTAGGGTATTGCCTGTTATAGTCTAGCTAAACTTCGCATCAAGGCGCTAATCATGTGAATGGGAATCGGGCTATTGGGAAATTGAGAATGATCATCATCATGATGATGATAGTGATGCTGCACTAGCTGAATGACGATAACTGGTTGCTGCCACGGCTCGTGGTAAACAATGATGAAACATAATGATGGACTTAATATTGTTGTTATTGCAGCTGCCACATGCGATGTGGTTGACAAATGCAGCTTTGTGGCAATCCCATACCCATTCCCAGACAATTGTCTCTCCTTTTAATGCGCCGCTGACAAGTGTGTGTGTGTGTGTGTGTGTGTGTGTGTGTGTATTGGTGTGTGCCAGTTTCAGTTAAGGTGAAACTCGGCCACAGTGCAGGCCATGTGTAGGACCATAAGAGCTTTAGCAGCATTTAAGCCGCAATCAATTTATCTTGGATCTGCATCTGTATCTTAGCTTTCGGCCGGGCCAAACCAAGCGAGCAAACAAGCCATAGGTAAGGGGGGAAAACGGTAATAAATCACTCAAGAACTAGTTGCAATTTGAATTAATTATTTGCCATTACGTTTGCCAAGCGGTTTTGCTCTTAGTCGGTCAGTTTCACTTTTAAAAGAAACAACAAATACCAAAAAAACAAAAAACAAATGCCGAAAAAATTCAAAATCGAGACGCGAAACAAAACGAAAATGGAACGAAGCAACGCACGCTTCAAATCGTATGCGCACAACGAAGTTTATGAGAACCGGACGCCGCCGCGCAAAGACAGCAACTGATTCGATCCGAACTGATCCGATGATGTTTGGGCTGCAGCCGAAGTTGTTTGAGCCGACGCTTAAGCGGCAGCCGACCAGACAGCACAGTGGCGCCCTACACTGGGTTAGGTGTGCCAAATAAATGCAAGTATTTTCAGGCAACATCAGATAATCTTAAGTAAATATTTTTATTTAAATTTATTATAACAAAAATCTATTACTTAAAATACTTATCTATTATTTAAAATACCTTCTATGCTTCATAAATTTATATTTTCGATGCACACAAATACAACGTGGGACACTGTGCGGCATCAGAAATGTGTCAAAAGCAAAAGCTACGCTTCAATGGTCGCCGTTGACGTCGCCGTCAACGCAGCAAGTGCTGCACGTTTTTTTTGACAGAACTGCATTTGTATGCGAGCACGCGGGCGTGTGCGTGCGTGTGTGGGTGCAGTGCAAGCCGAATGCTAGTGATCGATCGTCTATGGCTGTCCGCGTCGACGTCAACGTCAACATCAATATTTGCGCGCTGCTTTATCGTCCATAATTTCACTTGAAGCCAACTTGAGCAATGCCGCGTAGCGTCGCGTCGCTGCCGACGTCCAAAGAAAAGTGACAGTGGGCCAAATGGAAGACAATTAAAAATGGGCGCTTTTAAATACCTGACCGAAAGTGAAGACAACAACAAAAACGAAGAGGCGACTGTGATCCCCGCTAAATGACCACAAAATACGTATAAATTAAAGATTTACAAGACCTTTGTTGAAAGCTACGCTTATCCGATCATCACAGATATATTAATTCGATTTGAAACACCTGACTTAAATGTATTGAAAAGCAGCAAACAAATTAAGATAAAAAAGACATAAACAAGGCTTAAGATTTGATTAAATTCAGAATGAAAATTGAATCGACTCCGAAATCCGTCTTTTCTTCAATTTCGAATAACTCCAGCGCCGTTGAATGAAATACGATTTTGGAAAATTTATACTTTTCAAATTTTTTAAAATCGGCTTTAATGATGAACTTCGAAAGACATTAGACGTTACTTAAAACAAAAGTTCGAGTTGAAAAAATACTAGAGGATGGATAATGGAATTTGTGGGAGAACTTCAACCATTCATCTTGGTCTGGAAATAACTGAAGCTAAAACTATTGTTATATAACGATTCAAGAACAGGGAAAGCTTCCTGATATTTGTATCTTGATTCTTTTTTTTTTTTGATATTTTTTTTCGAATTTTTTTGGATTTTTCATTACCAACGAGGATTCTGTATTTGTTGAATGGAAAGCCATCAATCTTCCCATTCGATTTGCGACTCATCGCCGCTTGTTGACACGGATAGGGTAAAGTCCATGCTGGAGCAAGTGCTGCCGGCGTCATCGAAGTTATCGTCCTCCTTTGTGGTCATAATCACGTCGTCATCTTCCATTTCAGGCAAGTCACGATTCTGCCTATAGATCAGCTCATAGATGACAACGCCCTCGTCCTCCTCGGGTATGGTTGGCATTGCCTTCGGCATTTGTAGTCGGTTCTTCGCCAATAAACAAGAACAGATAAAGCTGCGCTGTTTTATAATCTGCCGGAAGTTCTTCATATTGTTGGACATCAATTTCTGCTAGTTTTTATGTTAATTTATGTTAATCAACTGCTTACAAAACTAAATAACTAACTAAATACATAAATGTCTAGCACAAAGGCAAGGCACACCAGATGCCCCAGCCCTCTCCTTTCCCCAAACAAACACAAATCAAAAGTGCTATTCCGGTTGAAACGTTTGCGAAACACGCACAAAGAGAAATGCGAAAATTATTAAATAAAACTGAATGCAACAGAAAGAATTCAGAATGTTCGACTACTGAATACTCTATACTCAGCTTGGCAATATTTTTACAGCTATAATCGTACCTATAGCTTGGGGTACTAGAGCTAAGGCAGGACTCGTGAAGTGCACCGCAAAGTCTAGGGTATCTCTCAGTCGAGCATTTTGAAGTTCATTTAGTCTATTGCGTTACTTCACACAACAGTACAAATAACTACGAAACCATCCAGAATATATACTGAAGAACACTATAATTTTACACTTCCAAATCTAAATCAAAATCCAAATCTATATATATATATATATATATATATATATATATATATATTGCTATGGACTATAGTTTTCTACAGCATTTTACCGTATTCCCTTTAAAGATCTATACAAGTTTAATAAGTGTCAAACATATTTAATTTTTTTTTTTTACATTTTTATTTTGAGATTTTTTTTGAGATTGGGCGTTCGAGCCGATGCCGATGCCAATGTCAAATTGTTTTAGGCTACAATAGTGTTTAGGCATATTAGTTGTTAATTATAAATATCTCTGTTAGTACTAGGCATAGGTATCGTTAGTTTTATTGTGTATAAACTGGACTTATTTATGTAGTTTCGCTTCACGAATCACACAGTTAAGTGAAAGTCTAACTGCTCCTACGGACATTACAGATAAGTTCAAGATCTGGATATCAGAGAGAGAGAGATAGAGAGAAAAATCCATCGAGCTAGCTTACAATGCGTACCGCATATATATACCTGCACAGGTGAGCGGTTGGCTAGAGAGGAAGAGGAGGGAATTTGAATGTTTTTGATTGAATGATGCAAATACTATTTACGTATTTATATATATACATATATATGTATAAGTATATGTATACATATATATCTATATCATTATTCACATACAACACTACATATAGATATATATATCGAAAGATCCGATGCAACGAATCGAATTAAACATTATGCATTAAACTATTTAATCATTTATTTTGTTTATACATCATTATCGTTATATATATATTCATATATATATATATATATGGTATGTCTTCGTAGCACTCAATTTTATTCATAAATTGTGCTACAGAATTTTGCATTTGCAACTTGTTTTAACAGTTGATTGGTTCTAAAAAAAACTTTATGAACAACATATATATTCATTGATTATCAGTTATCAATACATATATATTTATATATAAGCATATATATATATATATGTATATATATATATATATATTTATATAAATATATATATGTTAAGCAATCACATTATGTATTCGTATTTAGAATTAAAATATGAACGATTATTGGATGCATATTTTCGTTTTTTGTTTATGTATCCAATTACGAGGTGTGTGTATGTCTGTCTTTGTGTGTGTGTGTATCAAAATTATAGGGTATCTCAATTCAAGGCCATTTTTTTCATTGCCTGAGTTCGGTTTCGAAATACAAAAAGTTAACAAAATCAAATTTAGATAATTTCTCTAGTCTGTTTCAGATTTCTGCTTCTGCTTCTGCTTCTGCTTCTTCTCTTTCTTTCTACATTCTTGCCATTCAAATCAAAACTGAAATTTGTTAATTTTTTCTTTTGTGTATTACAAATACCTAACAAAGACCCAATTGCAGACGTATTTTGATCCATTTTTTGTTTTGCTTTGTTTTGTGTTTTATTAATCCTTCTCTTGACCCTCAATTCTTGCTGGGCTCTGGCGGTGTGGGCACACGCTTGACATTCATGCTAAAGAACTTCGTCTTGACCTGATCAATGGTGTAGTCCACCTCGATGGCAGGATAGCTTGACTTCTGTAAATGCAAATAGATCGCAAGCAAATTAGTTAAGAATCGATATCTGAAGATATTTCTTGAATTTGATTTACGTTCTGCGTTATATTCTGACCGCGCAGCAGCTGCCAGTTTTCTAGAATGTGAGCATATCGCAAATACTTCTCGAATTCGTGCAATGTCTCATAGACATGGCACAGACCCAAATAATCGTACTCCAGCCCGGAATAGGTGCGTCCAAACAAACGCAAGCCTGTCGAATAACAAATATTAGAAGGAGATGGCAGAATGGAACCGTTTTTTCTCACTTATGTCGATGCTGCGCAAATATAAATCCTCAGCCTGGCGGAATTTCTTCATTTGATAATTGTAGAGCGAGGCGAGGTGGCCAATGGATAGGCCCACCTCGTAGTCGTACGGACCGAGCAGATCAGTTTTAATCTTAATGGCCTTTTGATGCATACGCTCCGCTTCCTCGAAGCGATTCATTGTCTGATAGAGCCGCCCCAGGTTTCCATAATGTTTGGCCGTCTGTACGTTCACCTCGCCGAACACCTCCAGCGACAGTTGCAACGCGAAATTGTGCAACTCTTCCGATTGCAGAAGTAGACCCTCCTCATCCATGCCATCGGCAATTTTGTCCAACGCAATCTCCTCCAGCAGCAGCGCCTTCACACGCTTGGCGGAGGCCAACATTAAATGATTGCTAGGCACTAGATTTTTCATTATGTTAACCGCCTCATCGACATGCTCCTGGGCGCAGCTGAAGTCCCCAGTGCTATATTCATGGACATAGTAGGCATACGACAGATCCTCATGGGCGATCGCCACATGGAAGTTCATGTTGCCGAAGATGCCGCGACGCACGGCCAGCGCCTCCTTGTAAATGTTAACCGATTGAAATACCGAATCCACATTCAGCAAAAAGAAACCATAATCCAGTAGAGCGTCGCCATATTTCTGATGGTTGGGGCCAAAGTGTTCACTGAAAGGGAGACAGACAGACAGACAGACAGAGAGAGGGAGAGAGAGTGAGTTGTGAAAGCGAGCGAGATAGATATAGATTTTCGATTGATTTTGTTTCACTTACCGAGCACGACGCACCGCTTGGCAGATGAGTAAATTGGCCCGTGCAAAGTCGCGCTTCACCACGCAGGCCTTGGCCGCTTGCCGCAGCACATCGATCGCAACGCTGCAAAACAAATTTGATTGAATGAAATCAGCACAAGTCTGGCATATGTTTTACTCCATATATACACTTATATATCTATATGTTTACCGTGTGGGCGCTGACATCTCCAAGTGGCGCATGGCCTGCACGCTCCACATGTGACTATTGTTATACTCGTTGCGGGCAAAGTACATGGACGAGATTTGCGTATAAGCCATTGCAATTAAAGGCGTCGGCACCGTGTCTGTCAGCACGTTGTTTAGCTCCATCAGTTCGCCGAATGTCTTCTGAGCGAGCTTGAAGTTGCAATGTGAAGACTCCGCGTAGAGCAGGCTGCAAGATATTAACCCATTGAAAATCAATCAATTGAGGATCCAATTGCAAATTGCCAATTGTGCTTACCGCTGCAGGCAGTCGAGACGCGTGATTAGCTCATCCTGGAACGTTTGCATGCGCTTCAGTCTTTCATTGAGGCAGGACAACACCGCAATGCTCTCCTGCATCCAGCCAGCCTCGGACAGAAAGCTGCCCAAGCGCAAACCCAAATCGATGGCCAATACATCCTCATCGGGCAGTGCGTCCATGGGCAAGGCTTCAGCTGCACCCGTTGTTGTTGCGGCTTGATTATCTTTAGGCGTCATGTGATTTAGGCAACTTGCTGCAATGGCCACTATGTCCATTGTGGCAGTGTTTTCGGCTCCAGCTCCGACTCCGGCTCCAGCTGCAGCTGCAGCTCCAGCTCCCGCCGGCTCAACATCGTCCAGGTCACTCTCATCTGCCCCAATTTGGGGCAGAGTGTAGCGGCCCACATAGGCATCGCTGAGGCGACGCGGCAGCGCCTTGTTGCTAGCCATCAATGCTGCCACAATGCGCAGCAGCTTGTAGCGGGCCGATGTGTAGCGAACCAGGCGGCGGAATACATCCAGATTCGATAGCTCCTCCAATAATGTGTCCTTAAGCTCTGCACGCTGTGACATCTACAAGACAAATAACAAATAAATAAATAAATTCGGAATCGAGCTTTAAGCTTTAAAGTAGCTTAAATAATAGTTATCGGAGTAAGCTCTCGATGTTGTATATTCAATTATTAACAGTTCAAGGATCTGTCTTTCAGTAAGCTTTAGCGCATAGCTTACCTAAAGCTTAAATATCTAGCTTCAGTTTATCTTAATGATAATTATCTGTAAAATTCCTAGGATAGATTAAATAAAAGCTTAATGCTTTCGATGTTAAATTAATTCCATTCACATCACATTTAAAGCTCAAAGCTCTTTCTTAAGCAAAGCTCTAATCCTAATGCCGAAACGGACTATTGTTGAATATATTTGTTAATATCACAATATTTAGCTTACTGGCATTTTACATTGCTAAACACTGCATTTTCATGTGAAAATCATTTGAACTAATCAAGAAAATCAAGCCAAATCTAGTTCAATCTCCTAAAAACTTCCATATTAAGCTGCTCAACACTAGTATACTCATGACAACGATCATACTCCAAAACTTTTGTTGACAAACATTTAATACACTGTAATAGAGCCCCCAGAATATAGCAGAAATAGAATTCGAAGAATTTTTGACAAGGCAAGAATTTGATTTGTGTCAACATATTGATTTTGTGGAGTATTCTGTTGATCAAAACAACAAAGTGTTTTCGATACAGCGACTAGTGTGGTAAAACAGTGAGAGAATGGTGCCGAGAAGACAAATTATAATTAGCACCTACACACACACACACACACACACACTCACATACGTAGTAGGCCGTCTTCAATTAGGCACGCGTGTCATGGTCAAGCAATGAGATGAGAAACCAAAGCAGCAAAACGCGTATTACGCAACACTGGCTGTAGATCCTATGATCAACGGCAGCAGCCAATGGCCATGTGGAATAGGCAAGATCTTGGAGCCGAGTTCAATGGCTGCGCCTTGGCTTGGAAGGATGAACGTTGAGCGAAAGGCCACACCGACAAAGCGAATGCGCTATTTTTAGCCAACAATAACAAAAACAAAAGACAACAGCAACAGCATCATCAAATGCTGCTTAGTGTTGTTGTCGCTACTCATAATTTATATTGTAATTGCAGAGCGCTTATGACAAGCAATTTCTCATTTATAAATTCACGTATGTCTGTGTATGTGTTTTGGCATGTGAGCAATGCCGAAGTTTACATGCCCTAACGCACCGCAAATGTTGTTTAAATTAAGATACAGTGTATAAACAACAGTTTATTAAAGATATCATATCGCACAGCTATGTCAATGATATCTGCTGCCATGTGGTTTTAGGCATGATTTACATACAGACACATATGCACACATAAACACATCCACAGACGCATGCACACAGACTCGTGCCAGCTGTGCGCCTTATTAACCAGAAGCTTCTACGCGTAAACATAAACAGTGGAAAGCTTTTCGATTGGCACGAGCTTTTCTAACATGTGTGCGTGTGTTGTGTGTTTAGCTCAAACAAATCAACTTCCGCTAACTGTAAATCAAAACAAAACAGAATGCGCAAATTGTTGTCCTGCTGCACCGCAGCAGAAAAACGTATAAATAACTCTACATAGTTACATCTATGTGTGTGTCTAGCTCAAGCAATACTGCTAAATGTAAACAAAACAGAATGGGACTCTAAATTGTCCTGTTGCGAAGCAGCTTAACAAAAGAAACGCAAAAATGCCGTAACGACATTGCGATAAGCGGCGCACGCACACATACACAAAGCATATACGTATATATGAGTGTACACGCACACACAATTGCAAGTATGCGCATGTGTGTGTGTCGCAGCTGATTTTGTTATTCACTTGTTTGCAGGCTCGGCGAATGCTGCGTGTTTCTTTGCTTTGCTTTTTCATTTAAAGTTGCTAACGATAACGAGCGTAACGCAGCCAGAAAGAACTTACCAGCTCGTAGACGTCGATCAGCAGATTGTGCGGCAGCTCTGGCAGCTTACTGATGCGCTCCAGCGTCGTTACTTTGCAGTCCAGGCCGTTGACAACGGCCATCAATGACAGATCGTATAGGGGATCGGGGCTGTTGTTGTTGTTGTGACCGGAGGCCGATGACATCAAAGCCAATAGCTGCTGTTGTGCAGCCATTTTGCTTGATTCTGTTTCCTCTTCTTGTTGTTGTTGATATAATGTCTGCTCTTGTGCGTGTTTTAAACTGTTTTTTTTTTTTTTTGACTGGTTGCTTGATTAATTGTTCAGTTTTTAAGTGGCTCACTTTGATTTTTTGTTATACAAAAGCTTTCAGCATACCATAACACAAACAAACAAATAAAAAAAAAAACGCGGGTTGCAGCGAGAGGATGAACCTATGCGAAAGCGCGCAAAAAAATTTTAATAAAAAAATTAATTAAACATATTATACTTTTGCCCACGTGCCCGTCGACAGTGAAAATATGAGTATGTAATTGTGAATATCTTGCAATGTTAACAGTAACAGAGCAGCGGCGGCGGTGGGGGCAGCAACAAAACCAATAATAACAGTTACCAAACAAAAACAACAGCAAGTGTCACTTGCGCTAACTTCACTTTCGTTTCAGACGTTCTTCGTTTTTCCTTTTCTTTCTTTTTGTTGTTGCCCAGCGCTCAGCAGCTCCGAACAATTTCACTGCTGCTGCTGAGACGAGTTGCTCTTTGTTATACGCTCACACTCATACTCACACGCACACGCACACGCACGTACACGCACAGCAGCAGCAAGTCCAAAAAAAACTCGCTGAATTTGATTTGTTTTCGTGTTTTTCAATATTTGTGCACTTACACAATATTGTGTGCATTTAATTGTGTTCGATACATGTGCCAAAAATTCGCACGTCTTACTACCCGCTTGCTGCACTTCTTGCACCGTTTGCAACTATTCAATTGAACTTATTTTATGCTTCGATTTTATGCCAAAAAAATATAAAAAATACTTTATTATTTGACTTGGGGATGACAGCAGCGACCGCAGCAATCGCCAACTTACCAAAACTGCTAATTTATCGATATATTTTGCTAACACCACACGCAGCCATATAATCACAGGCTCAACTCTGTGCGTTAACATGCGCAAATTTGCGCTAACGGTCGACCTTAAATCGAATTTTGAATGCCACAACTTTCGATTACATTGCGATCGGTTTTTTTTTTCAATTGAATGCCGTAATGCAAGTATCTTGTTTTATTAATAAACTTGACAATTTAGATGTATTTTCTAAATAGTTTGAATAAACTGAGGGAGTAGAATTAATTTAAATAGCCTAAGCATTTTTGATAGGCAATCTCTCCATCTATTTTTTTTAATTTGTGCATTCCAAATATTAGGCGTTTACCTGTTGGCCTGCCTGCTTGTCTGATAGCCTGCCCGCGTTGTCCGCTTGCGGTTGGGCTATCTCAGAACAGGTCAAATGAATCGTCTTCAACCTCGACGAGCCCAAAATCGTTGGTGCTGCCAAACATCCACCAATGGCGCAAAATGTTGCGTATGAGCAGGAAGCGAGTCGTCACAAATTCAAAGAAATGAAAGAAGAGAGCGCTGGACGTGAGCAGCGCACAGGATGCGACAAACACCTCCTGTACCGTTAGCTGCTCAGTGCTGCCCTGATTCAAATTATCCATGCAATGCAGCACCTGTACACAAGTAAAGAATCGCAGATAAGCCTCGATCGTATCCACAACCAATTGGCGTCCAATTAGATGCAATTGTCTGCACTCGCTCACCTGCTGCAGTATGACATGGGCGAGCGGCATTAGCGAGGCACTGAACAGCACATGCTTCACAATCATGCCGCAGCAGCGACCGCAGCAGAACGCGCGCATCATTTGCTTGAGGCTCGCTCGATCCGCAGTTATATTGTAGGGTGCGTTACAAATCTCGCACCGATTGTCGTGACGATGCATGATCCATCGTTTCAAGCACTTCAGATGTATGTAGCCCTGGTTGCGGTAAGGACGGCGAGTAGTTAAAAAATGGCAAAGCACACAACAAATCTCGCATTCCTTCACTCCGCCCCACTTTCCCATTCTACTTCTATGCCGCTCTCTATTACTCTCCAGCAATCCCTCCATCCCTCCCTCTCTCCCTCCCCCTCTTCTTCCTCCATCACTAATTTTTCAAAGGACGTGACCTCTCTCTTCACTCACTCTTCGCTTTTTTGCCTCTTTCTTTCCCTTCTGCTCTCTCTCCTTTCCTTCTTTCGTCTTCCCTATCTATCTCTTATTTTGTCCCTAGTCTTCTACCCCTTTCCTCTTCCCACTTAGCACTTCCTTCCCATCTTACCTCTTAACCTTTCATCCTGTCTTTCCAGGTCTCTCTCTCCCTCACTTCTTTCTCTCCCTCTCAGCTCGACCCCTATCTCTCTCTCCCCCTCTCTCTCTCTTCTGTCTCCTTCAACTTACCACACTGCCCTTGCATTTGCACGGACAATTTATGATCTCCATGTCGCTCCGATTCCAGCGACAGATGCGACATGAATTACCGAATTCATTTGCCGAATGGACGCTATCCAGACTTGCCTGACCCGGTCCCGATCCCGTTGGCAGCACGACCCCCAGTTGTGTGGCCACAACGCCACCGTCACTACCAGTGCCACCGCCGCCATCGACACCGTCGACTCCCCCACCAGCTCCACCGCCCCCGGCTGACCCGCTGGCAGCGCCACTAGTGCCACCCGTCTCAATAGCTTCCAATGCCCCCGACCCCATCGCGGGCATGTCCAAAACGGGGGGCGTGGCAACGCCAGCCACAACGCTATTCAATAGCGTTAAAGCAGTCGCCTCCGATAGCGGTGGCTGCTGCTGAGGATGCTGCTCCTGCCGCTGCTGCTGCTGCTCCCGCTGCTGCTGCTGCTCCTCGTGCTGCTGTGCCATGTGTCTGGCCCCTTCAATGAATGCGCAACAGACACCGCTGCCCTCTGCAGTTACCCTGGCTGGGGTTAGGAAAGCGTGTTTGTTGTGGGTTTATGTAAAGACTTTATGTGCGCGTAACGAACTAAATTTTGATGCACGAATTTCACACGTAATTTTGTTTGGACATTTTACACAAAACTTAACGCTCGACTTTCACAGCATATCTGAGCCTCGATTCGATAGGCCTCGGCTATAAATTCAATCTGACAGCTGCCTGCAAGCCAACTGAGCTCCATAGTTCATCCGCTCCATGTACGTTTCCATGTAACTGGCATAAGCTCAGTTTACCGTACAGTTTTATATGACTTAACCTCAAATTTGTATTATCTATATTTACACATAGTTAATACAAGTATTAGGTTTTCATATATATACTTTCAATGGAACCTTCTACTGCTTTTCGCTTTCTGCTCTCGTATGCTGCAACATAACCTTACTTTTATGGCGCGATGTTCAACATAACCTCAATAATTCTACACACTTATTACTATAAAGCCATGTTTTTCGCCATATCACCATTTTTTTGATCATCATCAGATCAATAATTATGCTGGTTTTTGATCTTAACTCCACTAGCATGGAAGGTTCTTCATCATAAGCTAAATAATTTAGCATGCTCTACGCTAAATCTCTATAATTTGATAAGTTCAGTTACTAATTACACATATTGGCCACCATAACCTCAAAAACAATACTTCCCTTACAATGTCAGCTCACTGATCATCTCATGCTTCTCACCATAACCTAACTATTTACATTTGTGATGATCATAATCTCATCTATCACACAAACATTTAATTTTTGAGTACATCTCTCTCACTTCATTAATCAATCATGCTTTTTAGTAAGAACTAGCTCATTTATTTGCTCTTACCTCACTAACATTTAAAGCTGTTCAATTTAACCTCACTTATCCATCATAAACTTACAAAATTCTATATTTGTTAAGCACAAGCCCAAACATTACTCATTTTATTAGTTTTGATCGCATTATTAGTCAGTTAACTTCGTAAATTTTGAACTTACACTGAGTGAAGTATCGAGTACATTATTTGTATAGGGTTGCCAAGCTGTGCGTTTGCCTACGTTTTTTACTCATTCCAGCATAAAACAAAACACAAATTACTAAAATTTCTTTTTTTGTTCTTTTTTTTTTTGTTTATTCTTGTTCTTTTTTTGTTGTTCTTCAATGTTAATATTAGCTGTAGATACAGTTTATATAAATTATATATTTATGTTGATATCGCTTGCCGCTGTTGCCAGTTAGTAAATAGTTCGTAAGGTTGCTACGCGCGCCCAAGGTTTGGGTCGTAGTATTTTAAGAGGATTTACATCAACATTAATTCAATAAAAAATTTCGAAATAGTCCGAGTTTGCTTGCATAGTTCAGCGGGTGTTAGTATCCATCATATTTATCTTCTTCTTTTTTATATAATTAATATTATGACAAAAAAAATTCAACAATTATTGCATAAGTTTTGTTTTAAAGTTTTCAATAACAAATAATAATAATAATTATAATAATAATAATAATAGTAATCAAAAAATTCAATGAAAAAAAAAGAAAAAGTAAAAGCAAAAAAAAACACAAAAAACGTACAAATGTCCTTTTGCTGCTGTTCAATGCGACGAGCCTGCCATTTGTGTTAATATATATATATATATATATATATATATATATATATATATATATATATATATATATATATATATATATATATATTTATATATGAATATATATATTATAGGGTATATAGCGGTATTATTGTTATTATATATAGGATGCGAAATGCCAAATAAATGTTGTTTACAATAATCAAATTTGCATTTGCTTTTGTTTTGGGTTAAATTGTGGCTTAAAATTTAATGAATAGTTGGTTTGCCCTTTAGCTGCTGCTGCTGATGCTGCTACTGTTGTTGTTTGCTGATTTTACTGGCAGTTGCGAAAACGACGATAGATGCTCTGTACATAGACAAAGACACATTTCCAATCGGGTCGACTCATCTCAACCATATCTTCCACATCCAGCAAAGGCGCAATGCCAGCTTTTTCGCTGCACACGAAATTAACAGAGAAGACGATATATATCGATAGACGTTAACAGAAGTGTACGCATACTTACTCAGCTACGCTAAAGGCCAGCTCAAAGTTGTGTTTGCGAGTTTGTTTGGTTAGTTGACTGTAGTCAAATGCATCTGGCAAGAAATGATGTATCAGCGCACAAAAGGCCAAGCCGTCGGACCAGCTCGAGCTAAAGTTGCTTATTTGGACGTTCTGTGAATAATAAGTATCAATTATGATCAGTATGCGATTTTAAAATTTCATTTCTAGCTTGGGCAGGCAGAGCAGCTATTCGTTTTTGTTTTTCTTTTTTATTATTATTATCGGCAGCAGCAGCAGCAGCAATTAAGCAAATAGTTGTTGTAAGCTCCAGCCCCAAAAAGCAGCAACGACAACAACAACAGCAACAATTAAGTTAAATAATAATAATAGTATAAGCAGGTGTACGAAAGTAACGTTTACAGTTACTTTAATGGCAAGGAGTCAAGCGTTGCACATCTGCTTTTTGAACGCTGCTTCCTCTTTCACTTCAAATTCGCCGCGTTTAGCCAAGTCGGCGGCGCTTACAGCTGTCTGTGTGTATTTGTGTATGTGTGTATGTGTGTGTGTTTGTGTGTGTGTTTGTGTGTGTGTATGCATGTGTATAGATGAGTGGCGCACAGCAGCTCAGCCAGCGTTTAAGCAGTGTTTAGTTTTTGTATTTGCGCTTTTCTTGTATCTAGCTTTTTTCTTTTTGGTTTTCTTTTGGTATTTTTTAGGTTATTTGATTTAGCGATTAGCGATTTTGTGTTAAACATTATTTGCAATATATATCTAAATGAAAACGAACAGCGGTAAATAACAAATACAAATACAAAAAAAATCTAATAAGTCAAGATGCAAAAAAAAAAGAAAATAAGAAAGGTAACAAATATATCGAACTATTTTAATGGCTGAGGCTTTGCGTTTGCGTTTGGCTATTTTAATCTTATTGGTATTTTTTGATTAAATTTTATTTTTTGTGTTTTTTTTTTAGGTTTTGGATACCTCATATTCCTGCGTTTTGTGCTGACACCACTGCAGAAGTTGATCCTTGACAGTGGCGGCGCGCGCATTTAATGCCGGATCGGTAAATTTGAATAACGGTTGTGCTGAACCGCCGGGGGTCGTGGGTGTGCTTGTTGTTGGAGATGATCTGAACAAATGAGTCAAGGTTGGAGAAGGGGGCAGACGTTTTAGCGAAACTCACACAATTTATTTATAATTTTTTTTAAACTTTTTTTTTTGTACTTTTGTATGTGGGGTTTTTTTTGGGGTGTTCGAATTGTTTAGCTCGTGAGTGTATGTGTGTCAGTGTGCGTGTGTGTGTGTGTGTTTGTTGGATAGGATATTTTGGTTAGCGGGAAATACCAAATTGTTAATATTACTCAGTTATTAAGTGTTTAACGGTACTTTATTGTGTGTGTACTTGGAGCTACGACAGGTGCAAAAGGTAGTGTAACAGACTAAGAGAGAGAGAGAGAGACAGTGTGGGAAAAAGAGAAACAGAAAGGGATCAAAAGAGACAGAGACAAACGTGGTAAGGTTCTGTGTGCACAGGGCCAATAGGCTAGAGCAGGACAGAATAAATACATTTGCACACATAGATACATATGCACGTATTTAGCAACAATTTACAATTCACCTAAAAAAGTAAACCTAGACACAAGTGACATTTAAATGCCGTTAACCAACACCAGAAAATGGGCATAAATATATAAGGCGAAACTAGTGAGTGAGTGAATACGTGTTTGTAGGTGTGAGTGTGTGATCCTGAACCAAAAATGTATGCGTGTGTGTGTGCAAAAGAAATGCAAACAAACTGTTAAATTAGCATTCGAAAATGGTGCTGGCAAACGACTTTATAAATTTGCCTTCACATCTTATCGCTTGCATTTCTTTTACAGTTTGTCTATTTATATATATAGTGTTTGATTTTATTAAAGTAATTTGATTACTTACTTTTGAGCCTGCTGCTGCTGGGCAGCCTTATCGAGCTGCTTGAATTTGGCCAGCGGCGAAATGTTCTTGTTGTTGGCAGCGCTGCCGCTCACAGTGCGTGTGGTAACTGCGATTGGACAAATGAATAGTTTTTGGGCAAATTTAGTACATTTCTCGCACGTTTTGCTATCGATAGACAAGTACGATTACCTTTTGTTGTTGTTGTGGTGACAATTGCGCCGCCATCTTTTGATTTCGTCTCGGTGCGTTCGCTGGTCGTTGAGCTTTGTTGCTTGTGTTGTGCTGCATGGCGAAAGGTGTTTGTTTGTTTGTTTGAGAGGCAAATTGAGAAGAAAAGAAGAGATAATTACAACAATTAGTCAACTGGCATGCACACACAATAAATACAAATCATCAACAGCAATTAGGTGAGTTAAAAAAAGTTATTGAAAAACTGTTTAAAGAGGGAAAAAATAGTGTTAGATAGTTTAATAATATTATTCATATACTTTTTACATATTTCAATAAATTTGTTTTCTTTTTTTTTTTTTGTATCTTGACTAGTCTAAGAGCAGGCAACAATATTTATGCGATACACGAAACGAAATACGTAGAAAATTAGCAAAAACTTCAAATATTTTCGTTTTTTTTACAATTTTTAGTCAGCGGCTATAAAAAGTAGAGTAAAATATAAAAAAATGGCATTAGAAATCTTGCAGCGCAACGTATGGCAAAGGAACACACACACAAGCGGCTGTTCCATGCCGCGCGTTCCAAAATAACAACAACAATTATACACAAAAAAATAGAATAGAAACGAAACGAAACGGAAAATGAGTCGTGGCCGTTGGCGATTTGGTGGTTGGTGTCTGTTGGTGGAGTCGCTGGTGGTGCTGCGGCTGCTGTTGGTGGTGCTGTTTGCTTGCAGCGCTCTCAAAACTCAAGAAACTTAATAACTACGACATGCAAAATACTCTTTATATACAAAATACAAAAATACGAACCAACATGCGAACAAACAAATGGAATGGAACACAAAAATATCAAGAGCCAGCACAGCTAACTGGGCAGCTAATCAAAAAACATGTCGATTTTTTTATGATGGATGAAACGGTAAATAAGAACGCTAAAAAAGGTGGGTGGACGGGAATAAAAAATATATACAAAAAAAGACTAAGTGAGTGAGAGAGAGAGAGAGAGTGGAGGAACAACATGGGATTTTTTTTGTGTGTTTGTGTGTATATATGTGTGTATGTGTGTGAAATGTATATTTTTTCATAACCAACCAGCCAACGGAACGAAACGTAACGGAATGAAACGGAAGTAAAACGTTTAAAGCTCTAGCTAACTTTTGTACAGTTGTGTATGCTTTAGGGGTAGGGCTAAGGGGGCAGGCAAAAAAATATATATAAATATATGATATATATATATATATATATATATATATATATATATATATATATATATATCTATGTATATGCAGTTAGGCTGGCGAAATGTAGCAGTATGGTAGTACATGGAACGCGCTGGTAAAAGAAACAACAGCAACAACAACAAGGTGGCAACGCTGTACAGTTGATGTTTGTATTTTTTTTTGATCACTCACAAATCGTAACGCTTGAAATTTGTCTTCGGCGTAGTAGAGCGGCTTCACGTATATATATATTTGATATCGATAAATGATCGATATATTTTGTTTTTCAGTTGTTGGGCAGCTAGGCTAAGGGCTTTGACTCTATGTGTGTGTGTGCGTGTTGGTGTGTGTTGGTGTTGATATGTGTGTGTGTGTGTGTGTGCGTGTGATGAGAAGCAAAAGAAAAACCCCTGATGTGGTCCCTCCAGCTAACTCAACAGACTCGTCGCAAATGTGGAAACGAAATGGAATTGAAACATGACTAGAAATGGACTGGTACGTTGCATAAAAAAAAAACAAAAAGCCTAAGTCTACGCTCAAATTGAACAGTTATCGATAAATGTTAATCAGTACAGTAACAGTCCGACTTACTCTGTCTGTGTGTAAGTGTGTGTGTGTGTGGGTGTGTCTGTGTGTGTGTGTCGTTTGTTGTGTCCAGTTGCGTCTCGCTGGGTGGCTCAAACTGGAATGGCTGCTGTCTGTGTCTCTGTATGTGTGTCAATTAAACAAGTTATCGAATTATCGATACATTTATCGATCATGGAGTACATGTAGGCACTAAGCGCCCAGCATTAGCTGCTCGAACGCATCCTCCACATTGCTTTCATCCAGCAAATTGAGATGCGCTATATGCGGCATTGTGGCACTACGACTTAGGCCAATAGAACCGCCAGCACCACCAGAAACCGCTGCACCACCGCGCATCAGATTGAGAGACAGACCCAAGCCAGCTGTGGAGACATTACCATTCGAGCTGGAATTGAGTGAGCTGAGCGATTTGCGTGCCGCTGAAAGTTTTTCGCTTGTTTTCGTTCGATTGATGGCGGACTTGCGCTGCACGGTGGTTGTTGTCGCTGCTGTGGTGCGCAGCTCCTCCAGCTGCGGCGACTTTTGGCCGGAGAAATAAGCCGCGACAGTTCGCTGCTTTTCACCCAACTGCTCCTTGTTAATGCCCGCTTCGTAGAGCTTCGGCACGGACAGCGAATGGCCGGACTTTGTGCGTCGCAGCTCGCCTGGCGACGTGGGCAATTGTTGCTGTTGCGGCGGCAGCTGCTGCAGCTGCTGTTGCTGCTGGCATATCTGATGCCAGGAATCACATTTGCTTAGACGATTCAAGCGCGAGCCACCATTGAATTGCTGCTGCTGGTGGATTTCCTCCTCCTGAGTGCGTCGATTGAGCGAACTGAACGCGCTCACATTATTGAAGACAATATTTCGCGGTATTTGATCCTCGGGCGCTGGCTCTGCAGCAGCAGCAACAGTTGCTGTCGGCTGCGGTGTTGCTGGCGTTTCCACAATCACTGGCTTGCTGGTTGTCAGCTGCTGTGGCATGTAGCTGCTGCTGCTGCTGCTGGTGGTGGTGCTCATGTTGCTGATGTGGCTGGTGCTGCTGCTCATGCGCTTGTTCAGCTGCGGGCTCTGGTATGCATTGGGCACATAATGATGTCGCTGTGGTGGCCCGAATTTCTTCAAGAGTGGTGCATTCTCCTTGGGCAGCGACGACTTCACGATATCCGGCGTATCAGCGGGCGCCGAGGACTTGTATTCAAGCACATTGCCCATGCTCTTGCGTCGCAGCTCGAGCAATTGTTGTTGCTGCTGCTGCTGCAGCTGTTGCTGTTGCTGTTCCCGCAGCAACTGTTGCTGCTGTACATTGCTGCTCTGATAGCTCGACTCGCTGATCGTGTGACTGCGCACGCTCAGGCGCGGACGTGCCTGGGGCTGTGCCTGTGGCTGCGTCGGTGTCGGTGGTTGTGGCTGCGGCTGCGGCTGCGGCTGCGGCTTTGGTGCCAGCTGTGGCTTGGTGCTGCGATCAACGGGCGGTGGTGCATTTGGTGGTGCATGCATAGGATTTGCTGTCCAGCTGGTATGTGGCGAGGTTAGCGATAAATTGCTGCTGGCCGTTGAGTGCTCGGAGGTGCGCCTGGAACGTCTTAAGCTAACGCTTGACTCCTGCTCATCCGCTGAGTCCTCCAGCGGATAGGTAACCACATAGCTCGTCTGTGTCTCGCCCATGTAGCTGGACTGCTGTGGAGGTGGTGCTGCCTTGGCATATTGCGGCTGACGATTCGACTCGTAGCTGTTGAGCTGCGGAAAAAGTGGTTCCACCAGCGGTGCTTGGTACATGCGTCCATCGGGCGACAGGCAGCCCGACGGCTTGCTGGGTGAGCTGGGCGCGCTCAGTGGTTGCATCGGCAGCGGTGCGCGTGTGTTGGTTGGCTTAACGTAACTCTGATTCGGAGCTTGACCCGGCCCACCGCCCAGCTGCTTCATTGTGTGCAGCAAAGATTTGGCTGCGCGCGAATTCCGGCCATAGACCTCGTCGTCGCTGACGTGGGTGGTGCGACGTCCGGCCACTGTGACAGCCGTTTGGCTGCGTGGCTTACGCATCACCTTGATCTCGGCACGATACTCATGCATATTATGATCCGAATCCAAGTCGAGATCATCGTCCGTGTTGTCGGTCATGGCGGGCGCGGTCAGGCAGCTGGTGGGGCTATCCACTGGGCTGGCATAATCGAAGCGCGTGGGCAAATAGGTGGGATTCGCATTGGTCAGCACAAGTGGTGCAGCCAGCGGATTCGTCAGCGGCTCAATGGCGCTGCTCAAGCACGGCTGACTGCGATAATTGGCCAGATTTGTGGCAGTCCGACGCACGGGCGCATAGTCCGCATAGGTAAAGGAGATATTCGTCGGAGGCGGCGGTGCAGCTGTAGCAGCAGCAGCAACTGCTGCATGATTTCTGTTCGCATACAGCTCCAGCTCTGGCTGCATGGCATTGGGCAGCGAGGGTCGCTTCTTGAATTCACTAAGCGTTGCTGGCGGCGCCTTCGAACGCAGCGAATTGTGACGCTGCACGAAAACGCTCGGTGGTTGCTGCTGCTGCTGTTCGAGTTGATCGCGCAGCGAACGCTCCTCAAAGTGGTGCGCCTTGCGCTTGAAGTCGCTGTTATCCACACGCGGCTTGGCCAGCCAGGGCAGTCCAATGGGCGAGGTGGAGGCGGGCGAGGGCGTATTGCTGTAGCTAGGACGTGGCTGCAGGTGTTGCTGCTGCAGCTGCGGCTGCTGTGCTGCCTTGCTAGCAGCAACTGTTGCTGTCGGCTGCCAGCTGCTCGGCTTCTGCGCTATGGGCTTGTAGATATTGCCAGCTGGCGGCTGACCTAGATCAATGGGTCGAAACACAGATTGCGGCGCGTGTATGAACTGATTAAGGGGAGTGTCCGCAGCAACTGTTGCTGCTTGAGCTGCTGCTGCTGCTGCTGCTGCTGCCTGCTGTTGCTCACGTTCTCGGTCACGTTCACGCTCCCTTTGCTGCTGCATGCGCAGCTCCATTTCCTGCCGCCGCTGTCGCTCCAGCTGCTCCTGCTGCAGTCGCTGCCGCTCGAGTTGCTGCTGTCGCTCGAGCTGCTGCCGCTGCTGCTGCTGCTCATAGTACTCACGCTCCAGCCGCGCGCGCTGTTCACGCTCGTAGCGCGCCTCCTGCTCGAGGCGCAGCTGACGTTCCAGCTCTTGACGACGCTGACGTTCCAGCAGCAATTGTTGCTGCTGCTGCTGCTGCTGCTGCTGTTGCTGCTGCTGCAACTGATGATGATGATTGGGCGGCTGCGGCGGCTTGCCTTTGGTTGCCGTTGCCGCTGCGCCCGTCTCGAACGTGTGCTTGATGTTGCCAAACTTGTGCGTCCAGTTGGACACGGACCGTGCGCCCGCCCAGCCCAGGCCGCCCTGGTGGCTCTGCTTATTGATGAAGGCGAGGAATTTGTGATCGTTCTCGGTTTTGGGCTCAAACGGCGGCACCACATGCTGCACACGTCGCTTCACGCTCACCTGCACGGCACGTTTCAGGCCCGGCTGGTGTTGCTGCTGCTGCTGCTGCAGCTGCTGCTGCTCCAGCTCCGAGTCGCTATCGCCATCATAGTTCATCTTCAGCTTGGGTATGTCGATGGTATTGGCGCGTTTCATCAGCTGCTTCTTGCTGCTGCCGTTGCCGCTGCCGTTGCCGTTGCCGCTGCCGCTGCTGTTGTTGGCATTGAAGCGCGGCTGAGCTGTTTCTGCAGCTGCATAGCTGGCAAAGCTAACAGCATAATCGCCCGAGAGCGGACGTCGATTGGCAGTGCCCGGCCTGAGCTGCGCCTTGGGCACAAACTGATTGGGTCTGTAGAGCTGAGTGCTGGGCGCGCCGACTATGGCGCTCGAGCTGGCGTTGCGTTCCAGCGGCAGCTGCTGACTGAGGGGCAGCTGTCGCTGCTGTTCCAGCAGCAACATGTCCTCCATGTAGCGCCGTGCGTCGGCCAGCTCCTCGCGACTGACGCCCACCGTGTGGCGATTGTTGCGTTGGCGTCGCTTGGCGAAGCGCTGCCTGCCCCCCGACTGCTGCTCGGCGTCCGCGTGGCCCGCCGAGTCAGTGTGCTCCGCGGCAGCGTGGCTCGCATCGTTGGCCAGCTTTTCGGGTGCACTGAGACCGCTCTGCAGGCGCGCGATGAGCGCCAGCAGCGCCTGCCGCTGGCTGCCATCGACGGCCAGCTCCTGGCCCAGCTTCAGGCTACACTCGAGCCGGCTGAGCGCATCGGTGACCTCATCGAGCAGGCCGCGATTCGCGTCGCTGCTGCTGCTGCGCTGCTGCAGCGTATCGCGCAAGCCCGCCGCCAACAGCCGCAAATCCTCGCCGCTCTCCGTGCCCGAATCCTCCTTGGGCGGCACACTCAAGCGCTTCATGTTCCCGGACTGCACAGCAGCTGCCTCTTTCCTATCGTTCGCTTGAGTCGTGTCTTTGGTCTTTGCTAACTTCTGGCTACTGCTAAGGCTATTATTAATCGTTTTTCTACTGCTAACGCTATGACTATTTGCTGTTGTTTCTATAGCTGCTCCAGCTGCTGACTGGGACTGTGACTGTGACTGTGACTGTGACTGTGACTGTGATTGTAACTGTGACTGTAACTGTTTCTGTGGCTCTGGCAGGGACTCACCCTGTGCCCCATCCACTTGCACCAACGGCTGCTGCTTGCTGAGCTCAACTTTGGCCAACTTTTGTTCAATCTCCTTGGTTGGCTTTTCCTTTTCCTTTTCCTTCTCCTTTTCCTTCTCCTTTTCCTTTTCCTTCTCCTTCTCTGGCTTCTGCTGCTGTGGCTGCTCCTCCTCGTCGCTGCTGTCGTCAGTTACCTCCTCAATTATCTCCTCATATTCGCTGGCGCTGCTCTCTTCTTCCGCTGCTTTGCCAGCGGAGTTTTCTCCGCCTGCCTTAACAACTTTTTGCTCTACGAACCGGCGCGCGATCGAAACGAATATTTGCATGAAAATTAAGAATGTGTGCATGAGTGTGAAAGAGAGAGAGAGAGAGAGATAAAGAGAGAGAGAGAGAGAGATATTTATGTATATATTTTTGTCATAAAGAGAGAGCAGAAAACACAACGAGTAACGGAAACGGCGGGGACACAATAAGCAATGCGTTCGAAACTGAATAACAGAACTCTGTCGCGTTCATCTGTTCAACTCGTTCACAAAAGCAACGAGTGCGTGTGAGAGTGAGAGAGAGCGAGAGAGAGAGAGAGGGAGCAGGTTTCTAGGCTCAGACTGGGCCCTTGGCGAGACAAAGTAACAAAAGAACAAGAAACAACGAGCAAAATGTGCTTGGACGAGTGACAATTGACAGCGAGAGTGAGCGGGCAACGAGTAAATGTTGAGTGAGCTTTCAACGAGTTAAAGCGCAACGAGTAAGCTTTCAGCGAGTGAACAAGTTGAGCGAATAAACGCACGTTGAAAGCTTCAAATAGAACGTGGCAACGTTGAGCGTTGAACGAGTTCAAACATGACTCGTAAATATTGCAACGAGTGAACGTTGCAGAGTAACGAGTAAGCTAGGACATAGCGAGTAACGAGTTCTCATATAACGAGTAAATGTTGAACAAAGTTTACCATTCGTAACGAGTAAGTGCTTGGCATGTGAACGAGTAAGCATTGAGCGAGTGGAAGTTACGAATAATCGTTAACGAACAACGAGTAAGCGCTCAGCGCTCAACGAGCTTTGGGTTTGGCGAGTAGACATTGAGCGATAGAACGAGTGAGAAACTTCGGCAAGTTAAACAGCAAACGAGTATTGAAAGAGAGTACAACGAGTAAGGAGAACGAGAACGAGAACGGCAACAAAATTATAAATAAATGAATAACGAGAAGACACAGAACTTGATGAATGAATGAATGATGACGGATGCAACAGAATGAAACGAATTCATTGGCAATACCTGAACTGTGCTAATTGAATAACTTTAGGCTAGCTACGAGTATGCGCTGTTTTGCATATCTACAAGATACAAATACAGAAACGCAATCAGAACGCTAGATAGACGAGAGAGAGAGAGAGAGAATGGTAGTTAGAGAGTGAAAGAGAGAGAGAGAGAGACAGAGAGAGAGAGAGAGAGAGAGAAACCGCTTAACTAATAATTAAATATTTTTGTTGATCTTTACTTTGCTTTGCCAAAACTTCTCTTGGTTAGTGCTGGCATTTGCTGTGGTTAGAGTGAGAGAGAGAGAGAGCGGGGGAGAGCGCGTGCGCTTGACTTACCTTCGCGTTCCGCCATAAGTTCGCGTAAACGTGCACGGATCTTGCGACGCTCCTCGTACGTGGACGCCTGTTCCAGCTGAGTGCAAGAAACGGAATTTAGGAAGCGCAGCTTGAGGTGCCTCGTGGCACGGCACTTACCAATTGCCTAAGTAATTGCTCGTCCCAAATTTCCTCGATGTCACAAGTTGTGCGTGTAACTGGTGCTGAGGATGTTGTTGTCTTTCGTGTGCCGCCGCCGCCGCTGCTGCTGCTGCTGCTGCGCTGTTGCTGCGTTGTTTTCACCTGAAACGAGCAAAGGCAATTGATTTGCTGCTTTTCCATTTCGTGTTTTTTTTTTTGTTTATCAACCGGAAAATTTGGTTCGCTGACGCCCACAGACGACGGCGAGAAAAGCGAAACGCCAGCTGTTTATTTGGCTAAATAAAGCCGATGAGCGCATACGCCGGCAACGCCAGCCAAATATTTAGCAAAAAACCAGAACAAGTTTTGCCCTGATCGAACCGAATGATAAGAGAAACAGACAGAAAGAGAGAGAGAGAGAGAGAGAGAGAGATCGCGAATAAGGCAGCAACGAAATCGAAGCACAATTTGCTGTCGTCCTTAGCCATGGCTATTGATTCGCTTCCGTCCAATGGGCTCGAGCCAACGTCAACAATGTATGCTGCCAGCATACCTGGCGTATGCGTAATGCAGCCACAGTCACATACAACGAATTATTGCGCATACGCCGCATGGCCACGGGCAAAGCAAACGAATTGATGCTGATAAACAACAAAGTAACGGAAAAGCTTAGGACAGGTACAGCCAGTTAGTATACTTAGTATAGTTGGCTGTTCAAACTGTGCTTGTAAAACTGTAAGAACTAAGCGAAGGTCTACGATGCTCTGCCTATGGAGTGTGGTGACAGTGGGCATGGCTTCGCTTTGATAGTAAAGTGAGTATATCAAAGGCTCTCAAGCTGCACCGGGTATACACGCACACACACAGAATACCCTATACAAATACCCTATACAAAATTTCTTTGAAAACTGTCGAAAGCAAGTGAAAAATGCTGCCAAATGAAGTTCTATAATCGGGTATAGCCAGGCGCATAGTACCCTATTCAAACTGCAAAGAGCTAAGAAAAATCTTTCAAACTGTAGAGGGGCAGCGTTGGGCGTGTCTTGGCCTCGACATGAGGCTCTCAAACTGAGTTAAATTGCGCCAAAAATGCTGTCAAATGAAGCTCAAGAAATGAGTCGGCTATGCACACGCTCATAATACGCTATTCAAAGAGCTGCAGAGATGCTTGTCAAACTGTAATAGCTAAACAAGGTCTTTCAAACTGCCACGCCTTCTTTTAAGGCTCACTGCCTCTGGGCATGGCCGTCCGTTGAGCCGCTACGACTTTCATTTAGCAAAACTTTGCACAAACAAAACACAAAAACTGAATTCAAGCTGTGACAAAAAGCCAATACGCCCGCTTTAAGCTATGCAAATAGAGCATAGATATGAGAATTTAAGAGCTGTAATAAAAAGAAAACTACGTTCACTTCTGCCTAGACGAATCGCCGAATTCCCAGTTCACAGTTGGCGCAACAATCCAAAGCTCAGACGCTTGAACTGGGTCGCGTTAAAAGAAAGTTCGCACTTTGTTGCTCTTCTTCTTGTGCTGCTTGTTGTTGTTGTTAACAAAGAACCTTTCTTCTCTTTTGTGCAGAATTTGTTAGCTCTTTAGAGCTGTGGGCCAAAAAACTAAGCTAAAGTATTTTTTATTTATTCATGTTAATTTCGAAGACATTTGCAAAGCATTCTGAGTCGAGCCATCAAAATGTCCAAAACGATTCTTATGCTAATTGGAAATCCAACTTTTTTAGATCATTTAGATCATGTAGGGCAGCGAGAGAGAGAGAGAGAGAGCGAGGGAGTGGCCAAATGCATTTATTATGGAAATTTAATTAAGTATACGCAGCGTTCGCCCGCAATTGACTTGCGAAAAGAAATTTAAAATAAGAAAAGAAAAAACAAAGAAGAAATGTAAAAAATTGGAAAGCGAAAATCAAAAATCAAATAATAATTCAAAAATTGAATTTCATTTGTTTCGTATTTTTCAAGATTTCCGAAACAACAAACTTGGCCACGCCCACGCGCAGCAGCAGCGCACGAGTCTAGGCATTTCGATACCCAGATACCCATTGAGCAGTCTGTGAGCGCAGCGGGTATATCGATTTGAATGGATACGTTTATCGATTTTGCTAGACACAAATACTATATATATATATCACTTTATATATATCATGCGTATAATATTTATAGGGTATATGATATATAGGGTATATAGAGACTTATCTATGCAGCAGAGTCTCTCTATGAGTGAGAATTTGCCACTTACAGCGTATCTTCTAGTCGATCACTCGGATTTAGGCACACTCTTGATGCTGCGCTCGCTTGTTTATAACAAATTTGACCAAATTTGGCCAGCACAATTATTCAAAAATAACAACGCCAGCAACAACAACAGTTTTGAATATATTTTCAGAAATTTTCAGAACATTTTTTCGAGAGTTGAAAATTGGGGAAATTCGTTGAGAGCGACGCCGACCAAAAAAGCAGAAAGACGCGTTGCTATTTTTAGCTTGAAATTAATTTGGGCAGTACACACAATCGGCCAGAAAGAGAGAGGGAGAGAGCGGGTCAGAGAGAGAGAGAGCGAGAGAGTGTGGGAGAAAGAGAAGGGTAGAAGTTTTCATATTTTCGATTGTACGCATTAAGAAAAACGTTTTACTTAACTATATCTAAATTTATATATATATATACATGTGTATTATTGGGCTATACGCTAGCGTAGGGTATTACAATTGGGTCAAACAAGATGTAACATCAAGTAGAAGTTATTATGTAAATATATATTGAGATATATCAATTTAGTTATGTTGTGCCAATATATCCTATAATATCCTTCTAGCTGTCTGTCTGTATATACATCTATCTAGCTAACTCTATGCCTGCCTATATATTTATCTAGCTATATATCAATATTTCTATCTATCTCTATATCAGCTATCTATCTGTATCTATTTATCTCTCTATTGATCTATTTATCTATTTCAAATGATTTCAATGGAATTACAAATTTCAAAAGGCTCTATCGAATGATAAAAAATCATTAATTAGCTCTTTGTACATCGATTCTTATATAACGGAACTAGTTCATAATAGTGCACATATCTGTCTAGATCATTTGGAACTAGTTCAATAATCAAAATTACAAATATTGAGCTATTAGGAAGTCATAAATATTGATGCGGAACTAGTTCATATGCATTTATGTATATATACATATGAACTAACTAACTGGTTCGCCCACAGTCCAGAAAGAACTTATAAATCTATGTTTGGCAGTGAACTAGTTCACTTGTAATATATGCAACTTGTAGCTTGCAATTAGCTATATATTTTAACTGAGAAGAAATCTCAAATCAAATTGTAAAGAAATTCGCAATATAAAATGGAACCAGTTCAATTTGAATCGCCTGCATTTTGTTCACATAGAACCAAACAATTAGATAAATAGATATATATAGATACAGATATACATATATATATATATATATATATAGCTTCAAGCTTTTTTCTTCAATAAACACAACTTGTCTGGCATTTCGCTCAGTGCATTTTTTTCTGCTTGTTTCAAAGCAAAAAGCATTAAACAAACATTAAGTGAAGACAAAGAAAAATATAAATAAATAAATTATAAAATGTATATATAAAATATTTATATATTTATCAGTTGAGGCACAAATATGTATTTTCTATATTTAATAAAACAAATTTTCATTTAGTTTTTCAATTTAATTTTAGTTGTTTTTTTTTTTTGTCTGCACAAAATTCTTTTTATAATAATTTGCAATTTATTTTGGCCGCTGTGACGTGGCTTTGATTGTTGTTGTTGTTGTTGTTGTTGGCAATAGGCTTGCCAAGTTATTTGGCGCAATTCCGCCAAAGCGTAACACAACAAATTGCTGCTAGCAGCAGCAGCAGCAGCAGCAACCATCAACATTAAGAAGCAGGGGGCAGTTGACGGGGCGTGGCATTTGATCGCATGCAGCGAAGCATGAAAATCAAAATGGAAATTGCAGTCCGAAAGGCACAAAACAATTAAAAAAAGAGTGAACAAAAAGTGGAGAGAAAGAGTTGCTGTTGCTGCTGCATGTTGCTGCTGCTGCTGTTCAACTGAGCAAAGCGAATGCAGCTGCTGCTGCTGCTGTTGTTGCTGTTCAGCTAGCTCAACAAATTGGGCAACTATTTGCATTGGCTTTGACACTGTCGCCAGCAGCAGCAACAGCAACAACAACAACTATATGATTAATGCTTTTCAAAGTGCCGAGTAAACAACAAATAGCAGCAACAGCGGCAACAATTGAAATTGCTGTTAAATTTAGCCAAAAGGTGAGAGCAAGCAAATGGGAAGGCCAAAGGCGATTTCTTTGGCTATTCAATTTCAATTTCAATTTCAATTTCTATTTCAATTTCAATCGAAATATGAATTGAATATCAGAAACAAAGCAGAGATGAACTATGAATAGAGATGTAACACATTTAAATGATGAGCCAAGGCAATGCTAAAAAGTTGCAGATAGTATATATAAAATATAGATATATTCATTGGAATATATATAAATATATCTAAAGAGGAAACACCATAGATATATGTAAGTACAATTATAATAAATAGCTGCATGGCTATGGAAAGAAACAGCTCATAGATATAAGATGTAATAGAGCTATAGATATTTATCTACAACTATATATATATATATATCTGATCAAAAGTAAGCATATGTTACATGTCTATATATATTATATAGCTGCTATATGAATACTTTCACATATTCCATATCACTCATTTTATGTTCTCTCTACAACTTTGTCTTAAGCTAGCTAAGCTGCGGCTTATCTTCTATCTACAGATGAAGACTAGCCTAAAAGTAATTGAAATTCTTCTGTTAGCCACGCCCACAATGGACATAGTTAAATAAGTCTCAAGTCCCAAGTCTCTAGCTTTACGCTCTAACACTCTATCAGCTAAGCACATTCTATCTTATTAGAAATCTTAAAGAAAATCAAAATTTTTGCAGCAATCGAATTGGCTTTAGCAAACTTCAAAGATTTCCGACGCCTAATGAAGTCGCTTAGCTTCGATATTTGTGCATATTTTATAGTTCTATGATTTACCTAAGCAAATAATATGAATAGCAGTAGCATTAACAGTGACGGCAACATTAACAGTGACTGTAACACTA